CGTCGATTCGCCGTGTGATTTCTATAGATTAGGTCAACTCCTGCAACAGTCGGAAGTCAATCTCATGGTAGTATAGTATATATATACCTCGGAAACGTCTAGATGTACAAGTCAGCATATGTTAAGATAAACTCGTGGTGTGAGCTTCATATACTTGGTAAGGGCCTCGCTCTTCCGCTTCAGTAAACTGTGTCCCGTCTCAGCTCCTTTGAGCTTCGCCTTCATAATAGCCAGCGACTGCCGCGTCGCGAAGACGGCCTCTCGATCCTAGGAAGATATGTTAGCATTGCATCGCTGGTGCATAGCTCTATAGCTAATTCGTAGGTGGTTGTTGACGTACCCCAGCTCCAGACATGGCGTATTATCTATTAGCTGTGCTTTGATCCTCGGATGTAAGAGGTTAAGGTTTATGGCGGGCCTATAGAACTACGAACTACTATAGGCGCAATGTGAGGACGAAAGAGGGAGAAAAGCTAATTGGAAATGGGTTAACCTAAAGGTTGTTGCTTTGGACTTGGACTTGGACTTGGACTCGTGATGACTTATCGGGAGAGTTGAGTCCCGCTTTATTATTTGGTTACATAAACTTTGATATGACGGGTTTACACTTTACAGCAGGTACGGCAGCCAGCAGCCAGCAGCTTGGAGGCTGGAGCTTTTAGCTTTTTTGCTTTACTAAATGCCAAGACTTTATTCTCCTTTGTATTCCTTTACGACTCTTATAAGTGCATTTATACTCCGCTTATTGAATATTGGGGTCCTTAATTTTCCTTGTCTTTTCGCATTGGTGCATGGTGCGTAGGTAGGTAGCCATGGTCCTGGAATCCAGAAAAAAAAACTGGTACTAATCCTGTCTCGTCCTTAAAATAAGTTCCAAAAAGCTGCCGCGGTCACGGTCGCCTTTCACGACGCCAGAGGTCGAAATTTGTCGCCCCCCCTCCAAATATCTCCCACGACGATGCCCTGACTCTCTCATCTACACCGTCGATTAGCAGAGATTATCTGCGAGCGATCGCGCACAACGACAATCGACGGGTTAAAAGGGTCAAGATGCCACCCAATGGCCCGACCAATAGTCTCCGAACTGCCCGACAGCCAGACCTTCACCTCATTGTAAGCTGCCTATCGCGTCATCGCTACGTGAGCCTTGAAATTGTTGGCTAATATTGTCTTCCTAGACCGATGAAGACGCCGTCTACGAGCAAGATATTCTAAGGGATCTAGGCAGTACGAAACCTTGGCTCGCTTACATTCAGTTCAAAGTCCAACATGGCACCATTCAGGAGCAAGCTTTTGTCCTCGAGAGGGCTTGCCAGCAGCTACCGCGATCGTACAAGCTCTGGAAGATGGTGAGCGAATCTTGTCCAAGTTTCACGTCGCGACACGTCCAAATGCTAATATTTCATAGTACTTGCAATTCCGAACGAAGCATGTCATGAAGCTAAATGCCGCCGTCTTTGCTTCCGAGTATAAAAAGGTCAACGCCCTATTCGAGCGAGCCCTCGTCCTACTCAACAAGATGCCAAAGATATGGGAATTGTACTTGAAATTCTTACTAAAGCAGCCTCTCGTTACCTTTACTCGGCGCACATTCGACCGAGCTCTCCGAGCCCTTCCTATAACTCAGCACAATCGGATATGGGCTCTCTATAGACCATTCGCGAACTCGGCCTCAGGCGAAACTGCGGTGAAGATATGGCGAAGGTATATGCAAGTTCACCCCGAGGATGCTGAAGACTTTATCGAGCTCCTGATACAGGTCGGTCTTTATACCGAGGCTGTGAAGAAATACATCGATATCCTCAACAACCCGCGCTTCAATAGCAAGCATAGCAAAGGCCACTATGAGCTCTGGAGCGAGATGGTCGACCTACTCATCGACCATGCCAACGAAGTCGAAACGGGCCACGAGACCGGCATCGACGTCGAGCGTATCATCAGGAGTGGAATCGACAGGTTTGATGACCAAAGAGGGAAGCTCTGGTACGGCTTAGCTACGTATTGGGTCAGGAGAGGGAGCTTCGAACGCGCGAGAGACATTTACGAAGAAGGAATCACAACCGTCATGACTGTTCGGGATTTCACCATGATATTTGATAGTTACGCAGAATTCGAAGAGTCCATCATTGGTGCGCTAATGGAGTTGGCGTCCCAGCGAGCGGAAGAAGGTACACTCGATGATGACGCCGACTTTGATCTCGATATACGCATGATGCGGTTTGAGCAGCTCATGGACCGACGGCCATTCCTTCTGAATGATGTATTACTACGACAAAACCCCAATAGCGTTTCAGAATGGGAGAAACGAGTAGCGCTTTGGGGGGATAATAAGGTCGAAGTAGTACAGACATATACCGATGCCATTGCCGCGATCAGTCCAAAGAAAGCCGTTGGGCCTTTTCATCAATTATGGGCAAATTACGCCAAATTCTACGAAAAGGGCGGTGATATACGAAATGCGCGTATCATTATGGAGAAGGCTATCAAGGTCCCATTCAAATCGGTTGCCGAATTGGCTGATATGTGGATCGAGTGGGCCGAGATGGAACTTCGCAATGAGAACTTTGACGAAGCTGTCAAGATCATGGCAAAGGCCGTCCAAGCCCCAAAGAGATCAACTGTGGACTATTTCGATGAAACCCTGTCGCCGCAACAAAGAGTCCATAAGAGCTGGAAGCTTTGGAGTTTCTACGTCGACCTTGTTGAGAGTGTCAACTCCCTGGAGGAGACGAAGAAAGTGTACGAACGGATATTTGAGCTTCGGATCGCTACACCGCAAACCGTCGTCAACTATGCCACTCTCATGGAGGAACACAAATACTACGAAGAATCTTTCAAGATATATGAAAGAGGGCTCGACCTCTTTAGTTACCCGGTGGCTTTCGAACTATGGAATCTCTACTTGACTAAGGCAGTGGATAGAAAGATTGGAATCGAACGACTGCGAGATCTCTTTGAGCAGGCAGTAGAAGATTGCCCGCCTAAATTTGCTAAAGTGTTATATCTCATGTACGGCAATCTCGAGGAGGAAAGGGGCTTAGCGAGACACGCCATGCGTATCTACGAGAGAGCTACCCGTGCAGTTTCAGACGAAGACCGAGCAGATATGTTTAACTTCTATATCACTAAGTCGGCGTCTAATTTCGGGTTGCCGTCTACGAGACCAATCTACGAAAGGGCCATCGCAGCTCTGCCGGACGAAGAAGCGCGAGATATGTGTCTAAAGTTTGCCGATATGGAGAAGCGCCTCGGCGAAATCGACCGAGCCCGCGCCATTTACGGACACGCATCCCAGTTCTGCGACCCGCGCACCAACCCGGCGTTCTGGACTAAGTGGGAACAGTTCGAAGTGCAGCACGGCAACGAGGACACGTACAAGGAGATGTTACGTATCAAGCGCAGCGTACAAGCACAGTACAACACCGATGTGAACTTCATCGCGTCACAAGCCATCGCACGTGCAAATCAAACACGAGCAGGATCAGAAACAGCGAACGGAGACCCCGAAGTTGCTGATGCGATGGAACAGCTAGAGCGGCAGGCCCGAGCGCCGGCAGGATTCGTGGCGTCGAGCACGGGACTCGCAGGGACAGTAACCAAAGAACCGGTTGCAGCGCCTAGCAACCCAGATGCCATCGACATCGACGGCATGGATGACGACTGACACGAACTGGCCTCTAAGATGGTTCCCGTTTTTTTAGTTACTTGGCATTTGACATTTGGCATAGGTGAATGGATAGGGCGGCTAGCAATGCAAAAATGCGTTGTATTCCGTTTGTAACGCGCCTTTTTTTCTACGGGTTTTTTGGTCTTCCTTTTTTTTCCCCGGTGCAAGAGTCAGAGCAGACAGATACCTACCTACGTACCTACACCTATCTAGCTACCTAGGTACCTTATGAATTCACTAAACACCCAATCGGTTTGAGTATACTTGCTACGTGAGTTATCTCTAGGCTGACATGATGGGGATCATGATGCGTAGGTGCTGAAGGTTTCTTAGTTTAGGTTAGGAAGGCGGTGCTATTGGCTCCTTTGTTGCCCCTAAATTGAAGACGATGTAGCATTGGGGGTCTGGTAGATGAGTTGTTGGTATGTCATGCCCGCAGCTAGATGACGTTATCATCTCCCCCCTTTTTTCCCTTTTGAGGGCGGCTGAATTGCTTGCTGCCTTTAGATCGACGGCTCAGCTTATCATAGGGCGGGGATGTCATTGCTACTACTTAGGTAGGTTGACGGAGTGCCCGCAGGAACTGCTGGCATGACTCGTTAGGATTTGTTTAGGTAGAGCTTGTTTATTTAGGGTAGGGGTTGGGCTACATAGAGGCGAGAATTTAGAGGTGATAAATGGTTGTAATAAGAGATAATTATTCACGTGTTCGTATACTTTTTGGTGCAGAACTGACTTGCTACATGGATGTTTTCTTTACTAGGGGAATTACAACAGTTTTAAAAGGTACACATTAAAGAATAGATCATAGGCGTCTATTTTCCTTATCAAAAGTACCTAAAGTATTCTAGTTTTTCAACCATGCACACTACAAAATGAGTCAATCAGTGAGATATTTGAAGGATTTTCATGTGCTCATGCTCATGTCATAGCCTAATCGTAAGGTATAATAAGGTAAGTCGTAGTAGTAGTAGTAGTAGTAGTAGTAGTAGTAGTAGTAGTAGTAGTAGTAGTAAAACAAGAATGGAGGCCGTTAGGTATACCCTATATATGTAATACAAGCCAGCGAAGCAACCACACCTCCCAGGAACATTATCCCGGGGCCCTTCAACTCCTTTCCGCCATGGCGCTCGTCCTCAAGACTCTCGCTGCCCCCGCATAATCTGGCGAACCATGCACCCACCCCTCTTGATTTCTTCCCGTGTATACGTGTACATCTATCTTCATCTCTATCTTCTTCGCAATCTTCGTCACACTTGTGCGCGATGATCCTCCCATCGCGACGACGGTCCCGGCTCTACGGCATAACCGGCGCCCACGCCGTCGACCACACCTATTGGCTAGCTTTGCGGCGCTGGTCGCTCGTAGATGTGGCGGTAGTGGTAGTGGTAGTGTTATTGGTGTTGTTATTGTTACTGCTGTTACTGCTGTTGCCGGGCAGACTGCCGCGACGGCTCGACCCGGTACTGCTCATGGACCAGCGCTTCGAGTGCGCCTTGTGGAACTCCTCGACCGCGTCGCGGTTGCGCTCTACGTGGCCGTCGCGGGACGACGGGGTGGCGTAGATGCTGCCTTTGCGCTTTTGGAAGCGCGAGGGAGGTGTTTTGGAGGCGTCTGGGGGGGGAGGGGGGGTGGTGGTGTTAGTATGATGGGTAGGTAGGTAGGTAGGTAGGTAGGTAGGTTATCTTTTATGAGAATCGAAAAGGGGGAGGATGGGGAGGACGGGGGAATTACGTACCCCATTCGTCGGTGTGAGAGTAGTCTCGCGACCCTTTTCGTTCCGTGATTGCGGGTTGTTCGCTGGAGAAAGTGGTGGTGAACTGGGGTGAGTCCGCCTGACAGGTTGCTGCTGCCATGATGGATTGTGTTCTCTTTGGGTAGGATGGGTGTATTGTTCGCCTAAGTAGGTAGTATGAATTAGCTTGGAAGAAAGTACAGGTTCGGGAGAATTGAGATATCGAAGCAGTTTCTTGTCTTGTAGTTTTAGAATAAAGGGGTAGAAATACCTTCGATGAGGAGCGTGTAGGTCAATATTGGTAGGTTGATATATGTTTCGAGTAGATAGGATAGTTGAAGGATCGAGATTGTATATCTTTGGATGATTTCAGACTTTGGAATACTTTATATCTGGGGTCCGGCGAGTTCTTATACAATTATATGTAGATAGGTTAGAAGGAACGGACTGATGCTATCGAGCAATGTATAGTTTGCCAATCTTCGCCTGCCTTTGACTTCATGTACGTAACTCGCCTGGTCTTTCCCAGAAATCTATTGAAACAATTATGCAAGATATGTGGCGTAGCATCATCCTCGTCTATCTCATATGCCGGAGCGTAGGGAGTTTGCTAACAGCAACAAAGGGTATCTATCTCCCGGAAGCGGTAATTGGTTTGCCTCCCGTATATTATGCCGTGAGACTCCGGATCTCTCATTGGTCATGCTGCAGCTATCCTTAGTGATCCTAGCTACGGGGAGCATCACGACTCAAACGAGAGCAACCAAGCTCAAGACTAAGATGTCCGGGGGTGGGTTGGAACGACGATTCGATGGTACTAGCCAGCCCTTTTCGTGCAGTTGGTTGTCTAGACGCTTGAAGCCGTCCAATAGCCATTCGTCTCTTTTCAAGCTCACATTATAGAAGCTTAGCATTACTGTCACGAGTCGCAGGGGTTCTTTAGTGTGATATCGTCCAATCGAGAGACTTTCTCATCACAGTATCCTCTCAATATGATATGAAACCATTTCGAATACGCAAGGGTATCGTAGGACCCCTATTACCCACTGCTCGGATCGTCCAAGAGAATCACAGTAGGTTTTGACTCGTATAAGTCAGCAACTTGCTCGTATCCGCGGTAGCCTGCAGCTCCCATCGTAATGTGAAATAGGGCTAGATATGTGATTGACAAAGAAGCACCCGACTACTTATCACCAGACTCTCTATCTATCGGTGGCTGTGTAAGTCGAGACTCGTCACATGCAGGTGGTGTGACGCAAAACGGAAACTGTAAAATGTATCTTTCCTTAGATCCTATTTGGTATCAATGGATATTGATATAACTAGATAGTGTGTACGTTTACCTTTAGACGTCTAGTCCATGACGTCAGTTAAGACACCGGAACTAAGCAATGGCAACGGATGTGACGGTACTGCTATACTACCTTGTACATATCGTAGCATTACATATCGTAGTATTTACCCCGCCGTTTCTATGTAGTCAAATCGTGGGCACCAATCACCGTTGTTTAAGGATACTAGGATGGATATACGGCTAGTTATAATGCTTCCTATCTTAACGGCAAGACCGGTTATCCCTTGTAGATTTAATATGCTTGGTGGGGAGATAGTATTAACGATATATGCCTACGGCTAGTCACCGGTAGACCGGCAGCAAGCAAGCGTTGCTTGTGTAACTACTATAACCGACTGACCGATCTGTAGCTAAATCCTATGGATCTTGCTTTATCGAGGTCTAGACCTCTCTCGACTTTACTGTTGTGGAGGCTGTGCGCTGAGGGTCAAAATGCCTGCATGAAACCTGCAGCCCTGTGATGAGTCTTAACTGAGACATGAGACAACTTCTTTTAATTTCTATTGATGAGTTATTGTGGCTCCATGGTGTAATGAAGCATGGGCATTACTAAGTACCCGGCCAATAAATAATATATTGATGTACTAGATATGTGAATAACTTCAACCGCAGGATGTATGGTACAACAAACGATTGTGACATGGCAAGGGATTAATTGAAGCTTACGATACGATGTAAACTTCCAGCTGCACGTCGTCGGGGACCAAGCCCCTGTATCATCCAATACTACTCCAATTCTGATCATTTCCAAAGGATTCAAGATAATTTCGTAACCACCATCCAATCGGGATATGATAATCTACTTCCTCTCCCCTGTCACGAAATCGAGGATACTCTTTCAACGGCTTTCAACCAGTCTATTACTATCTCTACGATTATCTATCTCAAGCCCCCGAACGACTAGACCAATCCAAAAGAATAAGCGTGCAGGGCCCAGTCCCATATTAGTGTTACATAGCTTTTCGATGCCCCAAACTCTGCTTTGGACGACGACCACCCAGCCAGCTAAGCAGCTAAGCAGCAAAGGCCACGCTCTTCCTCATGACGCGAGAGATGCTTCGGCGTGTATTATTAGTTGAATTCGAGTTAGACACTGCACACGACGTCAGCTAGCTGGTCATTAACGGGTAAGTATTCTGAAGCATCTTACTCTGGACCGGAACGACCCCACCGAAAGGCCCGGCTCTGGCTCCGTTCTGGCACCTGACTAGACAGGCATTGTCCTGCCCGGCAACAGTCCCGGTGCACTCCTGATCCTGAGGAATAGCCGCGACTAGAGGGAAATCCGTCTCGCTACCGGCACGGTCCCGCGAATCGTCGCCCGGAGGAGATTGCGTGACTTGGATGTCTTCCCAGTCCTCTCCCGTGCCGTCGTCGTTTATCATGCATTGGAAAGGACCAGCGCCGTCGGCATTGACTTGATGGAGGGTCATCTTGAGCTCACCACCGGCAGTGACTTGAGGAAGCTGATCACCAGTCTCATCCATGATGGCCTGGGTTCCCTGCTCGATGTCATTGTTGCCAGCGCCGATAGTCTCGCCGACGGTGTCGGCTTGGTCACCCCGGAAGCGAGTGCTGTCCTGCTGGAATGGCCTTCGTCGGGTTCCGTCTCGGGGAGTTGAAGTATCAACGCCAAGAGCCACTGTTGCTTACGTTAGTCTATTGCTCTTTTGTCTGCAAATCTGATAATGGGCTACTCACTTCCGGTTCCACCAGCATCGCCGGTAGCTTCGGTAATGACTGCGTGGCCAGCAGCTAGCTGGGCAGCGGCCATGATGCAAAGAGTAGCGAAAGCTTTAAATGAAGGCATCGTCAAGTATTTAAAGAAGGGTATATATAATTAAGATACCTGACCGGCAGGAAGAAATTGGCAAGAGAGAACGGAAGAAGTATGAGAAGTTGGTGATGAACTGATGTGCGATGATTAAAAGTCATTATCCTTCAGCGCAGATCAGCCTTCTTATAGAAATTTTCAGTCGACGAAGACTTTGAGTCTTTTACATCTGCTCGCATCTTTGCCTCTCCTAGTCCTAGGGACTGAGCACTATCATGTTGAGTCAAACATGTCTCCGCTGGGGGGCTGCCTCCCGTGCTACTCCTAGAAGCTTGGCATGAGAATGGTAGTATTATCTCTTCCCAACCCGACTACTTTGAAGCCTGAGACTCGCAGATAAGACCTATCACGAAAACTTCGTATAGCGACGTTAGTATGAATGTGATCATATTCGTTCTTTGTGGCTGTGAACCCCAGTTTGCACGGGAACATGATAGCCGGACAGAGTATTGAGTATTTGACACTTGGATGGGGAGCCAATCGCAACTTAGAATTCTATTAAGCTTTTGACATAGCGGGCTCAAGTTTACCGCTGCGGATTGGCCCGCAGCAGGATATTGTTTCATAGCCGAGTCGGGGAATTACTGGATTGATAGGGTGTGATTCGGCACGATTGCCTATTTGGACTGAAACATTGATATATATTCCTGGTACATATGTAATCAATAAACTATAGCGGTGGTATCGAAATGCTCTTTATTGAAGTGGTTGAGAAGATATCTTCATATTCTTACCTGTGAAGTGAAAGGGGTAATTGTGTTGGCTTTACGACGATAACTTGTCAAACAACAAGACATGTGATAGACTTTAAGACTAAGCTGGTAGATGAGATTCGATAAAGGAGATACTAAATGCGATACTAACATAAGTAAAAGAAGACTATAAGAATCTAGCTTAGAGACTTTAGGAGGCTTAAGGATCTAAGCGTGATGAAGGCTATCGGATACAGTGACATCTTGGCAGTTTCGCTCAGTCCCTTTCTTGATATGAGTGCCCTACTTTTGAAAAGTGGATTAGAAGTAACCCAAGACATTCTCGATTCATTCTCTCGTATGACTTCTAGAGTGAATTCGAAGTCGATGATGTAGAGATAGTTGAGTTGAGAGTTGGGAATAGATGGGATAAAAGGGTAAAAGGGGTACATGTTTGAAAAAAGTGGTCGGTGCGTTAAACTGACAAGCCAATCGGATTCGAGGTGGATTTTTGGCAAAGCTAACAGCTGACAGCTGACAGCTGTACAGCTATCACTGTCAACACTGTCAAGTTAAACTTAGGTACCTAGAGTCAGTTCCCACTTGTCGTCTGCTCCATTATTCTTCTGCCCCACTATCAATTTTTAGTAGAATGAAGCTCAAAAACGATAACGATGAGCTGCAAACAAACCTACAAGAAGTGGTGATCAATCTTGTAGGAAGTAAATCATTTCGAAGACGTCTATAATAGCCAGTTCCGTCCGGTGTCTGCTATTTGCCTTGAGTTACGATTACATGTTGACTCATCCGGAGGTCAATGCGTTTTCTTTTACGCCTATCATCCTACTTCTCGAATTTCTATAGGGGATATAAGCCGCGCCCTCACTTAATATTACAGTCCCTCATGGTAAAGAGAAAATCGGAAGTGCTAGGTGACAGCTCCGGGATTCAACCACTTTCTCGGATTAGAAAGATGGCAGCACAACCAGCGACTACTACTATTGAACTGAGCCCAAAGGAGGCTCAGCTCAAAGACTTGCTTTTAGATGCCGCCAAATTCATAGACGAGTCAGGAACTACCCAAGATCAGGTCATTTTACGATGGGCTGGCGGCTGGGTTCGCGATAAACTCTTGGGAATTGAATCTCATGATATCGATACGGCTATCAACGTTATGACCGGAGAGGCTTTCGCACTGAAGCTATGCGAGCTATGTCAGCAGCCTGATATTGTCAAGAAGCATGGTATTGAGGAATCGGATATTGGCAACCTCTATAAGATTGCGCGGAATCCAGAAAAATCTAAACACCTTGAGACGACGACAATTAAGCTCTTCGGATATGACGTCGATTTCGTGAATCTCCGTAAAGAGACTTACACCGAGGACAGCCGGAATCCCCAGATGGAATTTGGCACCGCTGAAGAAGATGCACTACGAAGAGATGCTACTGTTAACGCTCTTTTCTACAATCTTAACACTGGCAAGGTGGAGGACTTCACGACTGGACTGGCCGATATGAAATCGCGGCTGATAAGAACACCGCTAGAGCCATTCCAGACCTTTATGGATGATCCTCTCCGCGTCCTCAGACTAGTTAGATTCGCCAGCCGCCTAGAGTTTACTATCGACCCGGCTGCCGAGAAGGTAATGGGCGACCCTCGAGTCCTTGACGCCTTACGTCTAAAGATCAGCCGTGAAAGAGTTGGTATTGAGCTTCAGAAAATGCTTACAGGCAAGTTCATCTATAGTATTACCATGGAATTGAGTTATTAATAAGGTACTATAGGTAACCATCCTCGCAGGTCTTTAGAATACATCAATAATCTCGGACTTTACCACACCATTTTCACAGACCCGTCTAAGCCGGATATTCCAATTCCAGATATCTCCAATTGGAGGTCAGTATATGAATGTCTTGACTCGCTCCGCCGGAACAAGACCCCTGGCTCTATTTACGACGTCCTTGTACGGTCAGATGAAGCCGCCTATTATGCCTGGGTCCTAGCGGCCATCTGCCCCTGGGAGAATGTCGAAACCCCCAAGCATTCTGGCAAGGGCAAAGCGCCACCACCCTTGGTAACTCTAGCGGCTCGAGAAGGTATCAAGGCACCCAATAAGCTCTGCGATCTTGCAACTGCTGCTCATAATAACAGAACGGAAATCATGTCTCTCGTGACAGCTGTTTCGGATAAGGCACCCTTCATCGCGGAAAGAGACAGGTTCGGAATGGCAATCCGGCATTGGGATTCAAGAGCTGGCCACTGGAGGCTACAGGTTTTGTATGCTTTCCTAGTTGAGGTTATGAATGTTTTAGGCACAAAGTCAAAAGACACAGGTTAGATATTATCTGTTACAGCCCATTTAAACCCCGTACTAATACTAACAACCAAACAGTCAGCACGGATGAATTCCTACGCAAATGGCAAGCGTTCCTGGATCATCTACAAGAACTAGACGTTATGGAGGCTCCGTCGCTAAAACGGATAATCGATGGCACTCAACTTACCAAAGCGTTGGGTCTCAAACCCGGCAAATGGTTGGCTCAAGCCCTGGAGGTCTGTGTTGCCTGGCAGCTGCGTCATCCAGAAGCCACCGATCCGGCGGGTGCTATAGAGGAGGTCCAAAGTAAAAGAGCCGAGCTAGGAATCCCGGAAAATTAGAAAAACGAGTAAGAACTACGTAATGATACCCACGGGCTTATGAATATATTTAATTATTCTATCAATAGGTATCTATGGCTTAGGTATTTGATGGTCCTGCCTTTCTCGTAACATAAGCCATCATAAACTAACGTTACTTGACACCAAGGTAAGTTCTAGATGCATGGAACTATAAACACTATGGGTTTTTGTAATCGATTCGTAAACATTGCATGTCAATATCAATATCACCTACTGATATCTAGGTAATAGTTCCTCAATTAAGTGAATGAGTACCTAAAATATACACACCTCTCTAGCTACTAAGTAACTCGTGAATATCAACAAACACTACAAATAAAGACTATTTTCTTGTAAACTAACACATCTAATATTCTTTCTGGATGTATTTTGTAGTCATTCTAGCCCAAATGTACATTGAATTTGTTAATAGACGAAGTAGCTTAATATAATATGGTGTCACACGCGCTCGAATGTATCAAATTAACTCCTATTATACCAGCTCGCCAGAACAAAATTACCATCCATCCCAATTAAGACACTAGGGGTAAGACCACCTGCTGAGGATTAAGGAAATATATCGTAACGTCATTAATAAGCCACTTCCTCTCCCAATCAACTTCCCCTAACCATAACCAACCGATTTCGACCCCCTATAACTCCAATTCCCTCCCCTCCCAGCCTCAATCGTCCCTAACCGGCGTATTCAAGGCGTCCCTAAGCTCCCTACCCCTAGACTGAAGCAAAAAATTGCTGCGGCCCAGTAGACTATCTCGGAACCCTTCGACTTCCGCACGGGTCTCGTCGAGAAGTTCTCCATCTGCGACTAGTCCTTTCAATTGGTTCAAGAACGGTTCCCACGAGTTCTCCTCTACGTCCTCTCCTTTCTCAGCGACCTTCACCTGCGCCTCCAGGCCGTCGATGAGTGTCTGGTTGGCTTCTTCCACTTGCTGTTTGTAGTCTGCGTCTTCGTCCGGCATGGTAGGTATCCTCCCCTCTAAGGTATAGAATTAAGTTGAAGAGCCGTGGACGTAAGAGAGGGTTGTCAATTAGACTCAGCAAAGTCGATATGCTAGGTTGGCAGATAGAGACTAATGTTCTCCCCCCCTGAAGTCCTAAGTGGATATAAGTATCCACCACACGCTCTAGCTTATCTCTTGCAAGAAGGCGCTTAGAAATATTCGCTTTGGACTCACCGATATCCGGTGATCGGCGTGCTGTGTGCGTAATGCGGAAAGTCCCTGCTGATATCAGCGGCGAAACAGAGAAGCGCCGACCAAGGAATGGCGGCGAGTATAAATACGAGAGCCATGAGCTCGTTGTCACGGCCCATTCTATTTCATCTGGTAGTTAAAGTGGATTATGGCACTGACGAATCCTATAGTTGCTCGATATATTATTTCACCACTTTCGGCATTGGGACTGGCGTGGGACGCATCGTTGACGACTTGGTAGTCTTTACCTCGTCTCGGGACTTACTGATTGGTTGGGTAGCCCTGTCATATCGGCACGGTACGCATGCATCGTGCCTCCGTAGACAACCCAAGACTTCTAATTGTCCTGAAAGTTCCATGTTAAGAACAAGAATTACTCTGCGGCAAGTACGTGTTAGCAGATATCTAGACTGAAGTTGACGATGGATTAAACTTACGTAAATTAATAGCGTGTGGTTAAGAATATGCTGCATACATAATTCTTTAAGTCTCGGCGTTAACCAAGAGCGGTGTCTGCGTGGCGTGACGAACTTGCAACATCGAACAAGTAGTATAGGAGGATCTGCTGACTCGCCCTACCTGTCATAAATTATAGTAACAATCTCCCGCGATGGTAATTATAGTAGGCATAGGTCGGGTAGAAAAATAACATCGTAAATATGACTAACATGGCAACTAACATGGCATGATTAGAGATCGATCTGCGGCGGCGGATCTCGGAAGAATAAGCCACAGAGATGATGAGCGTGGGGGTTTACTCAGGGGACTTCTCCTAAATAGTGGCATAGTGCCGGTTTCAAAGGGTCAGGTGGTCAGGTTAAGGGGGGAAAACGAGGATAGTGGTAAGAGTACCATTCCGATATACATATGCTTTAATATGATATGTATAGCAACCTAGCCCAACCCAACGTCGTAGACGAAGCCCAACGCGCTAAGAGCTCATGGCATAGACATGATTGCCGGTATAAAAGACCACAAACGATCAATATCATCAGATCCCTAAGCCCAGAGTAAACGAGGAACTCCCGTCGATCCAGAAAAGGTGTAACATCTCACCAAAACGACCCACCGTAAACAAATTTCAGATACCCTCTGCAGTCAGGTTCCAATTATGGACACTTCCTCGTGGTTCAAACCGGTTCGTCGTAGCACCATTAGTCGAACCCCCCTTTCTCAATGTTGAACCGTTGGGTTCCGGCGTTCCCCATCCCCCTCCACCAGGACTAGACAGATGGAAACGATTAGCTTTCTTCGAAAATGTATGTATGCAGAGGGAGTCAGGTGGAAGCAAACTTACGTGTTAATAATAACGCGCTCTCCGGGAACCACGTCCAGCTCCATCTTGCCTCCGATGTTGATAGTCCGTTCCTTACCGCCCTCCCCCTTTTTGATGTAGAGGTTCCTACCTACAGCGCCCGGCCCACCACCTTCTAACCCGTACGGGCGCATTACACGTCGCTCGCTGAGGACGGAGACGTGGAGCGGGATCCGGAATTCGACCTCGCGGATACACCCGTCGCCTCCACGATATTTACCAGCTCCTCCGGAACCCTCTCTAAGCGTCCACCTCCGGAGGATCACGGGGTAACGCAGTTCGTATACCTCCGGATCCGCGCATCGCGTATTAGACATGTTCGTGTGCACCCCAGAAGCTCCGTGCCACGTCGGTCCGGCTCCCGAGCCACCGGCGATAGTCTCGATATAGCCAAACCCGGGTACCTCGTTGCCCGAATCGTCCGTGCCTCCCATGCCAAACCCAAATACGTTTACACACCCTTGCGACGCAGCCATCGCATGGAAAGCGCCTAGTATAACGTCGGTAACTCGCTGGGAGGTAATACTATTACCCGCACAGACCGCTGCCCACGGAGAGGGGTTGAGAATCGTGCCTTCGGGAAGGATGATGTCGATAGGGGCTATACAGCCTTGGTTCAAAGGTATATCCTGATTAATAAGACATCTAAGCGAGTATATGACCGCAGAATAAGTAATCGCTTTCGGAGCATTGAGGCAGTTGAGGGTTTCTTCCGACGTGCCGGTGAAATCGAATACTGCATTTCCCGTTTCGCTGTCAATTTGGATCTGTAATACTATGGCCGATCCATCGTCCATATAGTCCTCGAATGAGATCGGTTTGCCGTTAAGTCTTTTGGCCACCGAGCGGAGGTAGTTCCTAACCGCCACCTCTGCGTTTTCTGCAATCGCGTTCATGTACCTGTGCACAACGGGTAAGGTGAACTCTTTTACAAGCGCGTCAATCAAATTGGCACCCTTTCTGTTAGCCGCAATCGCGGCACGCATATCGGAAAGGTTGTCCTTGTAATTGCGAGATCCGCTGCACCCGGTATATTGCGAGGGCTCGTCATATAGGAACCGACGCGTCTCTTTCTCATTAAAAATGCCACCGCTTACGATCTTGTAGCTTATAGTGGCGGCGCCCTCTTCGTATAGAAACTTACTGTTAGACGGCATAGAGCCTGGACTAATCCCACCCACGTCGGGATGGTGACCTCGAGAAGCAACCCAGAAGATGATGTCTTTCCCTTCTGCATCCCATATCGGTGTCATAATTGTGATGTCCGGAAGATGTACACCGCCAGCTACGGGGTGGTTACTGCAGAGAATATCGCCTGGCTTGAGAGTATCCCGATACCTCTCGTTCTGGAACCTAACGGCGTACTCCATCGACCCAAGATGAACCGGAACATGAGGCGCATTCGCAACGAGACGACCGTCAGGGGAGAAGAGGGCACATGAAAAGTCCAAGCGTTCTTTGATGTTAGTAGAAACTGATGTCTTCTGGAAAGTCCTTCCCATTTGTTCTGCGATCGACATGAATCTGTGTCCAAATATCGACAACCGGATGGGGTCGATCACCGTGGTACTCAGTGTCTGAGTCCTCTTAGAAGGGAGATCTAGTATGACATGGCGACTAAGAACTGTTGCCTTGACAAGGGGTTCCACAATTATAGTCTGGGTGTTGTCGATGATAGTAGCAGGTCCTTGTATGACGCATCCAGGTTTCAATTTCTCAAGTAGGTAGATAGGTGTATCTGTCCAACCGAATCCAGAAAAGTAGACGGGAGACTTGCCATCCTCGTCAGAGTTAGTGACATCGAATTTCGCCACGGAAGCAAGCTCGCGATTCGGCGACTCGTTCGCGCTATCCATAGACTGTCCAATACCACGGACGCGGATATCTTCAAGAAGTATGTTCTTGTCTGGGAACGTAAAGGAATACTCGCGCTGATGTTGGCGGGTGAATTCCGCGATATAGTCGCCATCGGCCGGCTCGAGGATCATGAGGCTATTATCAGTTCCCTGATACCTTAGGTTCAGATATACTTCATGCTTTATACGATCCTTCGAGATTCCATCAAGTTCAAGTTCCTTAGTTACTTCCTCTTTTAGCTCATTAACAGTTGGTGAAACAGACTCGGCTGTAGTAAAGACGCCGGAGCTAGGCTTTTGAGCTTCATGAACAAGTTCGGCGAGTGCCATGCCATATGCAGAGAGGATAGAGGAATAGCGATGAATAATGACCCTGGTGATCGATAGCGACGTTGCGATAGCGCAGGCATGTTGGCCTCCCGCACCGCCAAAGCAAGCAAGGTGATGAGTCGACGTGTCGTATCCGCGGGCTTCGGTTAACGCACGTATCGGCTTCGCCATCGTTTCGTTGGCGACTTCAATAAAACCCATAGCAACCTCCTCAGGGGTTTTATTTTGGCCAGTCTCCGAGTTGATTTGCGCAGCAAGCTCGGCAAACTTCTTTCGAGTAATCTCGACATCTAAAGGCTCGTTCTCGCTCTTCCCAAAAATCTTGGGGAAATAATCAGGTAAAAGACGGCCGGTCAATGCGTTTGCATCGCTAATAGCCAAGGGGCCGCCCTTGCGATAACAAGCCGGACCGGGGTGTGCGGCAGCCGAATCGGGTCCTACGGCAAACAGACCGTGTCTCCAATGTAAAATACTTCCTCCGCCAGCTGCAACGGTATTGATATCCAATTGTGGCGCCATTATATTTATCCCTGCAGTGATGTTTTCGAAGGTGTGCTCGAATATACCATCAAATCGGGACACATCGGTGCTCGTGCCACCCATGTCGAATCCAATAATGGGTATTTTGTCCTCCGGGTCGTAACTAGTGCCGGCGTGGCCAACGACACCTCCTGCCGGGCCCGAGAGAACAGCGCGGAGCCCGCTGAATCTTTGCGGCGTCAGTGCCCAGTCTATTGTGGAAGATTTAAATGACTTATAAACTCACTTTCTTATATCTACTAGACCCCCATCGCTTTGCATGAAAGCGCAACGCGTATTAGACGATTGTAATCTGTCTGTGAAGCCCGACTGGAATCCCGAAATATACTGCTGTATGATAGGTGTGAGATAAGCATCCGCAGTCGCTGACATACCTCTCGAAATCATTTTGATCATGGGCAAGGTGAGGCAGGACAGTGTCACCTGAGAGAAGCCAATCTCAGAAGCTATGTCTCGGACTGCCCGTTCATGATCTGGTATAAATGTTAATCACTCATATATCAAGAGTGCTTAGTTGAGTTTAATACCTTGGAAGGTATATGAATGAGCGAGACAAACACATATGCTGCGGATACCCTCATCGTAAAGACCTTTCAGATCTCTTCTAACGCGATCTTTATCCAGAGGTTTGAGGATTCGGATATATTGGCCGTTGAGACCCTCAACTAAATTCGGATCGCTCTCAGCTGCCTTAGTAATGGCTGCGACTTCTTGCTCATAAAAAGGGTTCTGTTGATAGCCTTCGACTGTGACTCTTTCAGCTACTTCAACGACTTTCTCATACAGCACGTCCGGGCGGACAATGTTCAAATCGAATAGCTTGGGCCGTGATTGGAGGCCAATTTTTAAGCTGTCCTCAAACCCTTCTGTGATAAGAAGACCAACCTTCTCGCCCTTGCGTTCTAGCAGCGCATTCGTTGCTACCGTAGTACCCATGCGGATGCTAAGATCTTCGAATAAAGAAGTGTCGATTGGCTCATTACGAGGAAAACTCTTTCCGGTGGCCTTTTCGAGGATACGCCTAATACCTTCGATAGGTGCATCGTCGTAATTAGAAGGGTCCTGAGACAGAATCTTCACTACAATGTCATCTTCTCGTCCCTCGATTATGCCCAGGCAATCAGTGAAAGTACCGCCTCTATCTGTGCTTGATTAAGCATTCTGTTCGGCGCCACTGGCTAAGGTGGCGGCGTACCAATAGCAATTTTAATTCTCAATTTAGAATCTGACCCCAAGAGTCCCTGGCTACCGTCGGGAGCCATTTTAGAATGTCGAGACCAAACTCGAAAACTCGGATTTGAGTTGATATCATAAAAGATAGATATTTTCTTTGAATGATATATGACCAGTTACGTAGCGCGTGTAAGTCATACGAAGTGCGGATGCTGCATCATTTGGCATTCAGATAACGAATCGTGAATCTTGGGAAGGTCGGAACGACAAAGTGTCGATCTAGGTAACACAAGTCTAGTTGATTTAGCAATTTAGTTCGTTGATTGATTTATCGTATTTACTTACCATTTACCATTTACCCACGTGGATGGCTTAAGTCGATACTATTCTCGAGGTGAGACAAAGAATTTGGGGGGTTTGCCGGGGATGGTTTACTTGTTAGCTTTGTAAAGAAACGCTGTAGAGAGACGCTATAGATTTAGTAGTACCCGCTGTTACCTTAGAAAAGTGGATCGATCTCCCTATTTCCACTCGACCCCGCCTTTCTCCGATACGGATGTGGATCACGGACACAGATTTATAGGCAGGGCTGGCAGGTCAAGCCGACGGCGCTAAAACATCCGGGCGGGGCCCAATCAGGACCCGCTCTCTTTTCCGTGATGGACTCATATTATACATAGTATATAGGTATGTAGTACAAAGTATAAAGTATAGGTATGTATATATTATATTGTATTAATTATACTATTATACTACCCAACATAAGTATGTATAACTATGGCATGTGTATTACCGAGGATCTAGTACGTATATACCTCCCAGGTTGATATGTACGACATGTACGAAATCCCTAGCCCCTAAATGCCACGTGTAGTCCTAGTACAAATATATCCTTGGTACATATATATCCATGAAGCCCAGCAATCCCTAGCCGGCATTCCCTAGTAATCCCCATTCACCTATCCTATCTTGCCTAACTGGTCATGGTAACCCTCCATCGTGTAGTCTTGTGTCGCCTAGCCTCCCCGTGTCCTTGTCTCCCTGTCTTCTTAGCAGTTTCGCCTACACCTGCTTACCATAACACGCCTAAACGTAGATTTAAAGGGAATTTAGAAGAATTTAGAGGGAGAACAAATTTCCTATCCTCCGCCTTACCCACTATCATAGAGTCTAAAGGCGTCTCCTTGTCACGTCAAGTCGCGGCAGAATTGTCTATCGTGCGACTTATTCTTGTGGATCGGCACACCCCGTTTCCACTCGATAACGACGAGAAGCATTATAAAAACGAGGCCGATGTCCACAACGTAGTAGTATTACATGAAGCTTTCGTAGTTGTAAACTTTCCAAACATCACGATTTCTTTGCGAGCACCTACTTGCTCTTCGTCACAATGACTACACAAGATTCCCCGAAGCCGTCCGTGTTGATCGTTGGTGGAGGTTGTTTTGGCCTCGCTACCGCGTACACTCTTGCTTCTTCTGGTTATACAAAAGTTACAGTTCTGGAAAAAGATGATGTGATGCCGAGTCGTTTCTCTGCTGGCAACGACCTCAACAAAGTCATCCGCGCTGAATATGCTGATATTTTCTACACGGATCTCGCTGTAGTAAGTTGACGAACATCAACGTGCCCCCCCTAGTTCTCTAGTAACCCACTAACCATCGTAGAAAGCCATCCGCAAATGGCAGAGTGACCCGTTGTACAAACCTCATTTTCGCCAGACTGGTTTCTTAAATGTGACTTCAGAAAGCGCCCCGCAAGCAACCAAGGATGTGGTTACGAACTACCTTACTTCAATCAGGGAGCATCCGGCATTTGAGGGACAAGTTTCAACCGTTCATGGCGCAGAAGAGATAAAGAAGGTTGCACCCGCGTTCACCGGTCCCACGGCAGGATGGTCAGGCTACTTTAACAAAATGGCCGGATATGCTCATTCGGCAGACGCATCAAAAGCTGTTTATGATGCCTGTATTAAGTTGGGCGTCAATTTCGTCCTTGGTAGAGACAATGGAGAAGTGACTCAACTAGTTTATGACGCCATATCATCTAGAAGGGTGTGTGTCGGGGTTAAGACGCGTGGGAACCAGATATACCATGCAGAAAAGGTCATACTGGCTTTAGGTGCTGACGTTCCGGGTTTGATTCCTCAGTTAGGGCCACAGGTTACTGGTCGTTGCTGGGGCGTCGTGCACATCCAACTAACGCCTGAAGAGGCCTCACCTCTCAGGGGCATACCTGTCACTAATGTTCGGGACCTTGCCTTTTTCTTCGAGCCTGACAAAGCCACCAACAAGCTCAAATTCTGCCATATGGGGGGTGGCTTTACTAACTTTGCCTTGACCAAAAATGGATTATCACTTCCTTACGAGAAACTAGAGGATTCCCAATTCATCCCATTGGATGACGAGGCCTACATTCGTAAACTGCTCCAGGAGGTGTTTCCCCAATTTGCAAACCGCCCACTAATCGACAAACACCTGTGCTGGTTTGCAGATACGATAGACTCTGACTACATCATTGATTTTGTCCCTGACACTAATTCCTCGCTTGTTGTCCTCTCTGGAGACTCAGGTCACGGGTTCAAGATGCTTCCAATCTTTGGAGAGTTCGTCAAGGAAATTTTGGAACGCGGGTCGCAAAATATTGCGAAGTGGCAGTGGAAAGATGATACCAAACTCAAATCGACAGGGACGTGGCGTGGTGACACGGCCACGCAAGAATTGTCAGAGATACCACGTGCATAGCTACACAACATATGTATGATGAGAAGGGCTACATGATTATGTCAACCCCCTTTACCAATTAGATAGGCCTAGCAGTTGTCAGTTAGCACAATACATATTCCTCCATGTAGCCAGGCCCACGAGAATACCCAGGAAACTCAGATCCCGACGTTCCCGAGCTTGCCCGAGCCTATCCGGACATGATAATAGTTACATAGGTAACTACTAGAATCCTTTGGCCATCCCTAGGCCACTGAAACATTTAGGAACAAGGAGTTACATTGGTGGTTTAGTCCTGAATGGGCTCGTAGTTCTTCGTGTAATAGCATATTTGTGACCCTAATTCAAACTCATATTTGACAATAGCTAGCCGTATCGAATACCTACCTTAGGTACTCTTTAATGACATATCGTGATATTTATTTCGCGATGCTTATATTCTGGTGTTCAGATCGTAGTTTTCAAAACGGCATCTGTACCATTTGCGACTAAAAGTATTGTAGCACTCATTCATAGCACAAGACTCATATCGTGCGAGCATAAAATCCTATATTCTTTGTTGGTAAGATAGCTAAACTACTTAAATAGCACGTAATTGATGATAGCGCCATACTGATACTGAAGCTGACCACATCACATCAAACGACCAGCCAATAAGCGCTTACAAGGCAACATAGCCGCAGCAATAGGACCCAGAGAGTCGGTAACAGTCATGGCACAATTGACGGACTGGGGTTCATCAAACTGATATCGTGCTCGACGGCATACATATGTCGCTTAGATCTGCAGATATTAGACTAGATAATTACTTACATCAGATCCTAGCATGCGGCCGCTTCTCTCTCCCACAAAGCCGTCTAGGAATTTCTATTGGTCAGAATCGTATCTCGAACTGTTAGGTAAGAATATATCGGAGTTGTCCAGAGCTCCCCGCTACGTCAACTCCTTTTGGACGGAGTTTTCTCCACAGTACGCAGCCAATACTGTCGACACCCCTGGCTCGGGCAAATGAAAATGAGGCATTGCACGGTCCTAAGACCGGGTTCCTGTTATCAGGACGTTACATGCCGAATCTAGGCGCTGCCACCCATTCGTCGCCTCGAGCTTCTCTCAGAACCGAATCGTACTAGGTATTTCGGCCTACGCTGGGAAGCTCGGACCATGGAGGGTTTACTATGGTATAGATGCGTGATGCTGAACTCTGTGATGGTTCTAGCGCGTGTAAAACATTGGCAGGCAATGGCGTCTCGGATATCATGGGCTAAGAAGGGATTGCGCTGGGGGAAAAGGTAATAGTTACGATTATACGATTACGACTGCCGCTATCATTCCGATTCATATTGCAAGCCATAAGTCTAACAGTCGCTCCCCCAGATCTTCTAGGATATTGTAGCAGACTGTCTCGACGCGTCATTAAACTAAACCTCCAACAGTAGAAATCCACCGTTAGAGCCCGCGGTTTACAAACGCATATCATGGACCATTATAACGAGAGAAATATCGACCAGAAGGAGACTGTGCTTGCTGAAACCGAGGCTGGAGGCCATGTAGTCGGCGACCTGGTGGGACTGGGACGCGACGCCGACGTCGCCGCTCAGTTTCTCGCCTCCCTGGACCCATCCATCGTCAACGAGCCGATCACCAAAGAAGAAGCTCGACGCGTACTTTGGAAAATCGATCTGATCATTCTGCCTCTGCTTGCTCTTTCAGTAATCATATCGGCGGTAGACAAAGTTATAATCTCCAATGCGGCGATCTATGGCATGCGCGAGGATACCCATCTGGTCGGTGACCAATTCTCCTGGGTCGGGTCTATTTTCTACTTTGGCTTCTTAATCGCAGAATGGCCTGGTAACGTCCTGATCCAAAGACTTCCAATTCGGTCGTTCTATGCCATAACGGTCCTTATGTGGGCGGCTCTTACTTTTGCTACCGGTGGAACGAACAACTTCGCGAGTCTAGCATCCGTTCGCTTTCTGAGTCAGTCGTCCCATGATCCTTAATGAACCCGTGGGGAAGTATCCAAAGCTAATGATGATATTAGTGGGCATTTTCGAGGCTGTGGTCTTCCCCGTCTGTACCTTAGTTTCGGCCATGTGGTGGACCATCGACGAGCAACCAATTAGGATCGCCATCTGGTACAATACCTTGTCCTCCGTCGTCACAGGGCTATTCTCGTATGGCGTCGGCCATAGCAACTCCAGTGTCGCCCCGTGGCGACTGCTTTTCTATATTCTCGGGGGTATCACTACCGTCTGGGCGGTGATCCTCTACGCGTTCCTACCAAGCTCGCCAGTCGAGGCCTGGTGGTTGACGGATCGACAGAAGTATGTCTGTCTGGAACGGGTCCGCAAAAGTAATACCGGAATCGAAGACAAGAAGATTAAATGGTATCAGGTTAAGGAATGCTTGATGGAACCCAGAGCTTGGCTGATCTCCATATTTGCGTGTGCTATCAATATCCCAAATGGTAGAAAATGAACCCGCCCCTAATCCACTGGATGGCCATACTGACATGGATCTTTCTGCAGGCGGCCTGGTCACGTTTGCGGCCATAATCGTCAATAGTATGGGTTTCAGTCCCCTAGACACCACCCTCTTAGGAATGCCAACCGGTGTCATCGCTACGGCTTGGTCTATAATCCTGAACGTTATCGCAAGTCGTCTACCTGGTTGGCGGTGCGTCCTCATCGTATTCGCCATATTGTTTCCCATGGCTACAGCGATATTGATGTGGAAGCTCCCTTCGGATAACAAGCTTAGTCTCCTGGGTGCCTACTATGCCTTCTATTCGTACTGGGCGCCTTACACCATGTGCACTTCTCTTCCCATGGCTAATACATCAGGGCACACTAAGAAGGTCACGCTAAATGCAATGTTTTTCTTAGGCTACTGTGTAGGGAACATCCTAGGCCCCCAAGTATTCCGCGCCGATGACGCTCCGGAATATCACAAAGGGTATATTGGACTCCTAATATCGCTCATCGTTGGTGCTGTGACTATTGCAGCTTATGGTTTTACGTGCTATTGGGACAACGCCAAACGTGACAAGCTGCAAGGAGGGGCCCCGGTACCCCAGACAGAAGAAGAGAAATCACGAGAAGCCTTTTCTGATATGACGGACAAGGAGAAGCTCAATTTCAGATATACTTACTGATCAGGTTTCGACTAGTGGTGAGGTACATCTTCCTACGCTTGGACTAACTTCTATTGTCAAATGTCGGAAGAGTTTTACGACGTACTGAGGAAGTTACATAATTATTATCTACATTTAATATATGTGCTACATATGCAATCCACCAGTATTCTTGAGTCACGGAGAAACCCACTAGTAGAGTCGTTACGACAGGCGATCCTGGATAGGATGGTCTTTGTCTAGTGTACGTGCCCGGGGCAACATCAGGGGTTCCGGAGGTGCTAAGCTAATACCCAGGAAGGGAGGGATTCGTCGTCGTCTGGTCCAGAAGCCGCGCGACAGTGCCGGAAGTGTATCAGAGATCCTCACGGGGTGGGTCCAGGCAGGCTTTACGTACCAGAAAATAGGATATCAGGATTTAGTGGGCTGTTCTATCGGCGATACTGACAATTCTTCGGAATCCCTATAACGTTATCCTATGGATCTCATGGTATGTTTTCTTTAAAGCAACTCTTGGCGGTGGATCTGATGAGATAATTACAAGTGCCGTCCTACAACCTACAACTTGTGCCGTTTGACAAGGAAGTGAAAATACACATCTCCAAGACTTGCCGCATAGTCCCGCATAGGGAATGATAATGAATAGCGAGGCTTTTGATTCGCCGGTTTAGTAGGTAGTAATCTAGTACATTGTCAACAATGTCTACTATGTAAGAATACTCTTAGTCTCTTAGGCCCTGATGATATGTGATGGTTAGAATGATGTTGTAACTATTGTAAAAGATTCTTGTACTTTACTTGCCTACTTCTAACTGGTGGAAATCTTATATATGCAGTTATGCAATTGCACCTACCTACAGCCCCTTAGGCTATGTATTATCTCGAACTAAAGCAGTAGGGGTTGTCCGTCATCTACTAATAGGAAGCACTAATGCACGGGTTATTCCGCACACTATGAGCTCGCTTCGACCTTCAATTGCGGTACAGTTACTGTGACAATGTGGATCCCAATCCCACGATGTGATGAAGTACATAATTAGGAACAAGTCCGCTCTCATGATTTATCGGCTTGACCTTCAGTTTCTTATTCCCGGGAGTCGGGAGAAAGTTAAATGGGGCTAGTTTGTATCAGCATCTTTGGACTTTTTGATTTTCTTGAGGTGATGTGGCATCCAACTTGTTCGACAAAAAGCTCCTAAATCCGATACCTGGTGGATCTTAATGATCACCATAAACCCCATACTTATATTCTTAGGAGGTACCTAACTCATATTTATTATTGCCCTCGCTCTTCAATTCCTGTTCTTGTCTTAAAGCTATCATTCCGAAGTGTGCGGTTCGTCTCAACTTCTCATGGTAGATATGAATTTGACTACCATTAAGAGTGCCTAATATATCCTAGAAGGCTGCATGTTGCATTGATAAACACATTCATCGTACGTGGGTTTTATCGAGTAGGTATATCGCAATATCGCAATATCGCACACCCTCTGCAAAGTTACCAACTAATCAGAGGGATTTAATGGAAAAGCTAAAACTCAGTTGTGTCGCTATTGCGGCTTTCCAGAGAGTTGGCACTTTCAAGTCGAGGGGTACTTCCAATGCCTAGCTTCGATTCAACGAGGAACTGGCTTGTAAGATGTCTGCGGATGTCGTAGCTAGGAAAGACGAGTAAGCGGTTACTCCGATAGTAAGGATGGGCCGTGCTGTTGATTGCCAGTGCATATCGTGAACGGCTCGAGTTTCGACCTTGGCTAACATCAAGGCGATCTAAGCGGCTGCGCTAATGACCGGTCCTAACTAGCACGAGGCAATCGTCGGAGATATAGCTGTCCCAATGCCATACATGGAAACGCAACACCAGGGCTGGGCTTGATGAGCCAAAACTTCAGTTCTTCTAGACAGAACACTGCATGGTTTCAACTCTGAGGAGATACTCAGCGGAATTGCTCGGGCGTGAAATCACCGGGATCGAGGCGCTTGGACTGGAACCTTTCTAAGATATGGCGGACAGATGCTAGGGGGTGGCCTACTATGTGGGAAACCGATAAAGGTTCCAGCCTGGTAATCGCAGACACCCCACGTCCTTCGATTGGCGATTAGTCCGTTATCAGCAACCCGAAGCACGTTACCGGATCCTTTGCCATCACCGATGATCAGCTTAGGCTCGCTCTCGAACCGGTATCTCAGCGTATTAGGAATCCTAATCGTGTCGGCTTTCGCAGTTTCGCTCATCGTATCTGGACTTTAGATATGTCGCGAAGGAATAGGGACACCCCGCATTCTCTAACCTAGGCTCGATGAGTAGTAGAAACATGGATTCGAAGAGGACCTAGAGAGGTAGATATATCATACAGTTAACATCACCATGGCTAACAGGTAACTGAAATTTGGATTTCCTCCCGAAATACAAATAACTTTCTACCCGCAAATGGGTTTTATTGAGCTAAGTATATCACCCTTAATCTTGACCAAGACAATTATCTCGGCCTGCCAGCCGATAAACCCGCTTTTATATCTGCCTCGAGTTAGCTAACCGAAATGTTTAGGTCGCTAAAAATCAATGGATAAATTGGCGGGCCAAAGGAAAAACAAGCCAGTATAAACCCATCCCATGCCATGCCGAAGTCGTACGGCGAAATTCCAAACTATTCCATCATTTCAGCGGCGACATAAACCCTTTAAATTTCCGCATAAATCACACAATTATGTAAGGCTCAGTAATGATGAGCCTCCCAGCATAGAAATCGCACGCTCCCAAGGATATCGTGTTCGCTGCCTACGACTCGTAGGCGATGTGGGACCACGATCCTTACCAACATAACTCCTGACAGAATCACTAGGTGATACGAAAAGTATCTTTCGCGGGTTTTCGTCGCATCCTAGGTCACGTTGGCGCCAGACCATCTGAATGACTGTAAGCGCTGGTGGTAGGCTCTAAATAAATGTTAACAGACAACCTCGTTGGTACTTGAAGGGGATATCGGGCCACAATTAGGCAGTATATCAACTTACTCCGAATTTCTCTTCACTTAGAAACTTGTCGAATATCTCCATCACTTGCAGGCGGTCATCATCAGTAGAGGCCATGCATCCAGCCACAAATACTGGCCAAATAGGGAGGGCGGCAGTAATAGGTCCTGTCTCGCAGATGTTTTTGACATAGGAAAGGATTTTCTGGATGATGACAGAACGACTCTTTCGGCATCGCGGAACAATATGAGGGAGATGGGTAGCGCAGGTTTCGTCAAGGAAAAGAAGTGCAGCTAGCCTGTTCGAGTCTGCTGTCATCGTAATAAATTCTAACTTGAGTCGGAGTTTTTCAGGTTCGAGCCGAGCATCACAATCCATACCAGCCGCCAAAACTTGGTGGATGTTTTCCGGCGGCACCTGTGTAAGGGTATCAAGCTTGGACTGAATTTCAATCACCCTACGTTCCAATGCTTCCGTATCGGCATCTTGGTGGTTTGACTCATCGGAGTTCTGAGCATCACGCAGGTCGCATATGTCGTTAATAATAAGAAGCAGGCGGTTACTAAACCCTTGATGGGTATCAATTTTGTCCAGCTCATCGTTAAAGCTAGGACCTACGAGGCGGAAACCTAGCTGTGTCGTGGACTCCCCATTTCCATAACTGGACGACATAGTTTGTGACGCTGCATTATGGGGCACTTCCACGCCCGCGTAATTCGTGTTGTTGCACCCCTTATGTGTAGTTGCCGGACTTCCTAGGAGCCTCGATAGGATATGTTTATATGATGGTATCACATCATCAACGTGGAGGGTGCTTTTGGCCATAATTAAGTGATACATTAGGTATTGCTGGCTGAAGTGCAGTATCCCTTCGTAATCGGCGGAACGGATATTTTGTTCCAGACAGACATCCAAGAGTCCGAATATGCCTACAAGGTGACTGATCCAAGTTGATTTGCAATTGTCGCTAATCTGGCAATTATCATTTATGAGCTACAGCCACAAAGTCAGAATAGGAAGAAGACTCACATCATACCAACATAGCATAACAACAGATACGAGGGCCTCAAGACATTTGGCTGTATCGATATGGTCGCTTTCCAGGAGACGTTTAACGTCCACCAGCACCCGGTGACGATGCACCAAAGCTCTACGATGAAATTTAGGATCTTTTGCCGCCATTTTGATGGCACTCACTGCTAACATAGCAGAAAACACAGTACTAGAATGTGATGCCATTGGAACAATATGATAACGAAATGGGTTATGGTGCCGGGCATCAACCAGGGAAGCGTTAGCGCAGACGACTTCAGTATAATACCGGGGTATAAACTCATCGAATCTGGCTAGTTGATGCGTGAAACTAATGCTTCTTCCGACGGGTGTTGCCAACTTCCAGGGGAATGTGCGGGATCCGCCGCAATATTGAACTAAATGAGGCTTATAGTGTTCTTCAACGCTAGCTTGAGCTACTAACAACTGGTCAATACTATCGTCTTCCTCTGCATGGTCATCCTCAAGTAGAGCTATATCAGTAAGAATGTCTCTGAAACCTTGCGAATTCCAGTACAATTGGATATCCCTCGAGAAGGTGTTCAAGAAGTACACAACGCCTTTAGATCTAGCGCGATACTTTGCCGAGCCTGGCGATTCTTCAAAACGTCCCTCCAAAAGTGCTGTAGGCGTGCATGCGTCTCGGGTGGCATCTTTCTGTTTTGGGCGCCATACTCCCTGGCGACCGTGACGAATGCCACGAGCGACCGAATCTTCAAGCCACTGGAGGCGAATACCATAGTGGCAAGTTAGATTCGTCTTTTGGCATCTCCGGCAACGCGGTCTAGCTTCTGTACTCGGCTACGGCTTAGCCCTTACAAAAACAGGCATAGTTTCTCAAGTGGGTTAGTTTAGTAGACGTACCATCGCATTTAACGCTTCGATCTCGACAGGCCCAACAGCCTGTTCGGGTTCGAGGGGTTCGAGTTGTTGAAGGAGAAGATTGCGAGGATTTCGAGGGGTTGGAACTAGGCATTTTGGGTCGTAGATGGTATATTTCTTGTTTCCATCAATAAACGCATCTTAGAGGGCTTGTTGTCGGTGTTAAACAAGTAAGAACTTGGGGTGAGAGGGACGCACGGAGGCCTTGGGTGATAGGACGGCTTATCTTTACCACTTTTACCATTTTTACTGCACCCAGAGTCTCCGACTCCCCGATTCCGCAACTCCTGTATCGTGTGGGCCTGAGCGAGAGAAGAGACCCAACAACTGTGGTCCATTAAGATAAAGTCGCCAATAAGGCTAAGCCAATCTGTCAAAATGCTTTCTTCCCCGCACTTTTCACGCATCTAAGATTAATGCAGCTAGGGATGGTCTTGGCAAATGACAAATTTTGACAGCTGAAAGTTGAGACAAAAGACTAGAAAAGAAGAGTATTTTGAGGTTGTTACCTAAAATTTAAAGTGCCTTCGATACCTGTGTAACACATCTTAATATACACTTTACAACGTACGTCGCACTTTCTTTACTAGCCTAATACCTTCTATATTCTATCTCAAGTATTCAATGAGGTAAGGAAAGATCCTTGTCTTAATAAAAAGGTACATATGCCATACATACTAACATGCGCACAATGCATTGTTATGTAACATTAGCGTTAATATATAAAACCTTAAAACCGTATTAATACCGTATATTTACAGTTTAATTATTTAAATAATTATACTTTTTAATATAAAAAAAAAACGGTAATTAAATTTATTAACGGTATTATTTTATAACGGTATTTTTAAAGTTAAACGTTTTTTTAATTAACGGTTTTTTTTTTATAAATGGTTTTTTTAAATTAACGGTTTTTTTTCGGTTTTAATATAATCCGGGAAAATATAATAAATAAATAAAAAAAATATAAAATATATTATTTATTATACGTATTTCGTACTTGTTTTTTAATATAACTTAATACGTATAATAATATATTTAAATAAATAAATATTATTTTACATTTAAACGTGTTATAATTACGGTTACGGTTACGGTTATAAAGTTATTATTTAAATATATTATTACATATATATTTATAAATACGTATAATTAGTAATTATTTAAATATATAAAGTAATAATTATAACTTTTTTATTTAAATATTATATTTTTTTAAATTATATTAAAACCGTTAATTTAAAAAAACTATTCGTAAAAATATAAACCGTTTAAATAACCAATTAAAAATATACCAATTATATATATAATAAAAGTTATAATAAAATAATTATGCATTTAAATAATATTAAAGCTTTAAACGGTAAATTTACGGTTTAATCCTTATTTATTATAAAAGTACGGTACTTAAGCCTCATATCTTAACGCTAATGAAGTCTCAAATGACCAAAAACATCAAATAATATCAAATAATCTCTCATGCAAGTTAAAGCAGGCTGCGACGCATACATTAACGAATATAGGCCAATGCGGCATCTTGCCGGTCCTTTATCGGCCCTTCAATTCATTAAATTTCGATTGTTAAAATAAGGTTAAGATCGAGGAATTATAGATCAATTAAGATCTCTGCTATTTATTATGTCAACATTTATTATATCGCCTTTTTGAAGCCTGGTCCAAACCAAAGACTCCAGATGCCGTAAAATTCACAAGGCAGGATCTATCTTCTTGGTGGCTTATATCCCATATTGCGTCATTTATGGTTTGCCGGCAGTATGCGTCCCACTGCGCAGTCACATTTGCAGATTGCTATGGGTCGAGATACTGCTGTATCGGAATGCATAGACTTTCACCTTTTTCACATTAATCTTTCCTGGTTGAACCTTTTAATTGCTTTTTCCTGGTTTCTCGCGTCTGCAATTCAACAGCAGCATAATGCTTCCTCCTAATTGACCACGCATTCTCAACGATCTGCGGCAATAAGAGCTCAATACCATACCGCGAACCAATCACTAATTATCGTATAGACAATCAATGGGCGGGGCTTCATGAAAACGCCTCCCGTGTATATAGGCTTGCAATCTCCTCGTAAGGTAGTATTGACCCCATTAACAGCAGAACGGGCATGCAAATACCGAGTTCATAGACGCGTAACTGGAAGTGTTTGTAGGTACCAATATATGTCGATTCAAGCAAGCACAGGGTACCTATATACGTCTTCCCTTTCATATACTCATTAAAAGGTCGGTAGGCTTAGTTGATTTACTTAATAAGGTTGAGGAAACTTTAATGGCCTACATAGGTACCTACCTAGGTATATAAATATTGAAATATCAATGTAGAATATGTAAGCTTATAACTAACGACCTATATTCTTATAATCTACAAATATAAACGTGAGACAGAAACAGAGATATAAACATAAAACCCCAACTAATTATAAGAAGCAATTAACTAAGCTTATATATTCAGATGATACCTGGGAAGTATTCAGGTACTGGCAAGACTGAAAGTATGAACTTAGCCTTTGGTTTGTGATAAGTTATAGTAGATACAATATAAAGATGTTACTCAATTATATATGCCCCGGCCAGTACAAGTTATCTACCTATGATCTGCTAGGTAACCACGAAAATTGTCACGTAGAAGATGCCATCTTATCACGGATGATTCACGCGCGTGGCAATTCTACCTTTGACTACTCGACAATATACACTGATCAGATATCCATAGAAACATTTAAACTTGACAAGATAGCATACTAGTACAACAGGTCTGAAGCGTAGTCCTTGCGATTATACTTCTCTGCTTGGTAGATTTCGCCATAGGCTAGGTATCTAAAATACTAAAACTCCTATATAATATTCACAGATTAAAAGGAATGTCAAATAAAGTACCTATCCATTAACATTCACTCGTAATCCCTAGGAATTTTCTCCCTTCGTAATGATTAAGGAGCGAATTAGACATGCTCATGCAATCGTGAGTGTAGATTAAATAAAATAATGACTCCGTTGCCTAGGTACACAACTGTGAAACTATGATTCGCGAGGATATGTCATGATCCCTCATCTGCCATGCAGAGGTAAAACTTGGGTATCTAGTCAGGATCTCTCATAAGTGTTACACAGGCTTAATCACTAATGAATCAATGAAGTTGAAACATCATCGAGGAGACCAGTCATTAGGTTGTGTTGCCTTTCTAATCGTCCCGCCTATTTAAACATGTCCTGAAGCCCATCAACAGCTTGACTTTATCCCCTTCAACCTACATCTCTTGTCTCTTGCAATACTATCGTAGCCAGTACGCCAGGCACCCAACTTGACGATTGATTAACCCTATTTCTTGCTTCGGATCACAATGGGCAACAATAGCAAGGGTAAATCCAAAGAGCGGGATGACCGTCCAAATCGGGTGGTCATTGAACTAGACGACAAGGGCCGAGTAATGGACACACAATTCGATCCGTATGATTCCAGATATATAGAAAGACTTCTAGCAGAAAATAGAGCCCGTTATTATTCGGGAGATGCCCAAGCTAGCTCAGCTCCGCGGCGCAGTCGAGACCCTGGTCCATACGGCAGTAGCCAAACGGCATACAACACAAGCCTCCAACGACCTGAAGCCGAAGTATCCCCTGAGAGACGTGACCTTCACGATCGAGTAACGGAATGGATGCAAACACCAAGGTGAAAAGAAAAGCAAGCCTCGACTTACTAAGTATTTAGAACTAATAAATTAGTAGCTTTCCTACTTCGGCTACTCCTATGGGGCAGCAGCAGCAGTATGCGTCTTCCTCGAGTGCCACCTCTGGGTATGTCGCAGGATACAGTACCACAGCGGCGTGGCCTACAGACCCAAACACGGTGGCCCCAAGCGATATAGCGAGCTACTACAACAGAAGCGGCTACCCGAGCAGAGCATCCAGCCCCCCGTACAATCCTTCGGACGCCACGAGCCACTATGGGCGTACGGGTCTCGATCCTTCCGCGAGTGAGAGACGGACGCAAAGGGACCGTCAGAATCAGGTGCTCCTGTACGAAGACCCAAGACAGAGCCGTAGGGAGCAAGAAAGAGACAGGAAAAAGGATAGGCGGCGTGGAAAGGAAAGAGCCCATTGAGTGATATTACTGGATATTACGTTCTGGTATGTCTTGGTGCTTTAGGGGCTAACAAGGTGTCAATAGAGGCCACCTCCACGTTATCTGAGCTAGCGGTGATTTTGATTAGCTTTTAGTTGGCTAGTATTAATATCAATAATTACCTAAGGTAATATCAACACGTAAAGGAATGGTTGAAGGCACTTGCTGCGAGGATGTACGCCTTTCCCCCCCTTTTGACTACATCTTTTTTAATCCGCCCAGGACGTCTTGGGCAATAACTAGGCACTGCGGCTAGTTGTTGGCTGTCGATGTATTGGTTTTGACTGTCAGAATATGATCTCTCTAAAGTAATTCGATGGAAACGCATAAGAATCTTTTGGGAACTCCCCACAATACGAATGGCCCTCTTTTCATTTATTCTAGTTTGGTAGTTGTTCTTTAGGGGGCTGCTACCCCTGGTAGTTTTCTCTGCGGCATATACCATTTGTCGATAATTGCAATAACCCCTTCACTTGTATTGCCTTACGAAATGGAGAGTTAAGTATCGGGTTGGGTACCTGGGTATAATAACATAACGTAATGGCGTGTTATAGCTACTTTAAAGGCCCTGTTCGTGGGTATTGGCCATGGTTTAGGAGACGCAAAGGCTAGGTGTTAAGACAAATGGTGAGCTCTTGAATCCGCGGAATACATACAGTACCCCTTTTCATGGACGACTCCAGGACGAGTAATAGGTACTTAGGTAATAAGAGAGATGCATTGGAGGAGTAGTTTAGGTAAAGATAAGGACTCTATAATGGAGAACCCAAGAATTAAGAAATATCATCTTGCTACAATGAATCAACTCTCAACTGGAGGTTACTAACTTCGGACCGCCAATCCGTTATTTGAAGGATATTCGTGTTGCTGCGTATCCCTAATGTTACGTAGATCCCTGGACCATCAAGACATTTAGATAATAGCTCTTAGCTATGTCAGTGGTCTAGTTCAAGTTGGGTTTACGGCTGTTCGTGTTTCAACATAGTTGAGTTCTCATTTCTTAACCACAGCCTCACAAACTAAATCATGCCCACTCCTAAGAGAGTTCGGTTTGAAATATTAATGTAACTTCTTTTCGTTGAAACTTGACAAAAGATCCCTATCTAGAACAATCTGCAGATCGATCTAATATTTTACAAGTCTGTTCTAAACTCAAAACTCTGGGCTTTGGGTATGAAGACGGCACATTCTATCCTGATCATATTAGAGCTCCACCAAAGTTACTGTGACGGTTTCTATTATGGTTCGAGAGATGCTAGTTTGTTTCTACTGTTAGTAGGCTGTGTAAAGAAGTTGACGGAAGTTGAGATAGTGTTCAGACTATAACACTACCGTGGCTGCGTGGCTTTCCCTGCTAAAGGGTTGTTTTAAATCTCTCTTCATCGGGGAAACTCCACAGTTTTTGTCAATCCAATCTGCCAATGGCGGAAACTGGGGATATTGACCCACATTTACAACTTACCTAACCTGACCCATAAATTTAGCTTTTGTTCCTGCGTCTCTTGGGACGGAGTAACTTCTCTCCGACTTATATTTCCAATACATGTAAGCTGATGCTTACATTAGTTATAAAGACATCTAGTTATGAATATAAGATCTATATCTGGTTTAACTTATATGTAGCTTAAGGGTTTTAAAGAGTAACTGCTCTTGCTCGTAAATATTTGCTGATTTCGAAACAATTGGCTGATGCGCAAAAGGATCACTGTCGAAATTACTCCAGGTACGTACTGCTTACTACCCCTACCACGGTAGCCAGGGATAGAACGCTAGATATGCACATCAGTTCGCAAGCGAAAATTCAATGTAGGCTAAGTGTTGTACAACCGTTGACAAGGCGTAAATAAGCATTTTAGTACATTTCTTCAAGGTATATTTAATAGACTACTCCAAAGTTTAAATAGTAATATGTGTTTGGTCTAGCCTATTAAAACAACCTGTCAAGATTTATTTAGTCTTGGCCAATTATGTCTTATACAAGTTCGCAAGATACATATATGAAGATGGATGGCGTTTACGGATCCGTACGAACAGCTGGAACAGGTAGGTCTCGTATTCAAATGGGCAGCTCTTATGTATTTGTACCTGACAAGGTCGCGGGGCTGTGCGACCCACCTTTGTTTGCGACCAGTTTGCACTGCCTCTTTAAGGGAACATGGATCTAGGAACCCGTAGCCAGCCGTAGGTGCCGTTACGCCACTTGTTAGGCGGTAGGCGGTAGAGAAATCACACATTAGGTACCTAACATTAGGTACATTTCAACTGCTACCTCCTAGACCTGATCGAGGGAAACCACCCCCGGCTAGTTGCTTACCAGCGATTTCTTCCACACCACGTTTTCATCACCGTTCACTCGTTTCAGGTGATTGTTTATTTCGTCTGATTCTTTCTACTTTTTATTTTCAACCATCCCCTCCGTCTCCGCCTCCGTCTCCGTCGCCCCGTATTTTGGTGGTGCATTTCACTCGCTTTTCTACTAATCCTTACCGCGACGTCGTGCGATCCGACGTATTTACTGCGATCCGACTGAACCGAAGCGCATCAAATAGGCATTGATCGCACGATTTGCATTGTCTGTTTCCGTGGTCGCATTAGCTAGACTTGATCGAATCATCAGACTTTGGACGAAGAAACCCAATGACAGCTTATTTGGATTCATGAATTCGACTATTTAATAGCGAGGACGATGAGGTTTTCCATAGGATCACCGCTTTTGGCGGTCATCTCATTCGCATCGATCATCCTCCCCGTCACGGCAGAACGAATTCTCCAATCTACCTCTCTTAATATCTGTCAGGAAAACTCTGGATTCACGGCTAGTTTGTTTAGCGTTATTTACAACCCGGCTACCAACAAGGCTTCTGTGAATATATCGGCCATCTCTACTATCGAAGCCAAGGTTGTATTTGATGTTGAAATTACCATCTATGGCTACTCGTTCATGCGCACCATAGTTAAGCCTTGTGACCTTGGTTTGGCTGGATTTTGTCCTATGAATTCAGGAAAAACGTCCGATCCCTTCGACATTGATGTCCCAGGCGCTTCATCTAGCATCCCGTCTATCGCCTACGACTTTCCTGATCTCGATGCTAAGGTTAGGATTTATATCAACGCAACGGACGGTCCTCAAGCTGGTCAAAGTGTTGCTTGCGTCGAGGCAATGGTTTCGAATGGACAAACGGTCAACTTAATCGGGGTTAAATGGGCCTCGGCTATAGTGGCTGGTTTGGCTCTTGCATCGTCTGGATTCCTCTCCGGGTTGGGACATACGAATGCTGCTTCGCACGTCGCTGCAAATGCCTTGTCGTTGATGGGATACTTCCAGTCGCAGGCTATGATTGGCCTTGTTGGAATTCCTCTGCCTCCTGTTGTGCAGGCGTGGACTCAAGATTTCCAATGGAGTATGGGTATCATCGATGTCGCTTTCAGTACGTCAACTCATCATTCTCTATCTAACATGGGTGAACGTAGTTTTGCTCTTATGCAGAAGTTTCAATTATCCTAGAAGTATTTGTTAACATTTAATCTTAGTGCAACACATCTTCACCTGGTATCAGCGCTCAACAGGAGGTACAGCCTCTACGTTGATCACGCAGGCTGATTATTTTTCGACTGTGTCCGTAGAGGTGCAAAAGCGCGCAGTTGATCTCTTCGACCGCGGGACCGCAATGATTCCTCATGGCGTGGTGGAGCACGGTTCCAAGCTTATGAAGCGAGCAAACGTCATGACCTCATATGGGAGTTATATCGTGTACGGCATCCAACGTGTTGCTTTTAAAGCAGACATCGAAACCACGAATCTATTCTTGACAGCAATTGTCTTCTTCTACCTTGTCATGGTAGTAACCACCTTGTGCGTAGTTGCTTTCAAAGGAATATGCGAACTGGCTGCGAAGCAGAAGTGGATGAAGAGCGACACTTTTCTAGAGTTCCGCAATGGCTGGCGTGAGTATCCCTCCAGTTTATACTGCGGTATAGCTTTCTATGCGATCAATGTACTAATTGCTGTATGCTCATAGGTACCGTACTCAAAGGCATCCTCTTCCGAATGGCTCTCATTGGACATCCTCCAGTAACAATCCTTTGCCTCTGGGAATTTACTCAGAATGACTCTCCTGCACTGATGGTCATAGCCGTGTTCTTCCTCCTCCTTGTCAATGCCGTACTAGCTTGGGCAGCTTACAAGGTCGTCCGAATTGCGCATCGTTCAGTCGAGCTCCACAGGAACCCGGCTTATATTTTGTTCTCGGACCCTCAGACACTTAATAAGTGGGGTGAGTAATTCTCTCGTTCTAGATTCTCATGAACGCCATTGTCGTTATAAATACATATTATACCTTCATTACTAACTTGATGTGCTATAGGCTTCCTTTACATTCAATTCCGCGCCTCCGCTTACTACTTCATCATTCCTGTCCTCGGATACACCATCGTGAAGTCTATGTTCATTGCATTTGCCCAGAACTCCGGCATCGTTCAGGCTATCGCATTCCTTCTCATTGAGGCCGCTGCTCTCATTGCATCCGCGGTATTGCGACCTTGGATGGATAAGAAGACCAACTCCTTTAACATTACTATTGCGGTTGTCAACTTCATAAACGCCATCTTCCTCCTTATCTTCACTGATGTGTTTGACCAGCCTGGAATTGTTACAGGTGCCATTGGTGTCGTGCTCTGGATCCTGAACGCGGTTTGCACGCTAATTCTCCTGCTAATGTTAATCATCACTACTGGCATTGTCATCTTCAAGAGCAACCCAGATGGCCGCTACAAGTTTATGTCTGACGATCGTACTTCTTTTATGAAGTCTCAGAGTCAACTCGCTACTTCAACTGAGCTCGATGCTCTAGCAGTGACTGCCCGAGGTGAAAAGCCGGGATATTCATCTGGCCTTGACTTAGATGACGATGGAGACTCCAACCCTCGCGATTCATTATTTCGGGGACAAAGCTCGATAGCTAACTCGACAGCCAACAACTCCCATCACGCTCCTTCCCATTTCGCCGCGCCTCACTCGCCTACCGACCCTATCAACAGAACTGCCAGCCCGTACAACGGGTCGGTGTCTTCAATATCACGTTCGCAGAATAGTTCCAGTCCGGCTGGTTTTAAGCCACCTGCTAGCCCAAGGTAAGAAATTGTTATAACTACTACTTTGAATCATTAGCTTACAATTGGAATCTAGTCCCTGGCAACGTGGAGCTGGCTACGAACACTGACGAGGCTCGTCAAAGCACTAGCAGAAACAAACTATGAAGCCATTGGTATTTCACATATGACCTATTTGGTTTATATGCACATATTGGTATGCTCACAGGCACGGACTTTTTTTTACCTTGAGTTGTGCGGAATGAAATTAAGGATATCCAAAGCAGGTTGCATATGTTTGGCGGATATGCGTTCTTGGAGGAGCAGGGAGCAATGGGAAGAGTTTCTAGCATACATGGCGTTTGGGTAAGGAATGATGCTCATAGCTGGTATTGTGTTGCACAATTTTCAGTTGATTCGTGATATATATTTTGTCCAGACTATTTACTAAATTAATGTTTAGCTATGTGCAGCTCTAAGCATTTTACCTTAAAGGTCTTTGTTTCTATGTTACTTTAGAGACTATTGGAAGGTTTCTCGACCGTATACTTATTATTCAAGGAACAATATATTATTGTCCATCTTTTAATCACTTCTGCCACACCTAACTCACCATCGACAGGATCCTTCACTCCGCCTTCTCACTAAGAGATGGTCAATTTCCTAGATAGATCCAAGTGCATTCACCGTCGATTATATTCTGAGTATTTCGAATCGGATAAATACCCCCGCCTGTAATGCCCCTTAAACACTCTACCCCTATTATTTCTACTGAACCACGGTACTTTGGGGTTCAAGGAACTCATTGAATATAGGCAGATGATGAATAAATGAATGGATTTAGTGTTCCCAGGCATCTCCAATCATAGTATACAGGCAGCTATTCTAAAAACATTTAGGAAAAGATTGTAACCATATGAGCCCCTATTTTAATCCCAGTCAGTTCTCCAATTCAGAATACCCCTTTTTGTTAGCACCCCTTTACTTAATAAACTCCGGGATCTCCTCACGCTTCCCAAAGGACCTCAAGTGCTCGGCCTGGTCTTCGAAGCGAGCAAGCATTTCGTAGGCCTCTCCCTCAGGCGAGTCACGTTTAAGCGTGTAGCGGAATCCTCCTTCCTCTAGGAAATGCTCATCCGGCTCAACTCTCTTGGCCGGGCCGGCGCTCTCCTCGCCACGCGCGTTGATGACGACGAATACCTGAGCACTTTCGACCTCTTTTTTCTTGTTGCTGAGGCATTTGTTACCAGTTTGCTGCTTGACGGCCAAGCCACCGCAGTCTGACTCCTTGTAGATCTTCAGCTGGTCGTCTGAATCGTTGCCGCCGCCGGTCTCTTCGAACTTGGCGGACCGGTACTTGTTCCCCTCGTCGCCGCAGCAGGTTCGAGCAGCGACGTTGCTGCAGGTTTTGCCTACTGTCTTCTTGCAGTCTTTCTTCTGGTAGAGCATGATGTTGTAGTTGGCCATGGCGATGCTCGAGAAGATTGCCGTGAGGAGAAGAGTGCTAAACTGCATTTTTGGGGATTCTTGGTTGCCGAGTAAAGGATAACTAAGTGGTATAAGTGTTGAAAGTGCCTTTGATGTGGGTTTATCTAGATATGGTGTGGAAGCTGGTCTGTTTGACTTGTCTGATTCAAATCCAAGACGTCTGGGGAGATGCTTTTATATTGGAAATCTTCAATATTAACTACCTAGGTACCTATGCTTATGTATTGTTGGTTAACACAGTTAAAGTATTAAAACAGCGGAAGATATTCCAAGTGTGGCTACAAGTTAATAGATACTACTTATTGTCTTCATTACCTCGTTTCTTCAGATTTTTCGCCGATACTCCAAGTCACAGTAACATTCAAATCTAATATAAACTTACTGGTGATCCTTCATGACTTACACTATTTGTATCAATAGTTAATATTCGAGGTTGGTCTATTTGGTTTCTTAAAATAGGTTGAAGTCCTACGAGGATCGTGTCCTCTTTTGACTCTTATGAGGAATTACGTACGACAGAGTATTCCCTTTAGCGGAAATATTCACACGATTGAAGATCCGTGGTATGACATTACCTACCCACGAATCCTTCCTAGGTTACGCGTACTTAGCTGGTGTTAAATGAAAAACCGGACCAACAGCTCAATGGTATATTACTTCATAGAATACGGATATAACGGCATTTTTAATGAGAAGCAGGATCATGTATGTTGATCTGTAAGCTGAGGAATTACCACTGCGGCTCGATAGAAACTAGGTACTCGATGTTTCTAGTCAGATGTCCGGCTTATCCACACAACCTCGGTGTAACCATCCACGAGCAATGGGAAACTAAAAAAAGGTATATATACCTCTTAAGCATATTCTCAGAACTACGTCATGATCGCTTTACATGACTTCTATTCGAAAATACTCTTTAAAAATAGTCATCAAGTACACTCTAACGCGTCTAACTAGGAAGTAGCCTTCAAGATTTACTAAGGGCACTGTGGGTTCAGAATTAGGACTTCGTAAAGAAAATTTTGGAACACCTTTATGGGTTTCAAGAGACCAAAGAACTCAAAGTTAGTACCAAGGGTAAGTGGGTTACCACGATGATATTATGGAAACTATAGGGAATGTAATGATACGGGTTTGAATCATGTATCCTCAAAAAGAGGTCATATTGGAAGAGTCGATTTATGACGTAAGCTTTTTTTTTTTTTTTTTTTTAGCATGATTTCTTGCTGCTATCTTTTAGTTTTGTTGCTCTTTGTAAATATGCACTTCTATTTTAATATTCTGTACCAATTTAAGGTCACTTCGTTTCGGGATCGACACGGATTCACGCTTGGCAGGGCTGAGATCCTCCGGTGGTTTTCAGGGGTTTAATCCTCTATCCTAATTGGCTGATTGATACATCATGACGACGTGGGGCAAGAACAAATCGTACGCAATACGGTTGAGAGGCGTAAGCTTAAGAGAAGATCAAAATAACGTATTCTAATTCAGGCTTTATTTGTTTCTCTTATAAATACCTATCATTGGAGAATCTGATTGACTACAACTAACTAAAAACGCAATCGACTCGATATTTATTCGTTATTTTCTTTGCAAATTAGTACCAGAGGTCGCTCTCCATCATCCATCCTACGAGCATGATTGTGTAACTTCATTCAGCTTTCCAGTCCTAAATAATGGCGCCGTCTGAGAAATACCCATACTACAAGATTCATGATAAAGAAAATGGCTCGAACGGGAGCTTCAAGGTGTACACTATCCTGATTGACTCGGACGACGGGCGGGCGTACGAGAAGCTCTCAACCGACTCGGAGCGCTTGGACTATATGCGCAAGCATGCGCATGATAGCTGGGATGTCGTTCGAACGGACGCCGCTTTCTATGAGGATTGCGAGCTCGGGAAGAGATATACCATCAAGAAAGACTCGCCCGAATACGAAGGATTACAGAAGATGATGCGAAAGGACGGAGAATGCCATCATGAAGGGACGAAGGAGTTCCATGATATGCTACAGTATTATAAAGATCATGCTACTACGGTGGAAGACATACCTGCGGGATCCCACTGCTAGATATCAAAAGACAGGGGGAGATTTAGAGTTACAATCACTACCTATGTACTTATCAATTGTCATCGTCGAACTTAACCTTACGAACTCTGCTTATTGTTGAAGGCCGTTCGCTTGATAAGTCGGATAGAAGAGTTATGGAAACGATAATATCGTCCCTCAATGAAATAATTTCAAATAGTCCGTTAGGCATCAAGATGTTCTTCTAGCGACATACGGACATATCAAATCTCTAAATATTGCCAACCTACTTTCCTCCCTAGGTATTATTCGTAGATATCACGAGCAAAGATACATTGGCGTTAACGGCTCGCTTCGTACCCTTTAAAGCGCCACGCTTTGAGCAAGGAGATACCTAATAATTAAGGATAATCTCTAAATTACATAGAATATAACTAAGCATAATAAGATGCTAAAGCATGTACTAAAAATAGAATAGGATAATGAATAAAAGTATATCAAGTATTCTTTCTAACGTCTTCATTAATAGCCACATCTATAATTCGTCAGAAATTTATCGCTAATATTCTCTCTTTAAATAATATGTGCCCTGATAATGCCTTTACTGACCAGTGCCATTTCTTTTGAAAGTACCTATCGGTCTTACCGCGAACGTTGTGCCTCGTTCATACCCAACCTACGTTGAAACGGATCTACTATAGTGTCCTTAAACCTTCTTGCACTGACTCCCTGCTCAAATAGGACATCTAACTCGCTATAGGTACGCCCTTTAGTTTCGGGGAGAAAAAGGTAAGATAGGAGTGCAAGTAGGAAACATAGTCCGCCCCAGAAGAACCCCGCTTTTGCTTTCCAGTTCCACGCATTCGGGTTGAGCATATATGGGATAATCACAGAATTGACGATTCCGAGAACGTTGAACAATATTCTAGAAATCACGAGTGTCTTTGAGCGGAGGCGCGTAGCGGAAAGTTCAGACACTAGAACATATCCAACCGCTCCAGCAGTACTATTATAAAAGAAGACGAAGGCGAGAAATATGCACCCGATGGCCCACGAGAGACTTGGCTGCTCCTCGCCAAGAGATACGAAGCCGATAGAAGAAAGAATAATAGCAAGAATCAACAATCCAACGACATAAAGCGAGCGACGTCCAAAGTAAGAAGTGAGAAGCAATGATAGGATTGTTCCGAGAAAACCGGCGGCGTACTGCGCCAGCGAGAGGCTGAACGATGCGGACGTGGGTAAGCCTACTTGGATGTAGAAATAGGCCGAGTAGGCCATGAGCCCGATTCCACAGAGAGCCTGACTGGTAAAAACGAGGCAGGTGATGCCAGTTCGGCGGCGGTCGACACCCTTGAAGCAGTCAAGGTAGGTAGTTCCCATAGATATATCCTTCTCAAGTTCATTCGTATGTATCATTAGAGAGATAGCCTGACTTGCGTTAAAACCAGGCCTATCGCTTCCAACGAGACGGTTAAGTGCATCCAAGGCTGCCTCGGGGCGATCGTGGCGAATATACCACCACGGACTCTCTGGTGCAAACGCGACAGCTGCAATGATCAAGACAGGCCACACCCATTGAATGGAAAAGGGAATCCTGTAAGACCATTCACTTGTGTTTTCGATTTGAGTTCTCAGGACACAAAGTGCAAGAAGTTGACCAATAACCCACGAAAGGTTGACGTATATGGTAAGACACGGCCGGAGAATGACCGGACAGACTTCAGAAGCGTAAGCAATTGTCAGTGTCTGGAAGGTTCCAAGGGGGAGGCCCAAAAGTATTTCGCCAGCGACGAGGGTCTGTATGTTCTCAGCAAAGAACAGCATGGGGACCAGTGCAACAACTGCGAATAGAGCTACTAGCATTGTCTTCTTATGACCATATCGCTCCTCGACAAAGCCATTAAGTAAAAGGCCAAGGACCTGACCAGCATTCATGCCACCGGACAGTCCAGCCTGCCAAGCTGCGTCAATGCCGTATGTTCCATCCGGAAGTAATCGACCATACTTTCTTTGGAAGGCTGGAAAGGCATAGAAAGACCCAATGAGGGCATTGTCAAAGCCTTCCATGATCACAGCTGATGAAATAACCATGGACCAGGCAATGGCTTTAGGATATAGCTTGATCCCCTGCCAAACACTCATCTGGTGTTCTCTAGTAGCAGCTGTTTGAGCGTCACTGATGAATGAAATGAAGTTTTCGTCCCCCGTTGCCATAGCATCCTGTCTGTCTCCGTCATCGTTGGAACAAGACGATCCTATGGTTTCCCTGCTCATATTTGGATACTGGACTGTCGCTGGAGTTAATTTCTGTATGAAGGGTTGATTGGGAAAGGTTGTTAGATGGTAATGGGACGATAATATTGGTTTAGAGTACTCTTGGTTTATATATTTCTAACACTCGATACAGTTCTAGTAGTCTTTGAGGCTGAAATAATATCTAAGCCCAAAAGAGCGAGATATGCTTCAACTTCAAAGAGTACCGAAAAAAGAAAATCTACAAAGTCTTCCCAGATACATGTTTTTTAGTACAGGATAAACCGATTTAGAGGTATCTGGAAGTATACTCTATTAATTCTTAATTAATAGCCTCATCTTTGATCTAGTATCAACGCCCGAAGGGCGTGTGGTGCATAGCTAGCAGCAAAACCTGTTTTAGTTCCCAATATCTCAGCTCTGTGAAAAGATGGCAACTAAGTCTAGATAGGAAACATAATGACTTGGCGATTGTATATGCCTTAGGTACATTTGATGATTTGCTTATCTGGGTAGGTACATTAGGTTAGGTACTGTGCCCTCTCGGACTGAGAACTCGACTATTAACTGGTATTCATGTCGACATTTAGTCTAACGAGCTTATTGTGGATCGTAGGATTCATGCGGGTCGCCCTGTTCTACCTAGACGCAATGAATCTTAACCCGGAAAAGGGGGAATGGTGACTGCATCTAGCTGACGCTCAACTCTTCACCGGTTATGCACGTCATTGCTACCCAATTTGCCGTATCTACTTGTAGAAGTACGGGCCTGTAAACACCTATGCACATTAAACCTGACCCTGCTGCTACTAGTGACTTGATAGAACTAGGGACTAGCACATCGGTACCACTTTTAGTTGTCGATTGGAATTACTCAGAGACTAGAAAGTTTTCGTAGATGAATACACGCACAAGATGTAGTATATTTAATGTAGTATATTTAGCTCTGTCGATCAACTATCATGATAACTACCTCCTCAACCTAATAAAAGCCTTATAGCGAATGATAAATTGTCAAGTTTTAGCCAAGAGCTGAAACTCGCATAACTCAAGACAACTAGTCTCACTTCTATATCTTTCTTTGGCCTCGATGTGATGTGCCATAGGCTAACACTAAATATCGCACTCCCGCCCACGCCCTATACTACTTACGTTCTCTTTCGGCCTGCGAGACGTTATCATCTTTCCTTGACAACCCTTCTAAGTGGTGTCCTAGCCTCTGAGCAAGTGCGACCAACGTCAGCGATGGGTTGGCTGCTGGACTTGCAGGGAAGACCGACAGATCGCAAACATATAGGTTTTTCCAGTCTTGGACCTTCAAATTCTCATCCACGACACTGTTATCGCGGTTTCCATCCTTACTCATTCGCATAGTTCCAACTTCATGTGCCACAACTCCAAAATCGGCCCGAGATACTTCTGGCAATATTTCTGGCAATGTCTTTTGCGTATTATTGTCCACGATTAATATTTTCCTAGCTTCAAGTGCCTTTTTGATAGCTTCCGCATACCATCTCATATGTGGCACGAATCTGTCATTCTTGACGCGAGAAGGAATCTGAATTGTCGGGATATCTTCTGGCAGGTTCAAAACCCTATTTTCCTCTTCCAATCTGGCTCCAAGGATAAACACAACCTGGAGTATGGACTTATTTTTCTTGTTGGAATTTCTGGCATCTTTGGCACACTTCTCAACATCCCGAAATTTATCTTCGTCTACTTGTGTACCGTCCAAAAAGAATTTAGTCGGAAACCCCCCTTCTCTCCCCCAGCCAAGGAATGACTGGGCGTTGATGGTAATATTGAGGAGGCAGCGGGTCGTCCCGGGATTAGTGGTGGAATCAGAGTCAAGTAAGATATGACTCTGCAGCCTAAGTGCCTGAAGGTTTTCGCTATCATCTAGATATTCAAAGCGAGTACCCCAGATATCATGGTCTGTGAGTCCCGAGCCGACAAGCTTGTTGCCCAGTCCACTTCGAAGAGCAATTGTCGCCGTATCAATTGTACCAGCGCTAAGTATGACGGTTGCTTTTCCTGTACGAATTGCGCGCTCATTGTTGGAATTATCGCGAATAATAAGGCTTCTTACGCTCTTCTCGTTATTGTCTGTCGACATAGAGTCCCTCGGGCTGCTGTTCACAGCTACAACTTGGGTCTCAGGGAGCACATGCAAGTGTTCGCTCTTGTTGTACATTTGAGCCAAGATCCAGCTGACAGTAGAGAACCCCCCCCTTGACATTTGATACAATTTCTCTCCGGGATTCCTATGAGTGAAATGTGCAGCCATGGGGCATAAGGTAAATTCTGCGACATTCCCCAGAGCATCAATAACTTGGGAGATAGAAACGGAACTATCTGAGTCAGTTCCGCTGGGGTAGGGATGTGTCAAAGATGCTTCAGGATCACCGGTTAGTAGTTTGTATGCGCGATCATACCCAGTCATCTCATCACTCTTCTCGTCCTCCTTGCATTTTATATTCCCCTCGCCCTGCTTACACTTGTCACCAACAAATAAGTAAGCGCAAATACTGCTTGGGAAGTAACCTTCAGCCTCTTCCTTGTTTATCCATGGTGTGTATAGACCCCAGAGGTTGCTGCGTCCACCAAGACAGTGTACTGGTCCACCGGCGTATGGGTTAGACCGCGAAGTTACTGTTGATACTGGGCTCTTGACAGCATCGTAGACGAAGGAGTTATCCGAAGAGGGTCCATCAGGGATATTTGGATTCCATCGGGGAGTAGGTGTGTTAAGGACATGTGTGGAGAAGAAAAACTTGCCCCTTTCAATTAGAAGAACACGGGGACGATCCTTGTCCTGGATGCTGAGCAGGGTTCTAGCTAAGACGCCACCACCCATGCCACTCCCAACGATGATATAATCATAAAAGTCGGCCTCACAAAGCCTGGCAACGTCATTGGTGTTGGTTGAGAGAAAGTGATTCATTTTGAAGAATGTTATCTTTTCTGGGGCCCAAGTTGATTATCCCAGAGTGTCCTTGTTGGAGTAGTGTTTGTGTTTATTTCAACCAAACTATGGAAAAACTATGGAAACTTCAAAAGAAGGCGAATGGAGATATGCTTAATACAAGATCACTTCACAGCATCCCAACCCTTGGAAAATATTGAGGATTTAAGAACGTTGACGAGTTAGTCGAATGTCTCCAAGGGGTATGCGACAATGCCGTTCAAACCCAAGGACGCAGTTTTAGGCTTCAGAATTCTACGTTGTAGCTCATGATTTAGGCCGCCGTACGCCTTGTATTACATCCCATCGTATTATTCCTACATGTCCCGTGCTTATCGCTCTATGCTACCATGATATATTAAGGTGTGATTAGTTTAGTATGTCCACTTGCAGATTCCTTTATTTGCCTCCCAATTACCTGGTTTCTATCGCCGCTATTATGAGGTATATAGATTGTTTCCGATTTACTCCACAGCTTACCTATTCTTGGGTAGCATTGCAAATCTTAGATTGCAATTGCGTAGAGTTATGTAGATCTAGATACTTAATGCGTGAGCAATATAGGGTAGCGTGGAATATACATACCTCCTTAGGTACCTAGGTAGGTAACTCTTAAGTACAGTCATTCTATTCAACTGGGCATTAAGAGACCTAGGTGTGGATCCCAGGCAACAATGATTCAGGCAATTGCTGCCTGCATTCTACGCATATATAAACAATAGCTAGATCCTAATCCTGTAATCCTAAATAGTTAACTTAACAACGATGTCACCACTATTCTAGGAATCACATAGGTACCTGGCGCGCTTACAAAATACCTACCATAGCAGAAATAGGGGTTTTTAAAGAACGGTTATTTATAGGGAACAGTTTTTTATTAAAGAACGGTTCTTTGTTTCCAGGCCTTTGATTGGTCCAAATCCGAAAATAATGGGTTTTAAACCTTAATTTTTAAATCCACTTTTTAGCCGCCGTTTAATACGTATAAAACCATTTTTTTTTAAAAAACCGTTCTTTTTTTAAAAAGCATTTTTATTAATTTTATTTAAAAAAAAAAAATTTTAAAAATTTTTTTTTTTTTTTAAGTAAAAATTTCTTTTTTAAAAGTAAAAGATATAAAAGGTAAAAGTAATTAAATTTTTAAAAATAATTTAATAAAATTAGCTATTTTATTTTATTAATTTAAACGTTTAAATATTAAACTTTAAACATTAAACCTTAATTAATAAATTTAATATTACATAAATATAAAAGCTTTAAATTTAAAGATTATGTTTTTTAACTTTTTTAACTTTTTTAACTTTTTTAACCTTTTTAGCCTTTTTTTAACCTTTTAAACTTACTTTTCCGGGAACGTTTTTTATTAAAAAACCGTTCCCTTTTTAAGAATCATTCTTACGATAAAAAACGAGGCATTTGTTATGGTATGAAAACTTTATAAAAAACGTTTTTCAATTATGGAACGGTTCCTTGTACCCACCCTACCCCGCTATGGTACCTTTACCTATTAAGACCGGTAATTATACGAGAAAAAAAAAGCAAAGTCTTCCCTCTCGGCGTTCCGAAATATGACTCGTAATATTTGCCAATTAGTCCTAAACCCTAACAATGGAAATCGTGACCGCTTATTTATTCGAGTTTAACAAGCCGAATAATAAGGCGAAATTGCGGTCGTTAATAAAATAAACTTATCACCTTGACTTTCGTAAAGAAATGACTCGTAAATGGACCAACACCTCTATTATAAAATAGGAAAAAACATACGGTAAAACTTATACTAAAAATGGTAAAATTGTATGCCAGTTCCTTACTTTTACGTAGAAACGTAAACGTTGACTAGAATATCTTAAGGCTATCTTTTCTTCGTCTTTTTCTTTCTCCCTGTGGCAAAGTTGGAAAAGCTTAAGGTCACAAAATGACGTCGTTAATATTTCAAGAGAAGGGACACGTGTGTACGTTTCACTTAAGGCACAGTATTGCACCTCTTACATCTAGGTAAGCATAGGAGCCGCGGAAATCTACTTATCATTCCGACCCGTGAGATGGAAAGTTCCAGTGATGTAGGGTAGTATCATTACGCTCAGACCTTTGATTTCCTACAACAACAAACGGCATCTTAGCTTCCCCGACGTACTCTTTTGAGGCTCTAATATACCTATCTACCCGGTATTTAAAATGTAACATAGGTAATACGGAGTGTGCTCCTATCCAATCATTCTATCAATGTTGTAGAACAGAAAATTTCCGGAGTTACCGCAATTTGAATAATTTTCTTCAAATCCTTTGTGTTAGGGGTAACTAAACCAAGTGAGAACAATAATCTGACCTTGAGAACATCTCTAGTAATGTAGCGTCCGAGCTCGCTAAACTAGTGTCTTGACTCCCATTCGCCTGCGGAATTAGTTTTCCATCAACCCATTCCGCCGAGATACGAAACGCGACTCTGCCTTGCTGCCAGGCTTTTGTTACTGTTTGGGTCGCTGCAGGTAACCTTACAGATCCTCTCCCACACCACCAACTTGCTTGCCAAACAAAGGCTAGCATGACGCGAGCAGAAGAGGTTAGATTGGGCAGTCCAGCGTGCCAAAGGCGTAAGTCCCTAATTATGATGCTCCCCTTCCGTGTGCAGGCTCGAGCCGGCGGTGAAATATCTTGACGTTGTGCCACGAGTTCTGGGAGGATTGCATGGATGGGTAGACCATCTTTTTGATCGAGGGTTAGGACCTGGTCGCTGAAGGAAGTTGTAGTGTGTGAACCTGTCCAGACTTCAGTAGCCCCGTTATCTTCCGTCACGTCGACGAGAGGTATGTTAACAACGAACGAGAACGGAAAATTCGGATGTGGAAAGTCGATATCAGAATGCACAGGCTGTCGTGACGTGGCCGGCAATGCTGTATTTCCGCTTGCAAAGTGTAGTACTGGTGTAGGTCCTAAAATAGCAGCTAATACACGTAAGGCAAACGGGTTGGCCCACACGTCTGAAAACATGAAGGCCTCGTCGAGAGGAGGAGCTTGACTAATGTTGCCTGTATGGACACCGAAGTTGAAGCGCTGCTCTGACGTCTTGCTCAAGTTGATGGCTTCTGGAACAAGCATGGCGTTTAAGGCATCTAGATGCCCTACATCTACTACATTATCAAGAACGACAATACCTGAATGGTGTAGGTGCCCGAGGGCCTCTGCGATGTGACTTGGAGGACAGATCCCTGTCTGACGCATCTCTTCTGAGAAAGTAATGGTTGGTACCGAGTTACATGGCTGGTGTTTGGACTCCATGTCGGCGTTGATCTGCGATGAAAATCTCTCCTAATATCTCAATGAAAGATTGAATTGCTCTGCACTCTAACTAATCCTCTTTTCTGTGTTTGAGCCAAAATAAAAATTCTTCAAAATACGAATACTAGGTGGCTTCTGATTATATGCCTCCTTGGAAAGTCCTGCTTATGTGCCTACCTCTATATTATTACATTGCTGCCTATATGCGAGATGTCTCCGGGTTACTCTTCATGTAACGCTTACTATAAAAGGTATAGGTGTGTAAAGATATGTGCGTATTCAGCCCAAACGTGTTCCTATCTACAACGCAACACAATATGCCGATTATTGTCGATGCGGGATGCAGACGAAGACTAGAACTCCAAAATTTCTCCTTACATATACCCTAGGGTGAATTTTCAATAGTCCAATAAACTTGAAAAGATACGAAGCTGAGTCTTTCGCCCCTTAAACTTTATATATGGACCCCAGTCTGATGTAACTGATAACAAGAGCCAATAGAAGAGACGAGTAAATAAATGACTCCAGGCTAATGACGTATTTACAAGTTGGTAGAGGTTTGGGCTTTAGATCAAGGATACAGTGAAGGGGGATTACAGTAACTTCAACAACAAACATGACAGCTCGTGAGGTTTGGTCAATCATAGAGTCAAGCTCAGCGAGTTCCACGAGTCAGGTCAAGTCAGATAATCGTATATATTTGACTCGATACAAATCAAGTCAAATATATTAAATTTCGAGGCTTACCTGGCCGTATCGTCGACTTGGCCTGTATGCCCTTATAAAGCCACACTTAGCCACATCAGCCACCTAATACCGTATATTTCACCCAAAACCTTTACCAATAACTGTTAAACACTTGATGTATTAAACTCAACTAAAAACATAAACATTCTTTTTTTTCTTTTTTTTAAACACTCAAAATAAATCTGAATGTCTGAATGGCACGTGTTGAGATGTACCAAGATACATCTCACAATAACCAATAATATTGCCCTAAAAATATTCATATAAAATACCAAATAAAAAAATTTTGCCCTCGGCTCGGATAGATATCCCTAAAAAAGGATCTATCCATGCTAAGTCAGGCCAGGCCCAAGTCAGGTCAAGCTATTATCTGACTCGTGGAACTCGCTGGTCAAGCTAAAGTGGGGTCATGGTCTGGACTGTGGAATGAATTAGCGACGGCATCGCACGAAGCGCTATAGAGCTTGTTTTACCTTTATCATGAGTACACGTATATGTAACCCTCCTTTTCCACATATCCCGGGATTTTCCCGCGATAGGCGTCCCAATGAGCTACGCTAAATACTAAAGAACATTCTCATAGGTACCTAAGATCGACGTTGCTTAGACACGTCTAGAATATCAACTGGAGTAACAGGGGTCTTTGTCCCAGATTCTTGGCCTGACAATATGAGATTAATACTATGGAGCTAAGAAACACCTAGATTACCTCCGTTAGGCAATTCCTGCCTGACGGCTAGGCATCAGACAGCAAAATATGAGGGCTAGAATCTCCAGCCTGCCTAGATAGATACCTCAAGTGACCCGGGCTATGCATCACCCGCGCCCAGATGCAACATTTCGACAAGACTATTATTCTTACTCATCTCCAGCCTTGCTATCGTTACATCGCACGTCAGAACCATGTCCGGTATCGTTTCCCTTCAAGCTGACATTGGGAGCATTCCTCCGGGAGCGGTGGAGCTCCTTAGGTCTATCGCCCCTATTATGAGATCCCTGACAGCCGACAATGTGAGCCCCCTTGCGGTTATCCAAATAGAGGATATTGGCCGATGCTTTCATACGAGCGGGCTCCTAGCTAATCGAACTCGGGATGCCTTAACGAGGAGCGGCTCAGTGAGATTTAGGAGGCTCCAGGTCTCGATAGGATGGATGGCAGGGGATACCGCTGCGGCTCTGTCCCAGACCACGGGCGGACAGGCTGCCGCACTCCTGACTCTTTGCCTTGTGGAGATGTTTTGCCGAAACTCCACGGGTCATCTGCTATTCGAACTTTCCATGAAAATATTACCTCCGGATAAATGTCGAGCAAGTATGGCGCACCTTTCAGACCTTGCAGAAATCATCTCCAACAAGCTGCAGCCACTCGGCTTTGGACAACACCATGCTGTTCAACTTACTCGAATTAGAGAAGCGTATCTTAATTCCGGTATTGAGATACCGCCTTCTACTTCGGAATCGTTGCTCGAAAGGCTAAGCATCGAATCCATGGTGGAGCTATTGGATGCGGTACAACAAGCCCTGCGAGACGAGACCACCATAGTGCATATTGAGGGATTTCAGGGGCTTGGCGGCATTATTGCACTTCTCACGGCTCTATGCCCTGATGATATCCTCTTACTGGTGGAAAATGGCATCCTCTTCAAGGGCCCGAGACAGTCCATCATAATTTCAGTTATGCACCAGAAGAAGACGACATTCTCTATCGAAAAGCTCGCGCTGAGGCAGCTACCCCTTACTTTCCGCGACAGCGAGTTTCTATCGCAACCAGGAAGGCTTTCTTCCTACGAGCACTGTACCGTGAGGGTCCAAGGCTGCCTAGCTAGGATGGTGGAGCAACTTTTCACACCCATAACCTTTCAGTCTGTGAGAGGGGTAGTCGCCAGTTTCACTGACCTCGTTGGAGCAATGGTATTGTCATTCATCGGGACTGACTTTGGTTCAAACGCCCACTTCTGCCGTGATGGACTCCATTCGCTTCTCGGACCTCATTTTCATGAAACTATTCGTGGCAAGTTGAGCCTCTTCTTCGAAGTCGAACCATCCCTTGACAACCTTGGTCCGGTCCTAAAATACGAGGCGTTACGACAATCCATAGCTAGTGTCATCCCGAGCTCCTCTTGCGTTTGTTCCCAGTGTATCGATACGCATAACTGGGCTAATATGTCCTCCAAGAGGTGTCGCTGTCCGCTTTACAGTATATGGGGTGGCCTACAAACCCTAGTTGGCCAAGCTGTCCTCCTAAGCCTGGTACACACGGACCTCGACACGGTAAAAATTGTTCAGAGTTCTCAAAACCAAATGGGTCAGCATCTATGCCGTCGCCTCATGCATCATGTTCTCCCCTCCGATGACCCCCTACTCGACCAACAAGGAGGTAAAAGGGGCGAGGAAATATATTCCACTCTGAACCTTCATACCGACCTTTGTACATTGTTTGGATCTATACCCTCAAATGCTGGCGGCGGGCAAAATATCTTGGGGACAAGCAACGGTGCAACATCAATCTTCCCATCGACTTTGCATACGGGATTTCCCAATGAGGGACGTATCATTCGGTACATTCTTATGGATGGTCAGTTTCATGATGGCCATAATTATTACACAGCTCTTATCGAGGATGAACACGTTCTTCCACGCCCCTTGGCCGAAGACTCCATCCTCCAATCCACGAACACGATCCCCCTATCCCAGGCAGGAACTCATTCACAAGCTACCTTATCGCTACGACCATACCATAACTCATTAGCAGTACGATTCATGGCACTTTTTACATCCAAGGCGGTAAATATTTGTTTCTACGCTACACATCTGGCTTACATGGCTGCTTCAATTGCCCCTCCTTGCCACCACAATGCTGACACCTCAACCACTACTCACGACAAAGACTCCATTTTGACAACAAGTGTCGATGCTCCTGTCGCTAGCGGTGATCGGATGTCAATGGTACTAACTCATGGCAACTCTGAAGCACAGTTTCTAGCCGCAGTACTGGGCGTTCCTACGCTGTATCAAGGCGCCAGTTGCTTGGATTGCATGATAAAATTCGCTCAGACTGAAGGATTTCGATTATTGATCCAAAGCTAGCCACGGTTTGGCGTAGTATCTGGAGGCAGCCGGTACAAACTATTGTCGGGATCTACGTGGCACTTCACCTAAATATGTTCTAGAAATTGGTTATGATTAAGCTGTGAGGCGTTAGGCGATACAAATAAGGCGCGAAATATGTTAGGGACGTTATTGAACTATGTACATATGTTTTTGCCTCTACCTTCAAGCATAATCTTGTGTTTGTGTGTTTAAGAATCCAGGACTCGACGCCCTAAAGGGCCTCGACGTGAAGGATTATATCATTACGCGCATTTCATACAATAGGGACGTAATAACACATCTTGTTTTTAGGGTCCCAACGCTGTTTCAGCTTTCTCAATTTCTCCAGCCTCCATTCCTCCCAGCCATAGACTTCTTGCAAAGACTCGTCGCCGTTTGCATAGTTCACGTACGCCCGAAGGTGGTCCGGATCATCGCTCCCTTCCAGCAAGTAGTCTCGCAAATTCTTCACGAACCCTTGTGCAGCCGTATCAATGGATCCATTGGGTCTTGGGGGGCTTTCTTGGATAGGAAGAAGGAATGGCATTGGCTAAGTTTTCCTTCAGTTTTATGAAGGTTAATATGTCGTCTTAGATATAAATAACCACTCCCAACCAAATTCTGTTACAGGCCAATGGAGTTAGAATATAGGTTTCCCTATTTGGACCTATTCATGCCTATCATCGTTTATTAGATATGGACGGGACGAAAAATAGGAAATTCGAATATGAAAAGAGTATAAGGAAATAGTTGAAAAGGTTCTAAGCTGCCGTGAGCAAGAGCTGAGCCTTCCCTGGCGCCCATATCGCGCAAGAAGCAGGTTATTGTGTCGACCTTTTTGCCCGAATTTACGAGGGATAGGTATTCATTCTTTGGTCGGATATCGAAGCTAATGTCGCCATGGTTGTATGTTGCATGCCAACATTAACTCCTGTCTTAGGAAGTTATTATAACGGTCTCGCCACTCTTATAAGTCGGATTCACCCTAATAAATGGTCTTTCTCATCGCCAAGTCACTTTACTAGCAAACCATCCAATATCAACTTGAAACCACCCATTACTTCAGAAATAGCGCTACTTCCATCAGCAAAATTTCCGCACGATGTGGTGTCTTGGCAAGATGCTCCTAGAGTGATCACGAAGGCCAGTTATGGTGTAGCCGAGGCGCAAACCATACAAAATAACGAAGGATTTTAGCCCGTACCGAGATCCATAGAACATTTGAGCTTAGGGAAGGGTTTTTCTGATTTTATTTTATTTCCAGCTACATACCAAAGCAAATTAGAACTCTCCTTTGTCCTTTATTTAAGCGCCCACATACCTTGGATAGGTGAATTCCACTTTATATGGCATTGGGATGTAATACTATTGCAGATATATGCGTATACGTTGAGCCAACAGAGACTTATCGAGTTCATGTGCTGAGGGCCAAGATAAGTAGAAGGGTATTAGACGCCATTATGTCAGTATTACAGTCGAAGGAAGAAGATCAACATTGTATGACGACACTTGGGTTGATTTGGTTAGACGGCCTCCTAGGTACCTACTTAGCTCTCTCTTAAACCAGTTAAAATCTGTTATAATAGCTGTGCCGTACCACGGCAGAGCATAGCCTAACATCTTATTCCACTTAATCACAACGCTTGAGAGGTGGATCCTACGTTTAAAACCTCACCCTCATCGAGTTTATTAGTTACAAGTCCCTAGGTTAACCGAGAAGTTAGTGCAAAGTTGTAACATATAATATACACCTCCACCACGCACAGCACCTTATGTTGAACACTTACATTATACATAGAGTGATGCTACTTACAGATCACTCTATGCAATGGGCTACCGTATCCCCGTATATAACCCACCAGCCGCGCCCCCGCACAATTGCCCCAACCACGACCTAAATTCATAAATACCTCTATGTAGGAAGACATTTAGGTTACCTAACTTATGATTATTCCGTGGATATTGCCTTTGGGCTACTCTTGCTTCTAGATTTGAAAGTTTAATTCGGGGTTGTCTTGAACTAGTAATGGCTAGTCGTGCCATTTCATTGCTTCTTGGGCTGGGTGCCCTGGTCTTTGGACTGCTTGCCGTGTTCTTAGAACCGTTCCGGGATTTTTTACTCTTTAACGTCGATAATTACAACATTAAACTGCCTTTCTTAGAGCGTGCCTCTTCAGTCATCATAATTAACCATACCGGCGAAATCACATACATTGGTAGACATTCCAACGGTATCGATCATTTTCAGAATGTCTTCTACGCAGAAGATACCTCGGGCCAAAACCGCTTTGCACCACCCGTTCCTATCAAGCATGAGAAGGGGTCATCTATCGATGCTTCGCGGTCCGGTGCCTGGTGTCCGCAAGGGACGGGTGATATTCTTCCGTTCACGAGTAAAGTTGTTAACATCAGTGAGAATTGCTTGAGTTTAAGGATTGCTCGACCACATGGCACAGCCCCGGATGCCAAATTGCCGGTAATGGTCTGGATACACGGAGGTACGAGTGCCTTATCGTAGTTTATCAATGATCATACGAAACTGATTGATTCATATCACCAAACATAGGCGGTCATGCTCTAGGATCAACCTCAGATGTTCTATATGAACCTGATGGCCTAGTGAAACAAGCTACCGTAGATGGACAACCGATTATTTTCGTTGGAATTAATTACCGTCTTGGCTGTATGTTCATCATGGAATATCTTGTTATTGCGGATAGCTCTTCTGATATATATATCCTCATAGTTTTCGGCTTCGCCACCAGCAAGGCGCTATTGGATGCTAAGCATACCAATGCTGGCGTACGCGACCAGCGCGCTGCACTTGAATGTATGTGGTTCAAATGGTGCTTCTACGGTCTGATTATATTGACAACCTTCCAAAAATAGGGGTTCGTGACAACATCGAAAGCTTCGGTGGTGATCCACAGCGAGGTCAGTGTTCCTTCATAACATAAGTTTGCAAGTTCTGACTTCCATAAAAGTTACTGCGATCGGTCAAAGCGTCGGGGGTAGCGATATTGCTTTGCAGTTGCTTGCATTCGGAGGGAAAGACGATGTCCCATTCCAACAGGCTATGTTAGAAACCTACCAATTTCAAGCCAGCACTGCAGCTTCACACTGACTAGTGTTCTAGAATGATGTCCGGTACCCATGGCGTAAACATCAATACCAAGTCGGACCTCGTGGCAAATAACACTGAGGCTATTGCCCGGGGAGTAGGATGTATTAAAAACGGTGACAGCCAATCGGTAGAGACTTTACAATGTCTACGAGAAGCTCCTTTTGAGCTACTAACCAACCTCTCCGTTGCGGCTTCTCGCACTGCGCGCCCACCATTCGGGGAAGCGTTTTTCTATCCTACGTATGACAATGATTTCCTGATCGACCGGCCTTCCCAGTTGTTGCGCGCCGGGAAGTTCACTAAGGGAGTGCCGGTGATTGCGTCCTGGGTAGCAAACGAGGGTGCTTGGTACCCTCCTCCTACGACGTCAACTGATGAAGATGTACTGGCTAGCTTTGGGCTATGGTTTACCGGCCACTCCGAATCTACAAAAGCGAAGCTCCTAGAACTATACCCTGTCGAAGATTTCGAGAGCATGGTGCGGCCGGAATACGACGGACCCATCACAGCGCAGTACTACCGCGCAGCGCAACTAATCAAGGACTTCTGGTTCACCTGTCCCGTGCTCGATTTCGCATGGCAATATGTAAAGAACGGTGGTATAGAGTCATCACAACTGCGAATATATGAGCATAATGCAACACGATTCACGCCGTCCTATGAGATGATGGGCGTGCCTATGTGGCGTGTGGCCCATCTCAGCGATATCCCATATGTGCTAAATATCCAGCGTCTAGGCGGAGGCGCGGACAACTCGGCAGCTCAGCTCGAACTAGCGAAGACGATGAGCCGGAGTATCGTGAAGTTCGTAACATCTGGGAGTCCTGATGGCGGATCTGAGGGATGGCCCGCAGCTTTCGATGGAGTAACAAAGGAAGAATTAAAGACACACTTTCCGAGCCGGTTTGCATTAAAATTATTTGGTGGCCCGCATGGTAATGCGGCTGTTTCTCTCAGAAAGGATGAAAATGAGGCCGCAAGTACAGCAGCCGAGCAAGCTGTAAAATGGGAGAAGCTGTTCGAGAGGTGTGAGTTTATCAATAGTGAAAAGGTAAGAGAAGAGAGTGGGGTTTAATCGAGTATGTATTGGAAGTGAATCACTCTAGATCGAATGACTAGGTTTACTATAGACTATTAGAAACTATAGTGCTACGGCGAGATGTTGATAGAAAGGAGGTAGCCATATTCATATACAAACCCCTATTTTGATGTCCCACATAAAACTTCCCCCTTGTCGAAAAAAACCTAAGTATTAATCATAACTACCACTTAATCCATACTTCCTTTTCAATATATTTATGAGGTACTTATACTGATACAATTACCTCTTAAAATCGGAGTAGTTTTGTAAGATTTAAATTATTTAAACCTTTCGGCGTTTGAGATGTTGAATTCTTTGCCTGATAAATAAGGCCATTTGTTAGCCACCTGGCAACGGCCCGACAACTTCTCCATGAATTAAACCTTCAGAATATTGAATTTAGCAACACTAACATCCGAGCTTACCTTAGGTATTAATTCAACCTTACTCTAAAAGTCACCATACGGACAAGATCGGTAATAAAAAGAAATAAAACATGCTTGAGGAACTTCTCGAGACCTGCAAGAGGCTCACTGGATCTCAGACCCCATCGCAGGAGATTCGCGAGGATATTTTACGGCGTATGCTTCTTCCGCATCTCATCTCATCTCATTTCAACTCATGAGACAAACTAACAGACCGTCACTCCAGTGGTCCCCAACGGATGCACCGCGCAAGATCTAAGAAACTTCCTGTCAATAGCCAGAGATGAATCGGTATGCCTTTAAAATTGATGGCCCAATTGAATTTTCTCGTGAAACCATGAAGCTAAGTGAGTATATACAGGATCACGTCGCCGTACTCTTAGCCGCATATGCTATTGCGCTCAAGATCAGCAAAGACGCCAAGGGGCAGGAACTTATCGACGAAGATAACTTGGACGATACGCTCCATGATGTCGCCGACCGCATTAGCTCCCTCATCCTACCTCTATGCTCCAGCGAGTCGCTAGACGAAGGTATGAAGTCCTGATCATTCGTCACATAGCAAGAGAAGCGATTACTGACGACCTATGAACAGATGAGACAGACTACGCCACCCTTCAGCGCAAAGGCGAGCTAGGCCTCCTAGCCCTAGACGCACTCACCAAAATCCCATCCAAAACAGGCCCCCTCCAGTTCCCTCACTCGGTACTACTCCGCATAACCGCTTTCACCAACGCCACAGACCCCTGGACAACAGCAGAATCACGCAGCCTTTCCCAGTCCCTCCTCGAGGCCCAGCTCCAGCAACTAGGTGACTCCCAAACACGGGTCTTCATCGTCGAGGATATCCTAGCCAACTTCCTCCGCCCGCTATTCTCCAAGTCCCGCCCGGCAGCGATCACAGCATCCGGGCGCAAGGCCGAGTACGTCGAGCCGTCGCGGTATGACGGCGCCTCCCGGGAATCGCCCGAGACGAAGCCCTGGAAATACGCTCACCGGTACGCCGTGACGGTCTTCGCGTGGGCTGTGGAGCATGCGGATGTGAGTTGTTTCTTGCATATTTGCTTACTTAACTGAGAACTAAACTTGTCGTCTATGACATATACATATATAAGTCTATATCTATGACCTAAACGCTAACCCATCCACAGTCCTCCCTCCTACAAGCCCACTGGCCGCTCTTCACCCCCGTACTGCTTACCCTGATCGACGAACCGGGCCCTAGTGCCTTCAAGGTACGCGCTCTCGGCGTGCTACGCGCCTTTTGGGCGCGCTGTCCTGTGGGACTGATGCGGGATACGGGACTAGGCGAAGTATTCGAACACGCTGTATTCCCTGCAGTCCTGTACCTACCAAGCTTAACGCCCGAGGATGAATCTCTGGATATTCTCAGCGCCGCGTATCCCGTGCTGATCGAGATGGCTGGTCTCACTGTCGATCGGCCATTAGTAACAACAGGCATAAGCACGACAGAAGAGCAGAAGCAGACACAGAAATCAACACACCAAATCACAGAAGCACAGCGGAGACTTCTGGACAAGATCATCAGAGAGGGTATCATGGTCGGGTATCACCACGCAAAAGAACACGTGCGGCTCGTGGGCCTATTCTGCGAGACGCTCGTCTGTATTATAAATGGGATGGGTATACTAGCCGTGAAACACCTAAAGGTACCGTCCCTCCTATTGTTTCCGCTTACACCCGCCCTGAATTCCAAGCCAAACCAAACAAACTTAACACACAGCCTTGGTTCCTATTATACCAAAACGCCGCTTCATCTATGGGATACCGTTATTAATATAATAGGAAATAGGATTTCATCCCCATGCTCTCCGAGATTATGACCGACCCTTTCGGCACCAAACACCCGCCAACTCTCACCTCGGCCACCAAACTCCTGCAGGCTATCCTACGCAACTGCTGGCCCAGAATCCAGCATTACTGCAACGAGATCATCAAGATGCTTATGTTGTGCTGGCTTAACATCGAAGACGAAGAGTCTTTTCCGCACAATAGCCCGATCGCGAACGACTTGAAGTCTAATCTAACCCAAACCGCTAGGATGCTATCTGCAATAATGAAAGCAGCCCAGATTGATTTCAGACGACGCGTCGATCCACTGATTGAAAAGGAACCTCGATTAAGTAAGCTCTTCGGAGAGATAAACTCAACGTAAAAAGGACGACTCAGGAAGACACCGAAAACTCGGACAAATTATTGCTCACCGACCTCCACGCGGCCGAATACTAATCGACCGGCTGCTGCTTGAAGAGGGATTTACCTCTAAGCCATTTCCCATATGCCTTGTACCGTTTCTTCGTCAAATCCTCATCCGTCACGGTCAGCGGGTTTTCGCCAATCCGCAGCAAGTCATTATACGCGTCGATGTCGTCTTCAGTACCGGTGGAGACTAGACCATCCGTATGCCAGCTACCGTTGAGGTATTCTTGGTATTCGGAAGAATCGACATCCGGTGGCGCCTCATTGGAGATGACCAGGGGCAGACTCTGTGGGTGGCTGATATATCGTGCGTAATCATCCGCTTCTTGCGCACTCACGGACGGGTTGAGCGATTCCTGAACGATATTCGTGAAAGTCCCCTGTGCACTCTTTGTTTTCTCTTGAGCGGTCTGCTTTAGCCTATGACTGTCGCGATTCTCTGCGGAGTCTTTCATGATGCTATGAGGAATCGTAGGGCCGCGGTCCGGCTGCATAGGCTGGAGCCAGCGTTGAATCGATATACCCCGGGAACTCGCCTTTTCCGTCATGACAGACTCGGAGTCGTCATCCAGCGAAGATTTCCGAGAATCTTGAGGATCAACGATAATCACCTCCTTCTTTGCCGTTGACTTTTTCTTCTCATGGGTTTCCGCGTCGCCATCAGTGCGGACGCGGAAGGGGCTTAGGTCGTATTTGCCTTCCTGGGTCGACTTGAAGGGTATATACTTGATAGTGGAGTTCATCTTGTACGGAAACATCTTGGGAAATGAAGACAATGTTGACGGGCGATAATACTCCAGCCAGTAGTCGTCGAAGAATGAGACAGGTTTCGTCGCCATCTCTTTTTTTGGTGGTACAAAAGCGGGTATAGTCCGCTTCTCAAGATATGCTGGCGTGTACCAATGGATATAGTCATGCTTCTCCTTTTGCGACCATGTCCGCGGATTAGCATGGTGGAGATAGTAATCCGTTGAGAGATCCCACAGCATAGGTTGCCCTTGAGCAAAGATATAATTCCCGAGGAAGAGGTTATAGGCCTCCTGTCTTTGACTATCTAGGAACGAGTTATTATAATACCGCTTGAAACTCTCGATCATGTCCCGGGAATGGCTCGTCCACTGGTTTATTTTGCGGTACGTCTCCATCGTATTCACCAACTGAGAACCTCCATACTGAACCGCGATCGTATCACCATGATCGTGGTACATGTGAGTGAAGAGATTAACCGCGTCCGTGTCGTAATCGATGGTTGTATTTTCAAGAATGCCGAGGGCGTGAAGCTGGTGTCCAAGCGCTCGCTTTCCAATGACGAATTGAGCTGCATTCGTACGGTCCAAGCAGTCGATACAATTTGTTCTCGCGACGCCATTCTGGACACTTGTTGGAGTGATAACGCCGTCGCCATTGTGGAAGATGCCAGTCGTAGTGACGACAGTCTCAGCAATGTTCTCAAGTGTACCAATGACATCTTGATCTTTGCTTTTCGCGGCCCTACTCATATCCCAAGCTTTGTGTATGATCTTGTGTCCTTCTGGCAGAAATTGGTTCAGATAGTTGATGGCATTTGTATATTCATCAAGCAATTTAGATTCCCGCGGGGTCCTTTCTCTAGCTTTGATAAGATTGAGCGCATACACGGGAGAGCCATAACGTTCAAACAAGTTATCAAAATGCAGTGCAGCTGCCGTGTAGAAAGGATCGATGAGATTCAACTCGATCGGCGGCTTGGGAGTAACGCCCATATTATCCTGCGTCCAATGAAGAGGAATGCTTCCTCTATGCTGGACATAGGAAGTAAACTGTGGATTCGCAAAGAGCTTGGGACCAGGGGAATGGAACGATGTTGTCAATGCTTCGGAAACGATCTGCTCAGTTTCAACATCGTTCGCTACATAGCCTAGATCATTTGCCCCACGCTTCAAGAATCTGGCGCCAGCGAAATATCTTGACCGCCGCGCAATTATGGTGATATGTGCTGTCTTGCCGTATATGGATATGGCGGACTGATCAATATATCCATGTATTATCGGACGACACCAATCAAAAGGGTCATGAATAGCATCTTCGGCGGGTCGCAGAAGATGGCTATTCCAGATGAACATAGAATTATAATCATCATATGTCGTACCTGGCATTCCATGCAGTAAAGCAGTTCTTTCTCGGGTGATGTTGTGTTGCAAAGTCCTGGTGATGTCGTAAGAGTAGCTATAGTAGAAAGATCTCGTGAGATCTAGATTCTTAAGAATATTCAGGAAGCGCTGCTCCTCGACATGGCGAGCATCCGTCTTGTACTTTGCTGGAGTTAAAGGAATGAGTTCAGTTCCGTCGATCTGGTAAACATAATGGCCGCCAATCATTGCGACCGTACTTTTCTTGGTGATCAGCAGCATGTAGTACGGCCCTGTGAATTTGATGAAGCCTAAAATCCCCCACGTCGTACATCTCTGCTTGATACCACCCGTACTTTTGTTTCCGTCGTCAATAGTGTTTAACAGCGAGTTCATCTCTTTCTGACTATAAATAATTTTATCATCTGTTATAGTCAGGTCAGACTCGTGGGTATCCGACTCGTGAGTGTTACGATCTATTTTCAAGATGCGATAACGTTTCTCGGTAACATCTCCTCCAACAATGTAGTACCGACTCGCCGTTTCGTACAAGGTGAACTTATGCATCTTGTAGGCTGATCGAATGGGAGCTCGTTCTTCTTCAGGCGGGGTGGCGACCCTAGACGATATGTTGGGGCTGCTTGTTCGGACAAAAGGTCTAGCGACTGGTTCCTCGTCGTTGTCGTCCTCGACCGTCCGCTTCTGTGCTTGCACGTTTTGTAGTAAAGTTTCGCTACTAGCATTATTCTGCAATAGAGGATACGTAGGCTCTAGACGATCCGTATCATGGGATTCGTCATCAATTACTCGGTGGCTAACATCATGAGTCTGACTTGGTGGCTGAGAAGCTTGGCCATTGTTAGCCGTTATACCGTCTTGATCGTTCGAGTCAGCCATTAGAACCGACACAGGACTCCCGATCGAAGCATGCTCCCAAAGTATACAAGGAACCCAATTTCTAACAGGATTTACGGTGTACGGTGTATAAGAAGTAGCAAATTTACCGGTCCGCGTTGCCAGCGAAAACGAGCTTAGCGATTTCGGAGAGTGTAAACTTTCGAAACTGTAACGACTTCAATGAGGACGAGACCCCAAAGTCTAAGAGGCCTGTACAACTTATCGATAGGGAAGATAAGCAGGTGACGGTACCTAGGTATGTAGCATGTGCCATGTGCGTAAAAGCGTAAAAGCGGAGCAGACCAAATTTCATTGTTCTACTGTTACGTCATCGCCTTATTTAGACTTTCTTTCTTTATTTGAAGTAATTCCATCCACGTTAAAGAACTACACTAAGGTTAGGTTAGTGTTCTTACTTATTGTCATATGGCACGTGTGTACCCACATGTATATAAAGCTAGATCTTCCCTCTTGTAACTTAGCCAATACAACATCAAATACAACACATATCGTGATACTTATTCTCAAGCTATAGCGCATTCTTACGGCTTTCTAGTGTATGTCGCCGAGCCGTATTCTCGAATTTTCCGTGGTGAGACGGGCCGGGGCGAGCGCCTTATCCCGACGGCACCGTTTCATGCTCAATAGAACCGAAGCGTAAATAGTTGACCTAGCGATAAGAAATAATAAAGGCTTTGTGTAAGACCACATACATATTTAGTTGAACGAAACATCCAGTATCGAAATCCACCAATGGCAAGTAATAGAACTCCAACTCCACCGCAACTTCGTAGCGTCATAATGTATAGTGCATACGTGATCATTCTATAGAATGGTGTATTAAGATGTTCGCGATCCGTTCACTATAAGTGAGCTATCTGCATGTGTTGCTAGAATGCTACTATGTTATATGCATTAAGCTCCAGCGTGTGGAAATGCGGTCTGCAGGTACAAATGCCGACCGCTTTCCACGACTCACGCAAGGCTAATACACCGAACTGATCTGGCCAGATTAGGCAAGCCGTTAAGAACAGTTGGTGCGAAGCATCGTGAAATGCTACTCTAAATAGTAGTATAGTTAAGTGCTTGGGCGAGGAAGAATATCTAACCCTGCTTGCAAGAGCCGCATAACTTTAGTCGTTCGCGATATATGCGGTAAGACGCCAAGAAAATTCCCGGAATACTACAACCGAGCGGGAAACAGCATAACGTTTTAGACTATCTAAGTGGCTATAAGCCGTAGAAGCGGTGAATAAATATTGTATGACGTTGCAAAATTACCAGGTATTCGCCAAGAGCAGAAACTAACTTGTGAATCTAAGTAGATTTATAAGGATACGATGCAAGATGCCAACACAGAATGAGACCTCCATAAGTCACCGATGGTACCCAACATGCTGAGCATTAATAGTCACGGCGGGCCGAGACATGAAAATGGGCTGATGAGGAAGCATGTTCATGCTATTATATTGCAAGTTGACTCGATGAAACTATAAACAAGAGATCTATATGCACAACGAGAGAAAGAGGCTGAGTACACAAATTAGAAACTTCCAACACTACTTAGGTACATATCTTGAAACCTCATAGGGTGGTAGGGAGTCCCTAGAACGTAACCCCACCTCGGGGTTGTTATAGGTAGATGTTGTTAGACGTTGCGCAAAACCCCGAAGCTGAGCTGAGCTTGTTTAACTTCCACTACCGAATATCCCGCCCCCTCGCATTTACATGATTCGTCAATGGTAGACCGCTATTCCTTAACCCGGTGCGAGTCTGCATCTCATAATGCACGGCATATACCACCGCCACGATTGGGCGTTCCCCAGATGAAAATGTCGGTATATGACTTACAGTCGACATCATTGTAACCCTGCCAACTAATGCCCGAGTTTACGAGGGGTTATTGTGTCGAATTTTTTCCATGGCCCAAATAGGAAAGTAACTCAATGGGCAGTATCTGGCACATGCGCAATTATGTAAACTCGGGCATATTGTGCAGCCCGCAGGGCTGCCTCCAGTTATATAGTTGTATAGTAGATACCGACTGTGCGGTACGAAGCTTCTGATAGGTCAATAGTTAGTATAGAGGTGTCTTCATTTGACTTCTTGACGTGTTGATAGTATAGTTGTTAAAGCCGAGTGCTATTGCAAATCAACTAAACAAGACGCCCGTTTTCTTCGTGGAGTCGATATTGTGCTTCCACCCAATCTTGTACAACTAAAGCAGTTTGTCGGTTCCCTCTTTAGGCTCTGCACATAATGTAAAGCATTAGCGTCGCGAGGAGTACTATTGAATGTGTTGGAACACAGAGTTTACCAGTAGACTAACCTCTTTTTGGAGTTCTAATCGACTCCAAGAAGCCGTACAACATATTAGACATAATAGGCCGGCCAACAAGACGTTTTTATGTGACTATGGAAGCGGGGCCTACCACCTTTGATTGCAATGGCTTTGGATATATAGGAGATAGTTTATATTGAAGGGTTGAGGATAATATTTAATACCCCTAGATACCCCCGTTCAAGCGTGGTCATAATCGTCAAATAACTTGCACTATCACAGTTGCTTTGAGCACACTATGCGAACATATAACGGGACCACCCAACTAAAGCGTAGACGAAAAGAAGCCGCACCTAAACACTTGTGCGGTCGTGCGACTTCGGAAATTTTTTGAGCTATTCAGTAACCTGTTACCGCATCATGGAACCAAAGGTAACCCAACACATACACTAAACAAAAATTAGCAGCTGATAGGATCGATAGGTGGAAAGACAATCTTCGAAGAACCAAGGCAGTAAAGCAGCCCCTCAGGCAGCCAGGCTCCCTTCTGCGAATCAGCAACAAGCCTCAGGAGACGCAGACTTCTTGACGTTGAACCGTTCATGGGTGAATCGTGAACATACGTTGAATAATAAGTTTCAAGACGAACTTTGGTGGAAAGCGAAACCCCATAGCGGGAATACCCTGGAGCGCTGGAGAGTCCAATCGATGATAGATGGTCCATATCAAAACATGGAGTCGATTATGACGAAGACGAAGACGAAGACGAAGATTGACCAATCTAAGCCTTCTAACATTCAGTCACCGAAACACGCAAGGACCGTAAGCGAAGCAGCAGCTACCTCGGGATCCAAGTAGATAGGGTCTAAGGACGCGGGATAGAGAAAAGAAAATTGGAAGTAGAAAAGGGTTTCAACGCGAGACTATGTTTGATATCCCTCAAGTCTATAAAGCAGGAACAGCAAACTCTAGTGGTTCTCGGGCGGCTTCCCAAGCCAGCCAGTCTGATCTTGTGGTCCTGTATCTACCTGTTAGCAAATTCTAGTTATACTTAATTATTTAATAAGCATGCACTTACGGTAATAAACCCATCGCATTAACTTTCCAAATTCCAACCGCCAAGGCTACCAACTGCATCGCGACGTAAGCCAGCTTGGCCTGTATTATCTTGCCCTTGTTGCTCTCGCTCTCGAACCTCTCAAACGCCTGGTTTGTGCTGATGATGCCCATGATGGGGTTCTTGAAGGCCATGAAGACCATCATTATGCTGAAGATCTGTAGCGAGTTTCCCGACATGTACATCATGATGGCCGTCATGGGCAAGCTCTTCACGGGTGCGAGTGCCACCTCCCAAGCCTTCTTCAGTTTCAGCGTATCCATCTCTTCGGGCGTCGGTTGTTTTCGGGTTTGAGTTTTAGCTTCTTTTGATGCTTGTTTCTGTCATGTGTCGTCAATATAGGCTATGGGCACTTAGATAATAAGATGCTATTACCTTTGACAATGCGGCTGACTGCGACGGGTAGCCGGGCGGATCGGGAATGCTACTATTCTTCGACTTGGAGGCTGGGGGGGATTGTAAATCGGCAACCCATTTAGGGATGGAAGGATCGGTTGACGACATTGTTGTTGATTTCGTTATTTCCTTTGGTGATGCTTTATTGATATTGTCGGGTATAGTAGTGTTATGCGGTATGTAGTATCCAACGTCGTCGCTTAGCTGTGAAGCTTCTATAATTGATTTTAGATGAAGTTGAGAATCAGGCGTAGAAGTACAACTTGCTGATCCACAAGGAGCCGTCATGGTGGGATAGGATGACAAAGCATTGGCTAGGCGTGGTTTACCTAATGAAAAGCCGCTAAGACAGCTTGACAGCTTTACATAATACATATGGAAAGTCTGTGACCCACATAGCCCGTTGTAACCCGAAATCAATCCCTGCAAGCGCAACTGCAGCCGAAAGCTTCTAACTTTCCGCTCTTCAGGGGTTTCCCTTTAATTCTTACCTTTCCATTTTGGAGGGGCCGAACATCTTCCCCCGAATGCGATATTCATATTCCCGATAATGTCGATTCATGAGTCTCGTCAAACTAATTATCTTTCCCTGCAATAGAATGTCATTACATTCGACCTAATTCGACTACCAGCTGCACAACAATCTGCGGGCCAAGATCCGGTACGCCATTACATTCGATCTCCCCTCCAATACCATCTGTTTTCTCGAACCGCCATCAACCCTTGCGATTGGATGGTTGCATTAATAGGCTTCTTGAAGAATACCTAAGTATGCTTTTAGTCAACTAATATTCCTATCCCTTGCCCAGAGTTCTAACGTGAGGGGTAAGCCACAACTTGGTTTACTTCCTTGCTTTTACTCCCTGTTGTGTTCTCGCTGCGCGCTATATCAACTGACCTCGAGCTCCTATTCAGCCAACCAGCCGATACGTCGAAAGACCGACCAAAAGAGGCAATTCCGACAAAAAGCAGACGCCAACTATAAACAACCATGTCGAGCACCCAAGTCGGAGGGGACTCGAAGCTGTTCGCTCGAGTAAGCCCATTTATATTTCTTTCTACTCGACCCATGAGTCTTATTATTGTACCCGTCACTTAATCCCATACCTCCCAATTCGTTGGCGATTTCCTTTCCTCGACACCCTCTTCCCCAATTCGATAAATTGGAAGTCGATATTCTCTGCCCATTTATCACTGTTCCCCGAAGCGTCTTCGTCTTGACGTCTATCTTAGAAAGGCACACGTTTCGAGTCGCCCTGCGATCCCAACGTCCCTTCGGGGCCATCAGAACACATTATGATCCTACCTATCTTGCCCGTCGCGTATAATGGCCATGTTTCTAGCATATATGCCCCCGGATTTTGGCTTACGACCCGTAACTATGCAGGGGAAAGTTGCCGAGCTACGACTCGAGCTGAACGCCGGCGGAAAGAAGGACAAGAACTACACGCAGAAGAAGATCGCACTCAAGAAGATTGTCGCGAACATGACTATGAGCAACAATGAGATGGTCTCCCTCTTCCCCGATATAATAGGCTGCATGCACATCCAGAGCCTGGAAATCAAGAAGATGTACGTCCATGCCAATTTTCGGAACCAAGCCATTGGAGTTGGGCACTAATGAGGACGGGATAGGTGTTTCTTGTTCTTAGTCAACTATTCGAGGATGCGCCCCGAGATTGCGGTAAAAGCAATCCCGTTTCTACAACATGTAAGTATCGCGAGGAACATGGCGTTATGCTCGGAAATTCGATTAACACTCGTATAGGACATGGAAGACAACAATCCGCTAGTCAGGGCTTTAGCTCTCCGAACCATGTCATACGTTCACGTCAAAGAATTCGTCGAAGCTACGGTCCCTCTTGTCAAACGCCTACTCAGAGACTCCGATCCCTACGTACGAAAGACAGCCGCTTTTTGTGTCGCGAAGTTATACGATCATGATAAGCACATGGTCGAACAATCCGACCTAATAGATAGGCTCAATCAGCTGCTGAGAGATGACAACCCTACTGTTGTGGCGAGCGCGTTAGCTGGGTTGATGGATATCTGGGAACGCAGCGACTCCATCAAACTTACTATTGATTACAGCAATGCCTCCAAGATGGTAGCAATCCTGCCAGATTGTTCTGAGTTCGTCTCTTTCGCCCAGTCAATATTCATTCTCGCTAACATGAAATCAGGTGGGGCCAGACTTACATCCTTGAGGCTTTAATGTCTTATGTACCTCAGGAGTCAGGGGAAGCAACTTTGCTAGCTGAACGTATAGCGCCGCGGTTATCACACTCGAATTCCGCTGTGGTGCTCACTTGCATTCGTGTAATTCTGTATTTGATGAACTACATCGCAGAAGAGAAGCAGATCTCGGCCTTGTGCCGGAAACTGTCTCCACCGCTTGTAACGTTATTAGCAAAGGGCCCAGAGGTGCAATATCTTGCTCTACGGAATGCGCTACTCATACTTCAGAGAAGACCAGATGTTCTGCGTAACGATATCCGTGTATTCTTCTGTAAATACAACGATCCGATCTACGTCAAGGTCACTAAGCTCGAGCTGATATTCATGCTCGCCAATGAGAAGAATATCGACGAAGTACTAACCGAACTGAGAGAATACGCGACGGAAGTCGACGTGCATTTCGTCCGTAAGGCAGTGCGAGCCATCGGTAAGCTAGCCATTAAGATTGAGCCGGCTGCGAGACGGTGTATAAATCTGCTACTCGAACTTGTCGCAACGAAGGTCCCGTATATCGTCCAAGAGGCCACCGTGGTTATCCGCAACATCTTCCGAAAATACCCCAACCAGTACGAGTCTATCATCGGTACGCTTTGCGAACACCTCGACTCACTCGACGAGCCTGAGGCAAAAGCTGCAATGGTCTGGGTTATTGGGCAGTACGCAGATCGCATCGAGAACAGCGACGTCTTACTCGAGGACTTCCTGTATTCCTTTGCCGAGGAACCCGTGGAAGTACAATTAGCGCTACTCACGGCCACGGTCAAGCTCTTCATTCAACGACCCACCAAGGGCCAAGACCTCGTACCGAGAGTCCTAAAGTGGGCCACGGAAGAGACCGACAACCCGGACCTCCGGGACCGTGCGTACATGTACTGGCGACTCCTCAGCACAGATATGAACGTCGCGAAGCAGATGGTCATGGGTGAGAAACCCCCCATCACAGCCGAGTCTGAGAAGCTTGACCCCCAGACCCTGGAGGAGATGTGTCTCAACGTCGGCACGCTAGCCACTATCTACCTCAAGCCCGTTCAAACCGTCTTCCGCAGCGCGCGTCCCCGCCGCCTCCCCGACTCACCCGCCCTGCAGAAACACGCCCTACCCTCCGCTGCCAACTTACCCGCTTTTGAGGCCCAGAAGAGCCTCAGCATGTTCGGCATGGGCGGACAACCCGCCGTCCTACGACCCGACAGCAACGACGGCGTTGCGCGCGCCCAGGCCACCGATGCTAGCAGCAGTAACAGCGGCAATGGCCCGGACAGCATGGCCCACGCCGTCAGCGACGCGGACGCGTACTTCGCCGGTATCGGCAGCCAGCAGATGGCCGCCATGGGCATCCACGAGGCGGGCGATTCATCCTTCGGCGGTGGCGGAACCGAGGCTTCCTACGTCGTGAACCAGTACGCACCGCAGCAAGTCTTCCAGCCTGCGCAGGGTGTCGGAAGTAATGGCGACTTGTTGCTTCTATAGTTACCTAACTTGTAAACCTATCTTATACACTTAAGTGTACGGGAATATGAGTTGCGGCGAGTGAGGATGAGAAGAATGAGTGCAAGAATGACAGATAAGTGAGGTTAAGTGTGGCGAGGACGCAGACGAAGAAACTACCTACCTAATTAACCTAACCTACCCAAGGGTAGATGTGCAAATTGTCGGGTATATGTAAATATTGCCATTGTCAAAATTAGAGAAAGCAAGCAAGCAAGCAAGCATAGGGTACTGATATTTTGAGGACTTGTACATCAATTACAACATAATCTTTTTAGACTTTTCGGATCCTACGCTCATAGAGTCATAATTGCTTCACGATCTTGCTAGCTAAGTGTTTCGGAATGTTCTGATACCAGATCAATGCAGAATTCAATTAGAGTGCGTACAAGTACATGCTGATCCCGAGGATCTTTCGTAACGTAACTGGAGAATTAGAGCCATAACAAGCAAAGTGGCAGCGACAAACATTAATATGCAGCAGGCGAAGGTGCCTAGCAATCTGTGGTCCAGCTCCCAAGAAATCTCAATCATTTTCATAACTTCCTTCCCATCTCAATCCCTCATCACCTCGTCGCCCTACCGAATGTAATCTCAACAATTAATTCTTGCCAGTAATCTCCGTCTGACATGACGGAACACCGTTTAAGTCATGATTTTCCTTTTCAAATCTTAGCTTAATCATTGCTGATTTATCAGCGACAGTGGCTACAGCATCCGGGTTGAGCCGGCTCCAAGTGGCCATGTCTATTCGCACTATCGGAGGCCTTCTGAACGGTAGATTGTCGTCCATTACTACCATCCCCAGAGGTGTTTCCTTCGGTCTCTTCAGAAGCACTACGACGAGCGTTGGCAATGCTTGATGCCAATCGCGAAGGGATCCAACCAAGTAGAGTTAATATAGAAGGACCTATAGCTACCAGGGCCGCCGCAATGAGAAAATGGTATCGGCCTGGTTTAATAATGGAAACAGCAGCGTTGGTATCTGGGACCGGCCTGGGAGGAGGATGTCCCGTTACCGTGTATATTGTGTTGGTACTAGAGCTGACGTGTGGCAAAGAAGATGACTGGGTGACTGTAGTGTAAACGTAGTCTTCAGTACTGTGAGTAGTGTAATGTTGAATACTGGTTGACGTAACTAGGAGTGTCACTTCCGGAGTAGGGTCCAATGTCGGGTCAGACGTCGTAACAGTTTGTGTGGTATTGTATTCTGGCGTCTGTGAAACTGATTCACCCGTGCCAGTTACGATGACAACAATAACCTGCGCAGGAGTAGTGGATGAGCTGTGGACGGCAGATGAAGTGTGGTATTCTAGAGAAACAGTTACGGTTTTGGGATCGGGATCCGGCACCGTCACAACGCTTGGTTTGTTAATTGCAGGGGTCTGTTGGTTGCCATATGCACCAGGAGGCAAGTTTATAGTCTTAGGGGGGTTCCCATAGCCTCCGTTTCCAACAGGGGTTGTACTAGAGCCGTATCCGTAGCCATAACCGTCACTATAGTCATCTCGCCGAGATAGTCCGTCCTCCTGTGACCATAGCTCCAGGCATTCGGGATCTGCTTCATCCAAATGGCATACTTCCAGAAGCCCATCGTCAAGATAACTTTGGAGAGTTGCCTCAGTTATCTCGGTCACAATAGGACTATGTGTAAGTAAGATGCCAGATGAAGGGTTAGATCCAATAGCGTCTTCATCGGTGCGAGTGGGGTAGAGAGAAGATGATCCGGATTGAGTCACAGTGGTGAGGTCCATATCCTGTGTAGTTCGAATTTGATGAGAGGGTCGCTTGTGGATCGTTGCGAATGTGGACAAATTATAGAGGAGTTCGGACAAGATAGCATTGGTCTCCACGGCCGTACCAACCGTAGTAATAGGAGCGGACTCGGGCTGGAAAGGTGATTCCAGAGCAAGCTCTTGGTTGCTTACAACGGTTGTGCACTGGGCAACTCCGTGGTATAGTGCCAGAAGGCCGAAAAAGAGTACACGTGTCCAGACCGCCATTGTGACGCCTTTTTATATTTCGATAGACGAATAGAATCTGGTTGATTCAGAGTTATAAAGGAACCATCTGCGAGTGGAAGAATTGACAACAGACGGACGTGAGATAAAAAGGAGGCAAAAACAAAAGATTGGATTAAAGTGTGAAGACTGTGACGTTTCAAAAAGGTAGGACATGTCATTGAAATCGTAAGTTTTACCTTCCGAGTCATGAAAGCTTTGGTGCTGCTTCCTTTGCTGTTGAGATCTTGGGAAGGTGCTGGCCTTGTACACGTTGAAAAGACCAAGCACGGAGGCAGTTGCAGTGAATAAACATGGCAAGACCGCTTGCTCAGGCAGCCACATAGAGAGCACTTGAGGTAATTACAATTCGCTGTTACTCTATATGATTATCCGTACTTTCCTGATCGGATTAGACAGGCACAAAATGTATCTCACCTTACCTGATGTACACAGGTACGTGTAGTAACATCAAATCAACGAGTACTACGAATTTGAAGTATACAGCGATGCACCTACCAACATATTGCAACATATTTAGATTCCTACTTCCGAGATTCTCTCTTGCCTTTGAGGCTGCACATATCTAATGCATCATAAAACTTGAGACACAGTTGACGATTCAAGATTATGCCCGTCGATATGCGTCACACGTTTGAATGATTCAACTGAGACTCCCGCTTTCCTCATTATTCGATCAAGCTCGAAATTATAAGCTCTTCTGTTGTTTCATATCAAGACTATTCTATTATACTAGCAGATTTTACAGCAGTCACCTATGCAGATTATGTATCAGATCCCGATTCCATGAATTTGCCAGATTTGAGTTGCTTGTTAAATGACTGCGTCTTATGGAAAAATATATTATTAAAGCACAAGATTCTTACATAGATAAGGACTACACAAGGCATTCATGATATTACATATGTACCAGTGACATACTTCGGTGAATTACAAGTAACAAGGGACAACAGTAAGTTGATTATGGAAGTGTAATTAACTTGTCTGTTCTTAATTGCCCATTTTTAATTTCATCCAAGAGGTAGCCACAGAGAGCATTTCTTAAGGTGTGCAATCATCTAATTTAACGATAATAGTACTGATATTTTGAGCAACTCATTTAAGTACCTAATGCATGTATATTGTTTTGCGATTGAGTCTTGTCCTAATAGTTCACTGTGCTGTCCTAAAGTAGTTGAGATCAAAAACATGGAAGGGATCCGCAGGCGAGAATACACCTAAGGAATTGAAATATTCTGTACCAGTACGTGTTCATGGCAAGAAAAGAACTTGATATCGCGGGAAACTAGGACCGAGGTCTACGGAGAAATTCGGACAGCCGGTCGGGCGGGAATATCTTAGTAGTTGCGGAGCCGGTCTCGGTAGACCTAGCGGGCCGACGGCATGCGGGGATGATGGGCTCGCTGCAAGAACGACAAACAGTGGGCCTGATTGTGTGTTTAGCACCACGCGTAAAGAAGACTAATTTTGTATCTTAACCCACCCAAGGAAAGCTAAAGGGAGACTAACGCAATCAATTCTACATGGTGTATTGAAGTAAGTAATTCTGTTAGAGTTTCAATACATAGGCCCTGCATATTTGTGGGCGGTTTACAGGTAACTATTGAAATATGTGATGGTGAGGGGTCTTAATATGTAAATTTTAATTTTGCTGTTATGGATGGGGCTTATTGGGAGATCTATTCTAAAGGCCTTAATATGCAAGCAATCATAAGATCGTTTAGATTCAATATCTATCTGGGTTAGGGGAGATACGTCACTGGTAGCAATGAAGAAGCGGTGTATAATAAGATGATAATAATATGATTAAGGTATCAACAATAATAGAGTTGGGAGTTTTTTATAACGCATAGTGTTTAGTTATACGCATAGTAATTGGAATACGTAGGATTGAGTTTAAGTGACGTTATTTATTATGTTAGGATCTTAAAATGTTTGAGAAGGGTGTGATTTATGACTGCTTTATCACGTTTTATCTTATATGAACATATAGCTGAGAAGGTTGAAGCAGCACTGGATAAGTACTAGTATAGTTCAAAGAGATAAGTTGAAATGGAGAAATATACATAATCAAATTGTCCTGTTACAATTTGAAGTTCTTAGACTTTGGCGAGTGATCAATGAAGGCAATGGAGGCAAATGCGGAGTGTGGGGAAGAGAACGAACGCTATGTGGTACCAGGATGCCAAGGCGGGGGAGTTTACCGTGCCGAGAAAAGAAAGATCTAATCCGTCTCCAGCTATGTGGTGCTGGACCACTAGTAGATGATAATCATACGTGAAACTCAAATACTCGATGTAACACTTCGATGGTGATAACGTTGACAAAGTTATCACTTGACCGGCTATTCAAGGTTAGCGAGCCTTAATGAGTGTCTCTAAGCCTAGCTATATCTGGGTCAGATACCACCCAACCTCTATTGAAATTTGACTTTGGAAAAGCACGTCAAGTGTACAGGTGATAGCAGAGACGATAATGTTAAGAATTAAGAGAGCCACATTTGTACATGCAGATTTTCCCTCTTTCCTTGTATGGCAGTAGGACCCGAACTTTGGTTATCTCCATATTATTACCGTCACTATTACATGATGTACATATTCTGTATCTGGGGTGGCTTGGCTATGTTAGCCATTCTGTTTCTTTGTTAATTTTCGTATGCATCTTTTCTAAATAACCCGAGGTAGTGGACATTTTAATGTCTGTGCCTCAACTGAAATTTCAATCGCAGTTGTGCGACTTTTAATACGCACACGCGAACGCGCAGGAGTATAATAACAATAACAAGATCCATGTACCTGTCTATTTTTACCACGGTCCACTTAGGGGGGTTCAGCTCCGCATCGACCACTAAGAAGCCTGTGTCACGCTTATCTAAGAGGTAATAATAACAGCCTGAAATAAGGGGCATTCAAAACCCCAGCTGGCAGCAGCCCGGTTAGCCAGTTACAAGGTAGTACCTAGGCCAGTTAACGAGTCAGCGCCATAACATATTGGAAGTTGATTGACCCGTTCTCATTCGCGGTTTTTCTAAAAGGCAAATAATCGAGCTGCTATGTTGTCTTGTCACAATCACTTGTGAAGAGACCGGCACTCAACAAAAAACTCGACTTTTCGTTTCGTCCTTGGAATTTTTAGTTATCCTTGAAATTGAAATCTGAATTGATCTCAACCGTCCCTTTTCTTCTTCTTCTCGTCCTGCACAAGGTTAAACCTGCCAATCCGGTCCGTTAGACCCGTGCAGTAACATCATCACCATCCTTTTTTTTATTAGTAGCAGTGACTAGCTGCATCTTCTCTCCTATAATCACCTGTCACTATTTCCCCTTGCAGTATCAACTTGCAGTATCAATTCGGCAATCTCTCCAAACCATTGCATTCATTTCATCTGCGTGTTTTCCATGGCAGGAACAGGAATAGGAATAGGCGAGAGCGACAGATAATAATTAAGTGTACGCAATTGTACTGCATACCCGCGATCGATAATTCGACAATCCCGACAATCCTTTGAAACGAGGTGCACCTTTTACACCAACGAAACGCACCCTTCGAATGCTGCTGACATCTATTCTTTTCTCGGTTATTTCAACTCCGTAATTGCGCGCAGCCGTCAGCATCTGCACGACAAATTTCGATATACCGGCTCCTTAATTACCTTCCACTCGGTCGCAATTAATCATGGCGGATGTAACGTCTCCCTCCGCTGGTGGAGATCAAGGGCCTAGGGAAGAGAGGTTGGCGATTAATCTACCCGTGGGCGACGTCGAGATGGAAGATTTATCTCGAGCTCAACCTAAACCCGCCAACCCAGACGCCAATCTAGATACTTCAGAGTCCCAAAATCACGATTCCGAGTCTACTCCGGCCCCAATACCCGTACCGGATAAGGATCCGCCGAATAACGAGTCGACATCATTGAAAGCCAGCGGCAAGACCCAAATCGGCGACGACGATCACGATCTGACGATAGATCCTGTTGAGTCCGGTGATGGGTCTCCAAATGACGATTTAGTGGTCGATATAATGCTTCTCTTAACCTCGGGCGCCCGACATCCTTTTCGTATCGACGAAAAATACTTGTCGAAGCGGAATGTTACTGTGACGGGCAAGACGGAGGATGGAAAGCTGGATCCATTCAGCATCACAGTCTATACCCTAAAAGAACTGATACTGAGAGATTGGAGAAAAGAATGGGACCAGCCACCGAGAGAACCTAGTGCTATAAGGCTTATTCACTTTGGTAAATTGCTCGAAGACAGAAATCAACTTAGCCGTACGTATAATCTCCCTTCTTTCCGTACTGTTCGAGACGTATTTGGGCAATGGGATACTGAATTTTGCAGATTACCACTTTAGCACGACTAGGAATGTTGTTCACATGACTATTAAGCCGCAAGACTTGATAGATGAGGAAGAAGCTGCTAAGAAGGTCAAAGAGTCTGGGAGCCACACCGGCCGCAGCGGATGCTGTGTCATCTTATGATCTAGTCCTTCTGAAGTGACAACTGATTTTCAAAGAGCGAGCATCCTCTCGATGTGGTGATATCTTAACCTGTTCTACAACTGTCCGAGCTATTGGGGAGCAACATAGGCGAGTCGGATAATTGGGCATATGCTGCGGAAATGATTGCGGATTTTTTTTGGGCATCGGACGGCGCGATAGGTTTGATTTCAGCGGCTGAGATTGAAGCGTGATCCATCTTCACGATGCGTTTACTATGTCATGGGAGATTAGAGTTCCCTCTGAATTTAGCCTGGAGTACACAACATCGATGGCTCAAGAGGGGGGAATAGGGTTGAGAAGATCTCAACAACTCTTTACGTGCTCTTTCTTGTTTTGTTTTTTTTGTACAGCACTAGAGAAACAGGCCTATATCCGGCGCAGTTTGTTGTGTTTATAGTATTTGCACTTTACCGGTCTTACCGACCATATAAGCGATTAATGTGGGTTACTTTACCACTGTCTATACGTTAATATGGATCTATTGTAGTCATATAGTTGTTATATCATTGCGTTAGGTCATGACTATCTTGTGAAGGTTTTCCAGGGTCAAATGCCCATAGACTCTATTTCATGACGTTTGCTAGTATCGTACGCAGTATAAAGTACGCTCTGATTCATGTCCGTCAACCTGGAGACGTTACCAACCAGGTTCAAGTCTACCTCAGTGTTCATCGCCTGACACAGTTATGCCGATTGCCAAGATGCTATATTAAACCACACCCTAGATCTTCAACTTCCGCTCCATCTCCTCATGCATAGTCACAGCAGATCGCTGCTCCTCACCAGTAAACACGTCCTCCCAGTCGAGCGTAGCCTCACGACCGCGCAAGATATCCTCATGCACGCTCTTAATACCGGCACCGCCGCCGAGGGCCAGCGGCCGCCACTCGCCGTTGCGCGTGATCTTGAGCTCCATGCCGCGGCGGATAGGCTCCGCCATGCCGAAGGTGCGGCGCAGGCTCTCCATGCGCAGGGCCTCCTGGGTCGACTCCCAGGCCTTGAGGCGGGCTTCGAGCGGGTGGCGCGAGACGGGCGCGGGGGACTCTGCGGACAAGGTGTTTGGGCCGATGCCGTGGCGGAGCGTGTCGTGGACGCCGGGGGCGGACGGGGCGGATGTGTTGGTCGATTTGAAGGTGCTGGTGTGGGCGGAGGGGGGGACTATGCGCATGGACTGTGAGGAGGGATGTGGTTAGCTTCTTGGTGTAGAGAGCGGAAGAGGTAAGTCTAAGTATGGCTTACCATCTTGTCGGTGGAAGAGTATTGATAGACTTTTGTTTTTGTATTGTGTTTTCGTAATTCTTAATAGTCGTCAACTCATTCAGGTCGAAATGTTTGAAGAGAAGTTGTGGTTTGGTAGCAGCTTGGCAAATAGTGGTAGATGTGCTGCGTCGTTGATAGTGGATTGATAGTGGATTCAATATGTAAAGGATAGGAAGCTTGAGCAGGCTGCCGGGAGCTTTCGTGTTTGGAGCCTTGCCAAGCCCGGAGGTGCAAGTGCCAAGTGCCAGCAAAGAACTAAGGCGGTCCTTGCGTCAACTTTAAGTTACGTAAGTCTACCTAGGTACCTATGTACATAGTGGGAACTGTGGACCTCCAACCTCGTTAACACCGAAATATCGGATGTATTCAAATTCGAAAGCTGCATTTAAGCATTTAGGCATTTTGATATGGGTTGAAGAGTTGACTCACTAGCTTACGCAGATGCAACAAACTCAGCTTTATAATTGTTGAGAAGCTATATAATGATCTAATTGAAATAATGCGTTTCCCTTCAGGTCGTCCCCCGGTAATAAATATTACAAACGGCACTTTTTACCGCCATCATCCAGGGGCGAGCTCCATACATCCGAATCCGGCCCTGTTTAGAAATTTGAATTTCACACTCCCGTCTGCTACGGAGCCACCGACGCATTGGTATGTAGTTGGTCCGTCCCTCAGTGGAAAAACAACCTTCCTGGAACTCCTTAAAGGAAGTCACCTCTGCTTCCCTCCAACTGCACGGAGCTATCCTTATCTATCTACGGAAGCAGTACCTCACCGGTTGAGAGTGCCGCATAAGGCTATTCGGTATGTAGGCTTCAATAATGACGGCTTCAATTCTAGCGTCACAACCTCGGCCTACCTGTCCGCTCGTTATGAGTCCAAACGCGAAAATACCGATTTCTCCCTTAGGGACTTCCTACTGGGTAACACCGAGCTTAACCCGTTAAAACCATCGTCCGAAGATGAGCTAGACCCGGCCTTACTGGACCGAGTGGTAAGAGACTTGAAGCTTTCTCCGCTGCTAGATCTTCCCGTTACGTTTCTGAGCAACGGTCAAGGAAGAAGAGCTCGAATTGCCAGGGCTCTTCTCACCGCACCAGAAGTGCTGTTACTCGACGAGCCGTTTATGGGCCTGGACCCGCCTACAGTAGCCGGGTTAAGTCCGCTTTTGCACGGGTTGTCGAGTAAGGCTAGCCCAAGGTTGGTATTAAGTGCCAGACCGCAAGACCCAATTCCCGATTGGATCACCCACCTGATTTATTTAAGAGGTGACTGCCAGGTAGGAGCAATAGGCGAGAAGGATGCTGTGTTAGAAGAATTGAGGGGCTACGTTCGGAGTATATGGAACGGATCTTCGAAAGAGGACGAAAATCTACCGGTTCACGGTCTTGTGCATACGGGTAGAACACTAACTGCCAAAGGAATCCAAGGCGAACCGCTAATGGGTGAAGATGCCTCGAAAGGTGATAAATCATCAATTGTTCGAGATACTGGCGTACCAAGGAATATTGGAGAGCCTCTTGTGGAGATGGATGGGTGTAAGGTGCAGTATCGGGGTAAAGTCGCACTTGGAAATTGGAAGCAGCAAATAGACGGTGAAGAACGGGAAGGCCTTATATGGACTGTCCGAAGAGGAGAACGGTGGGGTGTATTTGGACCCAACGGTTCGGGCAAAACAACAATTGTTTCCCTCATCTGCTCTGATCATCCTCAAACTTATTCACTTCCCATAAAGCTCTTCGGTAAAAGCAGACTGCCAGAGCCCGGATCCGGTGAACTGCCTCTAACTTTCTGGGATATACAATCACGAATTGGACACTCAAGCCCTGAGATCCACCAACACATGCCCCGGAATCTCACGGTTAAACAAGTAGTTGAAAATGCGTGGGCAGACACGTTTCGCTCAAAAGCTAAGCTCGACAGCCAATCCGCAGAAAAGGTCAAGGCTTGCTTACGATGGTTTGAGGCTGAGTTGAACCCAGCTTTTGTAAGACACTCAAAGCTTACGTCCGATGGTGCGCAGGAGGCCACCGATTTGCAATGGGCAGACCACTACATGTTTGGAGAATTGTCTTTCTCGGCGCAGCGAGTCGCCCTCTTCCTACGAGCCATTATTAAGAACCCAGACATTGTCGTCTTAGACGAGGCGTGCAGTGGTATGGACGACGGCGTCCGGAATCGCTGTCTACTCTTCCTCGAGCATGGAGAGGAAAAGACCTATTCGAAACGCGAAGACGGCTCCGAGATTGTGGTCCAAAGCGAGGCATCGAAGTCGGGCACTGTTAAATTCGGAGGTCTAAACAATAACCAAGCTCTAATATGCATTAGTCATATTAGAGAAGAGATCCCGGACTGCACCAGGGAGTGGATATGTCTGCCTGAAGCCAATTCAGAACAACCTGCCAGATTCGGTATATCCGAGGCACCTCTTGGGAGCGACGAAAACAGCTGGAAACAGATATGGGGCATGTGAGGGAGTGGTCTAAAGCACTACTACAAAATATTTACTTGACTCGAACCATATCGTCTTTGGTTTTACTCATGATCATCTTATGAGCAGCCCGACAAGATCTTACCTAAAATAGCCAATATTTTGTAAGTCCGGCTTGGATGGATTATGTCTGCCAATATAGTATAGGCGAATTACGTGTCTACTTGGGTTGTAGAGGTATAGTGGTGGATATTCGTGCGAGGAATAAATTCGCCGAAATCCGGATTTAAGGAGAATCTGGAAAGGCCTGTTAAAAATACATAAGCTGCAAAGCTGCAAAGCTGCAAGGTACGAGCGGTACGTCTGTACGTCAAGATTAAGCGCTGCGCTATCGAAGATTCAGGTTACCGTTTGACGTGGGGAATTGGGGCGCAGGCTGATTCGTTGCTGGGCAACGCACAAACGATGGCGCATCCCCAAAAAACAAAGGTCTTGTTAAGGCTGCCTTCGAGGGCCTTTACGAGCTACATAGCTCCCCACCGTGGATCAACTCGAACTTACACCTTGTGACACCTTGAAACTCAATTCGCGATACCTATTTTAAAGATTGGACATTTTGTGTACTTTGTTGACGTTTATACTTTTTCAATTAGTGATACCCTCTACGCCAATCCAACGAAACGAATTCGCTATCTATCCAAATTAATTAATTTAAGGAGGAAATATTTTAGGTATTACAGCTGGCATTCCAATCAACAACACTCATACCAACGAGTTGTCTTAAAAGCAATCCACTCGGCATTTTGGCCGATAATACTTCGCGATGGACGGAACTCCCCCTCGACCGTCATACGCGTTACCCAACTACGACGACGATCATGATCACATTACGCACGGGTCGGGAGGAAACCCAGCAGCAGTCAGATTACTGACATCTATGGAAGAACCACTACCGGAATCTCGACCGTATGTGCCTCCAACCGTGACAGATGCACCAATGTCCCCAACTCTTGTCCCTCTCCCACTAGCTCCCAAAAAGGATGCGAAAGTAAAGAAACGGGTCAGAATATCAACCCCGGAGCACTTGGACGAGCTCAGAAAGCAAGAGGAAGCTCATGCGCCGACTGCCCCTCCTGGTGGAGAATAGTCCCCTTCACCAGCAGGTGACGCGTCGCTCAAGCGCAAATCAGCTCAGAAGCGCACTGCCACTGTAAAGTTACAGAAAAAGAAGAGGCCCTTTCATGAACCCCAAGGCGAGTTCAAGCAGGATCTACCGACGATTCCGGAAGGGCCGTCGCTAAGAAGAAGTTCTCTTCTCAAGAAGAAATCACCCAATGGAGACAACAGCCCCCCGAGTGACCCCATCAACCCTGATAATAATGGCTCACCAAAGACACTTAATAGTATTCGACCATCGCCTCGCCGAACGTACCAATCATCGATCAGATCAACACATTCTCGAGGGTCCTCCATCCTCGACCCGCCTCATCTTGCGCCGGTAGATTCTGTATATGAGGAATATCGATCGCGAGATACAAGTCCTCCTCGACCTTGGACTCCATCCTCGAGGATGTCCGGATTCACCGATTACACACGACCACCACCCTCAAGTATGCAGTACGAACCAGCAGATATTAATGGTAGTCCCAGGCCGGGAACACCATCGTCAAGATATGGAGGAAGCCCTCGCAGACCACTACCTCGTGCTCCACTGTTCGGAGCTCGAGACTCTCGCTATACGGCGGATGATGCGACAGTAAATATTCCTCTGGATGGTGTCAACGATGATGTATTCGGGCCCGAAGAATCGGATATCAGTGGCGCGTATCCATACCACGACTCGTATGCTGGGCAATCGCAAGTCACCCTTAGTGAGGAAGACTCGCAAGCGCCTCTAGACGAGAAAGTCGAGCATTATGGTTCTGCGCCGGAAGGAAGACAAGAGCGCCGTGGCGTCCGCGCCCCTCTCACTTCAAAAAAGGAGGTGCAGCTGATTAACGGTGAGCTGATTCTCGAGTGTAAGATTCCCACTATCTTGTACAGCTTTCTGCCTCGCCGCGACCAAGTCGAGTTCACTCACATGCGATATACGGCCGTGACCTGTGATCCAGACGATTTCGTGGAAAAGGGATACAAGTTAAGACAAAATATCGGCCGGACAGCTCGGGAAACAGAACTTTTCATCTGTGTTACCATGTATAATGAGAATGAGGTTGACTTCACCCGCACGATGCACGCCATCATGAAAAACGTAAGCCACTTCTGCGGCCGCAACAAGTCCCGCACATGGGGAGAGAACGGATGGCATAAAATCGTCGTCTGTATCGTGTCGGATGGACGAGAAAAAGTTCATCCGAGAACGCTAGATGCGTTGGCCGCGATGGGTGTTTATCAGCACGGCATCGCCAAGAACTTCGTCAACCACAGGGCCGTACAAGCCCATGTGTACGAATATACGACACAAGTTTCATTAGACTCGGACCTTAAGTTTAAAGGTGCTGAAAAGGGGATCGTGCCTTGCCAGATGATTTTCTGTCTCAAGGAAAGAAACCAGCGGAAGCTCAACTCCCACCGTTGGTTTTTCAACGCCTTTGGGAAAGCCCTGAATCCCAATGTTTGCATCTTGCTCGATGTTGGAACAAAACCCAGCACAAACTCTCTGTATCATCTTTGGAAAGCGTTTGATACTGATTCAAACGTCGCGGGCGCTTGTGGCGAGATCAAAGCGATGAAGGGAAGGCTCGGGAGCAACCTCCTGAACCCTCTAGTCGCCTCCCAGAATTTTGAGTACAAGATGTCTAATATTCTGGACAAGCCTCTCGAATCTGTATTTGGCTATATTACGGTATTACCCGGTGCGCTGAGTGCCTACCGATACCACGCATTACAAAACGATGAGACAGGCCATGGACCTCTTAGCCAATACTTCAAGGGAGAGACGTTACACGGCCAGCATGCTGACGTATTTACGGCGAATATGTATCTAGCTGAGGATCGTATCTTGTGTTGGGAGTTGGTTGCAAAGAGGAATGAGAGATGGGTGTTAAAATATGTAAAAGGCTGTACGGGCGAGACGGATGTGCCGGGTAAGTTTCTGCCCATCTATTCAAACTCAAATGCAGATATAACTAACCTGCGCCCTAGATACTGTCCCGGAGTTTATCTCTCAGAGACGTCGTTGGCTTAATGGTGCATTTTTCGCTGCTGTGTACTCGCTGGTGCACTTTAAGCAAATATGGAGGACGGACCACACCATTGCGCGCAAAGTGCTCCTTCATATCGAATTTGTTTATCAGTTCATACAGCTCTTGTTCACTTTCTTCTCCCTTGCGAACTTTTACCTGGCTTTTTACTTCATCGGTGGTGGGCTTACGGATCCCGCCATGGACCCTTTCGGGCACAACATCGCCCTATACATCTTCACAGTGCTGCGGTACACATGTGTGCTCTTAATCAGCATGCAGTTCATTATATCGTTGGGTAATCGTCCGCAGGGGGCGAAGAAGCTCTATCTCGCTTCCATGATAATATATAGTATTATCATGGTCTATACCACTTTCGCGACTATCTTTATCGTCATCCACACGGTCAAGGGAGACCAGATATCGCTAGGCAACAACACATTTACGAATCTAATCGTGTCGACGGCGTCGACAGTTGGGCTGTATTTCCTCATGAGCTTTCTCTACTTGGATCCATGGCATATGATTACTAGTTCGGGTCAATATTTTGCACTATTGCCCAGCTACATCTGCACGCTGCAAGTGTACGCTTTCTGCAACACGCACGACGTTACATGGGGTACCAAGGGAGATAACGTCATGAAGACGGACCTGGGCGGGGCCGTGGGGAAGGGTAGCTTTGTGGAACTGGAGATGCCGAGCGAGCAGTTGGATATCGATTCGGGCTATGATGAGGCGCTCCGCAATCTTAGGGACCGCGTGGAGGTACCGACGCCACCGATCTCGGAGGCGCAGATGCAAGAGGACTACTACCGGAGTGTACGAACATACATGGTTGTTAGTTGGATGATGGCTAACTGTATTCTCGCCATGGCCGTCAGCGAAGCTTACGGATATAAGGAGGTTGGTGGTAACTTCTACCTGTCGTTTATCCTATGGGCAGTCGCGGCGCTGGCGTTGTTCCGAGCCCTAGGCAGCACGACGTTCGCGATCCTGAACGCGATCAACATGGTCGTCGAAGGCCGCGTCCGTCTGAGTCTCAAGGTACCGGAATGGGTCCCTGAGTGGATGGGCGGAATCGGAAGCAAGATTAGCGATACGATGAGCAGCATTACCAGTAGTGTGCGATCGTGATATGTGGCGATATGCGGTGACATATGGTTTCAAGGGTTGGCGAAGGGAAAGGCAAGCGCCAAGGGACGGTATGTTTTCGATTCATGACGGTTTCATTTTGGAGGTGCAATTACTTGCTCGCACCGGCATTTCAATGGATGAACGACTGAACGAAAACTTGGGGCTCATGTGATGCCCGTCTAGGAGTTGTGGTTCGATGGTAAAGGACAGGATGGGTGTTTACTGCGAGGTATGAGACGAAATTCACATGTACTCTAGTTTTAATTACCGCGTCGGTCAAGTCTGGGCATACCTCGATGTCAGGCTTCCGACTCGTTGGACGGGCTATGTAGGGAAGGCAAAAGTGGGAAATGATACCTCATCTCTTGTCCTTGTTGTTCGGTCGTGTTGCATCATCGCAGGTGGGAGGGTGGTTTTTGGGCTATATTAGAAATGATGTGGTAATTCTCGGCATTAGTTTCCTTCCGAGTCGCATTTATGACTTCAAAATTCCAATCTCAATGGCGTAACCTGTGTATCATCATCTGTAGCCAAGTCGTGAATCGCGCCTTTCTGTTGGGCCGGTAGAATCTGGTGGTGGACATCAAATATCCAGAGAGCATCAACTACATACATGCCGTAGCATTCGAGTACTCGCCTAATGGTATTATATATTAATTTTGTCTCTCGAGATCTTTATAAAACCATCTATCTAGCCCCGTGTAATCCTATAATTCAAGGACTCAGCCTTGTACAACTTGATATAAATATTTACCCAAAACACGAAAAATGCCAGCACCTGTAGTCGAGAAGGAGTACAACGGGCGCCGCGTAGCCCGCAAGACGGCTACCGAGCTAGCCAGACAATATGCCGACCTCATCGAGGGCAAAGTCATACTAATTACAGGTGTATCACCCATGGGCTTAGGAGCTGCCTTCATCGACTTCATCGCACCAATGCGTCCTGCTACGCTAATCCTCGCCGGCCGTAGTCCTAGTAAAATGCAACAAACAGCAGAACAGATTTCTGCAGTATCACCAGATATTAAGGTCCGCATGGTAAAACTGGAACTGGAATCTCAAGCCGCTGTACGCTACGCCGCCGCCACCGTCATGGAGTGGTCGGACGTTCCTCACATCGACGTTCTTGTCAACAACGCTGGGGTTTGTGCTATCCCCAGGGCCATCACCGAAGACGGTTTCGAGAAGCAGTTTGCGGTCAACCATCTAGGTCCTTTCCTATTTACAAACCTGATAATGCCTAAGCTTGTGGCGTCCGGTGCCCCTCGAGTCGTTAATATCGGTAGTGATGGTCACAACCTTAGCCCGATCCGTTTTGAAGACCCAAACTTTCGAGTAAGGCTTTTTATTATGAAATCATGATCCCATCTCGATATACCCATGGTAGAGTGCTAAACATAGAACCTACAACTTAGGATGAATCGACCTACCACACTTGGATAGCTTACGGCCAGTCCAAGACTGCTAACATGCTGATGGCGCTCTCGCTGGCTGAGAAGCTCGGCCCACGGTATAATCTCCATGCTTTCAGCGTGAACCCGGGGACCGTCCAGACGAATCTTGCAGCATTCCTCGACTGGAAACGCTCCTTTGCAGATTTAGGTAAGCAGCTCACCTCCCGGAGGCCAACGTGCTGCTCCGAGTACCCCTCTCTAGTTCCTGACAAATCTAACGCTGAGGGGTATTCTAGCCAAAACGTCTCGTCTACTGGGCCTCGCCGGGGGCTGGAAGCAAGACCGCGACTTTCAAACCATAGATGAGGGTACAGCCACCTACGTGTACGCTGCATTCGACCCGGAGATCACGGGTAAGTGGTTACCAACCGTCCCTGTTTATACATACATAGCTACCTACCTTACCTACCTTACCTACCTACATATATGATCTATCCCTTTTGCCAAGACTTTCCCTCGCGGAACTTACTTGCATATGCCTACATGCACTTACATATACATGCATACCCGCAGCCCACAACGGCGCACACCTCCTAGGGTGCCGCCTAGCCGACCCCTGGAAGGACGGGATCAGGGCCTGGGCGACGAGCCCCATCGAGGCCGAGCTGCTGTGGAGGATGAGCGAGGAATTGGTCGGCCAAGAGTTCGCGTACTAGAGAGTATTCGGAACCTGATTAATGATCGCACTATATAGACCAGTTGTGGACGTGTGTTATACAAAGACGACCGAACGCGCGTTAGATGGGGGTAGTACGATGCGGGTGGAAAGGCTCGATGGTTAACCGGTTATGGTTCACCCGAAGATCCAATGGAGGGAGATAGTAAAACCGACAAAATTACAAAAGAAATTGTATTGGTCGAGAAATAGAGAAGAGCATTCTTTGTAAAGTGTGTGGTGTGAGAATGTTATATATGCTATTCTGATTGGACGTTTATATCCTTGTAGACGATATGTTTTATGGAGAATGTTTGTCTGTCTCTGGTGTCCCTCGCAACGTCATGGGGGTGATATAGCTAAGGGTCCTCAGGATATAAGATCGCAGCTAGTTGCATTCGTTAGATATTGATGTGAAGGGTAATTGGACCGATGCGTCTCGGGTTAAGACACGGCACGTTGATGCGCGAAAGACGTTGTCTTCGCCACCAAGATAGGAAACTTGGATCGGCGTTTTGTTAACGCCGGACTTGATGATACATGTGGTCGACTTATACTACAACACGCTGGATGATTTGGTTTATTTTGTCCCGCATTCCTCCGCGAGGCTTCTTACGTATATTATAAAGTATCTATCCTAGGTAGGGTCCGGAGTCTGTAGGTAATGAATTACGTTACATATAGCCAAGTGTCTTGGCTGGAGTCGGTGGTATTTGTCACGGCTGCTTCGTTAACCGGGTGTAGAGAGGTGTTCTTCGCGGCCGGCATCGTCAGTCGCGTTTACAACAGGAGCAGCAGATTGTCAATATTTGGTGGCGTTTTTACCCCATGTCTCTGAAATTATAAAATTTCAGCCTTTGGGAACTGGGAGCTGAGTTTTAGGTTCTGACAGCTGCAGCTTTTACCAGGGGAAGGGAACTCGACGGGATCTGCGTCATCGTATGCACATTGAATCCTGCTTCATTATGATCATATAGTCACGAAGTATGCATTTTAAGGATCGAGTGTAGTATATCGACCGCCGTAGCGTAGGTATAAGCGGGCCAACTCCTCGTAAGACCATCGTGAAAGGGGGGAATGCTGCAAGTCTATTACCTTCTGGCCGATGCCGCACCGGTGCTCAATAGTACATTATACTATTAGACTTAAATTCTCATCGGAGCCACACGTACCGATACGTAAACCTGCAGCCTGGATCACATAAGAGATGGAGTTGTTACGTAAAGGAGCACATGTGAAGAGGGAGCCCAATCCAGCCCCTTTTGCTTTTGGGATGGCCATTTAAGGTCTAGACGGGCGTGGGAAAACCAAGCCGTTGATTTATAACGCAGGGTCCAGTCAGCACCTGTCTCGGGTTTTTCTTTTCCCTCTTATCAGCCAGGCATGATATTGACAATAGTTAGAAGATCGGCGTCTTTTCACGCCAACAAAGGTATGGACTCGAGGTTGATATTCGCTTGGCAGATGTGGAAGAGAAGATTAATCTTGGATCCCTTGATATTCTTCACTAAATGTCGTGGTCTCTGAGGTTATAGGAGTCTGTACTAAATAGCTTCAAGAGCCATGGACTACCTCGCACTGACCAGTAGTTCGGTTCCTCGGTCCTTTGTCCAAAGCCAGTCGAGGAGCGTCGAGTTACCGCACTATGGCAGATCAAGTTCAGCCCGACATATATTCGCTTCCAACAAGGCCACCTAACTTCGATAGGGTGGACACGTTCTACGTTGCATTCTGCGCAACATGGACGTTTCTCTTGATTCTCGGCATGGTATTTCTAATAGCAAACCGTAGTAATCCGATTCTCAAGGTCCGTGGTATAGGCTTATCTCTTACTGCCATCGCCTTCCTTCACGTGTACTGGATTCTCGCTCAGATTACGTATCCCGTCGGGTTAACTATGCCCATCATAGTCGCTTACACTGTGCAATATTTCTTCATGGGTATTTGGTTTCCTTTAGGTGTTGCCACCTTCCATGCCTCCAATACCCGCTTCTTGTATGGTGCAAAAATGCAGAAGCGATATACGGAATCGGCCGACTTTCAAAAGAAGCCGGGCTGTAATGGAGCAAGTACTTCATGGCTTTGCCGCCTGAGAAACTTGGATTACCCAACGAGGATCTTGATTTATATCGGCCTGGGTATAATAGTCCAGGTATGTTTTACGCTCATTTTCCTCGAAAAACCGAACAACTTAATGCTAAATATTTTGTTAGATTCTTCTTACAGTTGGCATGTGTAGTAAATACCATCCTGCATTCGGTATTGCTGGTACAGGGCTTTCTGACGCCCCGCTCGACGTACATATAGTAGAACTAAGCCGTGGATGGGAGTGGTGGCCAACTGCTCTCTGGCAAGTTATATGGACATGGATAGTGAGTTTATTAAATATATAACTCGGATAGACTCTAATATTAACCTAACTAGATAGCACCCATCATGATATGGAAGGCTTGGGGCATTCGAGATACGCTGGGCTGGCGTTTCCAGACGATAGGATGCTGTCTCTCCAAGTTGGTCGTCTTTGTGTCGCAAATAGGCTTCTTATTTACTAATAATCCCTCAGTCTTCACGCTACACCGCTGTGGCTTATATCGATGTATGTGCCTGCCTTCGCTCCGGTCAATAAGTATTTTTCTTCAAGTGAATGGTAAGCGGCCCGAAATTGGAAGTCGTGATATTAGATTACTGACGAGCGTAGGATTCATCTTTCCGTTACGATGTTTGAAATCTTTGCTGTTTTCGTTCCTTGTTGGTTAGTCCTGAGGCATCGTAGCCTACGCAAGCGGGCAGCCGAGTCAAATGCAATGTGGGACACTGCGTCGCAGACAACCCTTAGAACCTCCACAACTGTGCAATGGAAATCTGCCTCGCATATGGAAAAGGGCCTCGCGCTGGAACTCCTAGACCCAGAAATGGGCGACCGACTATTCACCATGAACGCGCTTGACCACGTATTAAACGAGAATCCGGGTCCGCTACAGGAGTTTTCGGCATTGAGGGATTTCTCAGGAGAGAATATTGCGTTCTTGACACGAGTGGCTTCCTGGAAATCATCATGGCCTGATGCTACAAACGAAGACCAGATTCGCGACGTATTTACTCGTGCGCTGGTTATTTACACAAGCTTCATTAGCCCCCGAGACGCCGAATTCCCCCTAAATCTCTCATCGCAGGATCTCAAGCGCCTTGAATCCATTTTCGAAAGTCCGGCGCGAATATTGGTATGCGCTATTCAAAAAATTATTCTCTCCTTATTCGGGCGTCATAGACACGCACCCCTAAAGCATACCTTCGACCCCTACTCCATCCATCATTGGAAAAATTATTAACTGCTAACAATTACAACTGTAGTGCGGCGAAGCACGTGTTGATCCAGCCACGCCATTTGCGGTCGACGGGTCCGCTAAGGAGCAAGGACGTAGTGGCGATGATTGGATCGAGCTGTCGGAGGTGGCTGGTAGAATACAGTATGCGGGCGAGATATCCGATGCCTTCGATGCTACTGTGTTCGACAGCGCGCAGAAGCATATCAAGTACTTAGTCTTGACTAACACGTGGCCAAAGTTTGTGACCGAGATACAAGAACGGAGGCGTTCTAGCGAGTCGGGGCGCAGCGACCGCACTGGGGGGTCTCACTCGTCACTAGCAAGCCGAATATCAAATTTGATACACTCTATTTTCTGAGTATTATAAAAGGTGGCTTAAATTCTATTAGGGGGCGGTTTCGTTTATTAATACCCAAAAGTTATTAACACCATTTTAGGCGAGTTTGTCATTGAAGCTTAATACATATGAGGCACCGAAAGAGCAGGAAGTTTTTCTAAGATTTATGTTGCTGCTTAAATAGGTACCAAGACTAAGAGTGTTAAGTTAGAATATTCTTCATATAATATATATTCCTAATTCATAAATGGGTATACAACTAGCTTTCATGATTTAAATACATTATCGGTGATGTTGATACTTTTACCTCTAAAAGATTCTGGGGCGTAGCCGGAAGCGGATGAGTTTTCAATAACCTACGACCCCAGCTAGCACAGCACTTAAACTGGAATTTCCATTCGCCATGTTGAAGGTTAAAGTATCTAATATAATTAAAATTGCAAAGGTTTTGGTGTTCCGGACGGAATGGGATTCTCAAGAGCATCTGGCGGCAAGTCGTCATGCCAATATTGGTATATCGACAGAGTAGTACCCGGTGCGGTGCACTCCTCTAAATATTGGTCAGAAGCTAAAATCGTAAGTATGAAATCTATTATTTCAACTTATATTCTGACACTTACAATTTGTATCGCAGGTCATATTAGCCAGTTGAGCCTCGGCGGTGTTTGGGGCCTCCGAAGTCGCGGAGCACAGCGGCGTATTGTGACCTGCTGGCGGGATGGCACGCACAAAGACTGTTGCCAACTACGGCCGCCACAGTAGATCGCAATTTATTTCCCATTTCAAACTCGACTTGTATATATATATATATATATATATATATCTTCGGTGAGTTGCGCTGAATGTCGAGTGCTACTAAAAGACGACAATAAATTCATTGCTCTTACACAGTTTAGAGAGGGCTGGGATTGGGTTTATGAAATTCCGCGGCTGAAGGCTTATTATCCGGCTTACCCCTAATTGATGCGGTGATAGGCAGCTTTACCTGATTGCTGCCCCGGCAGTTAAAATGGAGCTACAATTTGATTTTTCTTAGAGATTGTGCTTTTCACTTCTGTATTTACCATGAAAAGGTGATTGTTACGGTTCGTGCAAGCTATCGACAGCCGAATATGTTCATAGGTACGAGCTTAATGACCCATGCACGATATATCAACAAGGTGGTGGAACGGATGCGCTCTTTCTTAATCATCTATACTTCTTTAGATATAGAAGCAAAACAATTATACGATAGTTCTCGTAAGTTCGATTAAATGTAAACTTTTTATTTAATTTATTTAATACTACCGCTGCGTTTATTGCTGGTAGTATTTGTGTTACCTAGGTAGTTGTAAAGATTTACTCTAAGAAGTAGATACCTAACCTTTAGGTAGGTATGCTAGCATTTGGTTACTGTGATATTAGGCATTACCTGTTACTGGTGAGGCCTGCGTTATACGCGGAACAACTTCCCGTAAAAACGGCATGTCAGGAAAATCCCATCTGTCGAGCTCATCGTCTTCCTTGTCAAGAAACTGATGTATTCCGAGCTTAGCACTCTCCATTTCTGACTCCGGTTCTGACTGCTCCTCCTCCCCCTCTGACTCCGGCTTCCACTCCAGCTCCGGGTCCGGCTCCTCAAACTCTGATGATGCTTTTTTCTCTTGTGGCTTTTCTTCCACATTTTCGTAATAAACGCCCTTCATCTTTTCTGACTCTGTGAAATTCTCCAAATTTACGAGGTATTCCGGATTAAGGTTCTCCAAATAGCAATAGTCATTTTTGCTATTTTTCCGGTTCGATGATCGCTTGACGATAGAACCGTGTTCTCTGTGGAGTAATAAAGACAATAGAGGATTAAATTGCCCATACAAGAGAATTTTTCTAGCGTTGCTGAAGAATAATATATGCTTCTGGATATTCATGTCCTTGAAAACGCGGCAGCGTCTATGTCGACGGCGATTGGTCATCCTCCTTCGTATCATATCCTTAAGCTCCTGTTCTTCTTCATCCATAGGTCTCCAACCGTCATCATAACCTGCGCATGGCTGCAGGTGTATTGCTAAGAGCTGTAATGTAGGCCGGGCTTCTTTGAAGTACTCGAATACGTTCGCCCATCTATCATCCTCTTTAAGTGATTTCTTGGAATACCAACCATTACATGTCTCCTCGTATCCGTACTCGTGACTATTGAATGCAGATAACTCGCTATCCGGTGTGCATAGGTATTCTATAGTTAGATTCTTAACGAATGAGATGTTTTGGGGACCCATTAATTGGAGAAACTTGCACCAATATTCACGGAAGTCACCAATACATACTTTTCTAAAGAATATCGGCAACACTTCATTGCGTGTTTGCCTGCAAGTATGCAGTAAAGCAGTCCGCTTTTCTGGGTGATGGTAGTCAAAGTCGGACCAATACTTTATTAAGAAGTCCTGAAGTTCAAAGCGGTAGTATATAATTTCGTAAATCCGTAACCGAATATCATACGGTAGGGATAGGAAATAGCTTCCATTAACGGATGGGGCCGATTGGATGGTACTGATAGTGGAGGACGGCATAATGTAGGATATAATTACCTATCTAAATAAGGGTCGAGAAAATGATGGCAGTTTAACCAAATTCTTTGGGAAACGTAAATTCGAGAAAGGTATCTGGACGATTTATAACGCGGTAAATATGTAGATGTTGATCCAGAAGATGTGAACACACTTTATGAGAAGACCTATCTGTATGATATTTCAAGTTTGGCGAGTTTAAATTTCTGCATATAAAGGGTTTAACTTGCGATGTCTGGTTCAATTAATATACTAATCAATTACTGTAACAATACAGTTTCAAAGTTTTAATCTTAAGAAAACAACTGTATTATTAGCCATCCGCAAAAAGCCGGTTGTATTTCGTCCCAGCTAAAGAGATATTTAATCCGGATAATGGAATGAGCATAAAGCTAAAATATTGTTGTAAACAATGAATACATGCCTATTCGTTGAAAGAACCTGGAACTGTAGTTCGTAAAACGCGGATAGAAAAGCAAAGAATACACGCGATTGCCCTTTGCAATTACAGACACATATGTAAAGTAAATAATCTAAGCAATATTTACTGGTTTGGGACGGTTATCAGGTCGGCGTATTGGGAATTCATTCTAGTTAGGGGTTTTCGCGATGGTGATGAATTCGTTTACGTCTAGTGAGCGTGCAGGGTATCTAGGTAGAAAATCGAATAGCTAGTCACCTAAGAGTATGTGGAAGACATTTAAACTACCCCTTTCGAGGGAGACAAGGTTAAGATTCCGCGTGACATATGAGATCTTTTCAACCTGCCTATAGTATCCCATGGCTCCACTCAGCTACAGCATTATGTTGCCTACTAGCCTATGTTCTCAACTTGGGCATCTTCAAGAGATTAACAGCTTACAGTGCCAAGAGATGAAGTGTCTCAAGAAACTCGGCAATTACATTGATGTCTATGTGCACAAGAACCTGGCAGCCAAGTTCCTGCAGTTGGGAGTTGGGTCTACTGCCATGACTGATCAGCTTATGAACACACTAGTGAATTATGAAGATGGCAGTAATAGTCCGCGTTACGGTCAATTTGACTATGCCGATGTCTCATCTTATAACTCTGGCCTCTGTGTTGACGGACCTCCAGACAAAAATTCATACCAAAGAATGCAACCCAAGACCTTCGACATCGAGCTTGATACGCAGGCCCAAGGCTTCGAGGACGGAACTTACGATGTCATTTTCTGCTCCATGCTGCGTGTTATACGAGCCCCCACACACATATTTGATAGGATGCTAATTATCAGATCTCCTACACCACATCGGACATGACAATGGCATTGAAGAACTTGAATAAACTACTTCGGCCGTGAGTCAGACTCTTGTTCACGCTGCTGGGAATTGATGTTAGCTAACACTAGCCAGTGGAGGCAAGCTTATTCTATTAGAAAACGTCGGACCCGGTGCTATCCCTACAGGATTCATCTTTGGTCTTCTAGAAAGCTGGTGGTCTGGTATGTGGCTTGTCAAATTGTCGTGATGACTCGGGCTAACAAAAACACCACCAAGGCTCGGAAGAGTACCGTCAAGATAGTCCATGCATGGACAAAAGGCAATGGAATGAACTCCTTCTCAAGACCGGCTTCTCGGGAAGTGAGATAGAGCTAGATGATTTTAAACATCCGATATACCATGCATACAGCGTCATAATCTCGACGAGGCTTCCGCAAACCCCGGCAACAACGGCAGAAAAGACTAGTCTTGTCATCCTTCATGGCCCGGATCAGGCGCAGCAGGTTCAAGCAAATGAAGTCAAGAGCGGTGCCGAGGCCAAAGGCCTATCAGCTCAGCTCGCATCTCTAGACCAGGCCCGGAATATCTCACCAGGTCCAGACACGGTGGTTATCAGTTTACTGGAGCTTCATGACCCCGTGTGGCTTAACATCAGTCCGGAGCTCTTTGGCATTCTTCAAAAACTCCTAACATGTTCACCTCGACTTATTTGGGTAAATAGGGGAGGTGGCTTCCGTTCTCCAGACCCAAATCACCACATCGTCGATGGCTTGCTGAGAGTCTTACAGTCAGAGCTTATAGGAGTCACTCTTGTCTCTCTCGCGCTGGAGACGGATGGATGCATCAACAGCCGCAGAAGGGAATTTATCCTACAGTTAGCAAGGCTGACGGTTATCTCTGAAGAGATAGACATCGAGTACGTTGAGGACCATGGACTGCTCCATATTCCACGTCTCACCTCAGCCAATCGAATGAACACAAGACTTCATGAGCATCAAGTCGCGCATCAGAGGCGACAGGCAACGTTTGGAGGCGGCATTCCACTCCGCCTAGACATTGGCACGCCAGGGCTTCTCAACAGCCTACACTTTGTTGAGGACAACGTTGGGAGTTCTGCCGAGTTGAAGCCATACGAGATTGAGATCCGCGTCATGAGTGCCGGCGTCAGCTTCCGCGGCGTCTTGATCGCCCAGGGCCGGTTGAACCAGCGTACCGCCGGCACAGAATGCGCAGGAATTGTGACAAGATGCGGGGAGCACTGTGAAGACCTCGTCGTAGGCACACGTGTAGCTGCTGTGTGTCTCGATAGCTTCAAGAGCTTCGCCCGTGTTGATTGTCGGTCCGCCGTCCGTATCCCTGACAGCATGTCCTTCTCAACCGCCGCAGCCATCCCATTCAACTTTGCGACTTCCTGGCACTCACTAAAAGAAGTAGCCAGGCTAAGCCCTACAGAGACTGTTCTAATACACAACGGCGCCGGAGCTACAGGGCAAGCTGCCATCCAAGTGGCTCTTCACCTGGGTGCCGTGATATTCACAACCGTCAGCACCGAGAAGAAGAAGCAATTCCTCATAGACCGCTATAGGATCCCAGCTGGACACATATTCTCAAGCCGCGAGATAGCCTTCTGCAGCGGCATCAAACGACTTACAGGGGGTGCTGGAGCGGATGTCATTCTCAACTCCCTCTGTGGAGAGGGCCTAGCAGCATCCTGGGAGTGCATTGCACCTTATGGCCGATTTATTGAGCTGGGAAAGAAAGACATTACTTGTCACAGCAAATTAACAATGTCTTCCTTTGAGAAGAATGTCACGTTCAGAGCTGTCGATATTCTTGCCATGAGCTTGGAGCGGCTGCAGGTTGTTCGCAACGCCATGGTAAATGTCTTATGCTAGAAAATACGATATATAAGTTATAATTATATATTAACTTAATCTACTAACTATATAAATAAAAAAAAAAGTTTTTTTTATATATATATTTTATGTTAAAATATTATATATTATATTTAAAAATAATTTTTTAACCATTTATTTTAACATTTTTATTTAAAATTTATTAAAAAAATTAATATTGGTTTTAAATTATTTATTATATATTTTAAACTTTAACGTTACTTTTAATTATTAATTTTTTACTTTTTTTAAGCATAATATATTATACTTTCGTAAATTAAATACTTAAATAATTTTATTTATATTTTTTTTTTAATTTTATATTTTTACAGTTTTAATATTTTCGTTAATTTTATAACTTTAATATATTTCCATTAATTTTATTATTTTAATATTTTTATTAACTTTTTAAAACATTTTTATTAATATTTTATATCGTTTAATATTTTTATTTTATTATTAATTTTAAATAACTTTAATAATTTTTTTTTTTCGTTTTAAACATAATTACCAAATATCGAAATAAATTTTAATATTTTTCGAAACCTTTAAAAAATCTTTCGAAAAAATAGTTTAATTAAACCGTTTATTATTATTTAACTTATTAAAATATATTTTAATTATATTATTTTTTTTACTATTTTTTTTTAATAAAATATTATTAAATATTAATATATTTAATTTTATTATAATTTTTTAAATTTTTAATTAATATAATAATATTTTAATTATTATAATAAATAATAATTATATAAAATTTAATTTTAATTATAATATTATTTTTATTTTTTTTTAAATTTATATTAAATTTTTTAAATAATTTTTAAAATTAAATAATTTTTTTAATAATTTATATTTAACTTATATACTTAATTTTATAAAATAATAACGTTATATTAATTTAACGTTTTAATAATTAATTAATTGTTTTATTATTAAAATTAAATACATAATTAAAAATAAATTTCCAAATATTAATATTATTGGTTTAATTAACATTAAAATATTTTATAAAAAATTTTAATTTATCGTAATATATTAAATATAAATTTTTAATACTTTATAAATAACAAAAAATCTTTTTTATAACTTATTAATATTTTAATATAAAATTTATTAAATATTTATTAATATATGATATTATATAAATAATATTAAATTTTATATTTATTATTAAATATATTAATAAATTTATAATAAATTAATATTATTATTTATTATTTTTAAAGTAAATATAACTTTTTTCGATTTATTATAACTTTAAAACGTTTATTAAAATATTAATTATTTTATAATTTTTTATATTATATAATATAAATATTTTATTAATATAACTTTATTAATTTAAATAAATAATTCGATTTTTTTTATATTTTTTAATTTTAATACTTAAATAATATTAATAAAAACTTAAATTTATTATTTAAAAATATTTATTAAATATTATTTTAACTTTATTTATAACTTATATATTTTTTTTAATTATAAATAAATTATTTACATAAATTATTATATAAATATTAATTTTAATATTAATAAAAATACTACAATTAACGCTAATAAATTAAAAACCAA